TTATTAACGTCTGTTAAATGAATAAGCAAGGCTCAGGACCCAGCAGGCTTCCTGGTTTGGTTTTTGAGTGATTCCTGGGGATCAGCTTCATTTCAGAATGTGAATTTAGGACTGCTCTGGTGTGATGACATCCACCTGTGATCCCAGCCATGCCGAGGCTGAGGCAGGGGGATTGCTGGGAGTTCCAACCCAGCCTGAATTTATAGTGAATTCCAGGCCAGCTTGGGTTACGGAGGCAGAGAGATTGTGTCTCAAAAACAATGACAAATATTTTATGTCTGAGTGATTTTGCCTGCATATATGTATTGCACTGTGTATGTTCCTGGTGCCTGCAGACAGTTGAGAACCACCTATGTGGGCGTTGGAACTGAGCCTGGGTCCTCTTGAGGAGCAGCCAGAGCTCTTAACCGCTGAGCCATGTCTCCAGGACCATGATTTACTTATTTCTGTCCTGGGGATGGAGTTCAGGACCTTCCGCCTACTAGATAAACACTCTAGCACCGAGCTGCACAGCTCCCATTGGTTGATACTGAGCAGGTGCGCTGCTGCCTGAGCTTTTTAGGAGGCAGGCCTCCCCAGGCTGGCTTTGAACTTGTGATCCTCCTTCCCTTAGCCTCACAGTGCTGGAATTACAGATGTGGTCGGCAGGCTGGCTTTGAAGTTGTTCTGACTAATCACCCTCAGGGCAGAGCTATGCTTTGGACATCTAGAGATCCTGGAAGCAGAGAACAGGCTAGGTGACCTTCCTGTGTCCCTGTTTCCCCACCCCAAGGGCATCAAGCAAGCTGGTTAGCTCTCCACACCTCAGTTCTTAACGTTGTAGGATGAAATTGAGGATGGTGTGGTAGTCGAACCTCAGAGGGAGCGAGGAGAGCTGGCCCCCTAGCTAAAAGCCGGGGCAGGCGGGCAATGGTAAGCTAGGCTTGTAGACCCGTGAGGCGTCCAGTGAGCTGCTCGCTGATCCAGGATAGCTGGGAGGAGAGGTCCTGGCCCTCTTGAAAGAAATGCACAGGCTGGAGGGAAGAGAGCCTCTCACCCGCACAGATCATTGCCGTTGAGCAGTGACAGGGGACAGGTGTCACGAGCAGGACGTGGTGGGGAAGAGGTCAAGGGTAGCCTGGGAAGGGCCCTGCGAGGGTGGTGGGACTTTCCCGGGCCGCTGCTTCAAGTGGCCCGCCCCTCAGATGTCTCAGTCGTGCAAACATAAAAGTGGGCCAGCGATGCAGTCGTCCGCCCGCCTCAGGAAGGTGAGCAGCAGGGAAGGAAGAGGCTTGGGTGCTGCCAGCTGAGCCGGCCACAGCAGAGCACACCTGTCACTCCAGTCTTGAGACTGAGGCAGGAGCGCCTGCGGTTGGAGCCCAGCTTGTGCTGGAAAGCGAGACAGGGCAGCGCCGGCACGTATGTACGCTTTTGTTTTAACGTACGCGTTCCTTTTAATAAGCAGAGCGGATGGTGAGGGGCTGTAAGGGGAAAGCCAGTAAGGGTTGAGAGTCTGTGCCCTGTTGGGTAGAAGCTGTGAGCCTGGATCCAAGGCCTCCCGGAGCAATTTCTCAGCCAGTCCTGAAGGAGGTGAAGGGCGAGCCCTGAGGGTGGGTGAGACGCAGTATTTCTGACGGGGGAACAGAGTGTGGTGGCCTTGAGGACTGAGTGGTGCAGCCCCCGTGTCCAGGGAGTGTGAGCAGTCTGGACAGCATTGCCTCAGAGCTCGGTGTGAAGAGCAGAGGCTGCTGCCCGGCCCCTCTCTGCCCGAGCTCCCTTCCCAGCCTTTGACTTGTGGTGGGCGTAACACCGGCAGGCTGGGCTGCAGAGTCTTGCAAAGGGCCTGAGCTTGGTTCCCATGCCAGGTGGCTCATCGCCACCTGTAACTCCAGCTTTGGGATCTGACACCGCCTTTTGACCTCCTTGGGCACCCTTACCTGTGCACATACCCACACAGACACTATCTTAGATCCATTTAAAAAAGAAAGAATGAACACGGTGTGGGGAGATGGCCTGCTTCTAAGCGTGAGGACCTGGGTTTAGGTCCCCATCACCCACCTAAGCAGCCAGGCATAGCTATGTGCATCTGTAACCCCAGCGCTGGGAAGATGGCAGACAGAGACACTTGGATATTATTCTCACTGGCCACCTGATCAAGCTACTACTGAACTTGGGTTTCATTGAGAGATCCTGCCGCAAAAATCACTTGAAGAGCCGGGCAGTGGTGGCGCACACCTTTAATCCCAGCACTCGGGAGGCAGAGGCAGGAGGATCTCTGTGAGTTCGAGACCAGCCTGGTCTACTGAGTGAGTTCCAGGACAGCCTCCAAAGCCACAGAGAAACCCTGTCTTGGGGAAAAAAAAAAAAAAAAGCATGTGAAGCCTGCGGTGGTGGCCGAATGTCATTGCACGCTTTTAATCTCAGCAGTTGAGAAGCAGTAGAAGGAGAATCTCTGAGTTCAAGACCAGCCTGGTCTACAAAGTGAGTTCCAGGACAGCCAGGATCATTACACAGAGAAACCTTGCAGATGGAAGTTTCTGTCCCGCCTGGTCCTGCAGCCGTTTAGTCCCCAAATAAACACAGTTTGGCTGATGTCTCAGGCTAGCTCGCTCTTAATCATTAACCCAGTTCTGTGAGCATACAGGTGGACATCCCCCATCAAAACCCTGTTTCAGGGGGGGGGGACTCGTGCTGAGTGATTATACACCTAGTGTTGATCTCTGTCCACTACACACACTCATGTGTATTCTAAGCACACTTACACACTCCCACACAAACACATTCATATGTCATACATAGACCCCAAATAAAGACATAAAAATGAGACACTGATGCTTGGGCTCCCAGTGCTCCAGAGGCTGAGCCAGGAGAATCAGAGGTTGAGGCCAGGCTGGACTATAGAGTGAGACCCTAGAGGGAGGAGCTGTGGGGGATTAAATGAGTTAATTTCAAGTGCTGTGCTGCAAACCGCATAATGTAGTTATGTTGCCTGTGAGCTATTTCTGGTGAGCCCTGTGCGTCCAGGGGCAGCCGTGGCAGGAGGACCTCCGTGCATGTCAAAGGCAAGGTTTTGCAGATGCTCTGTATAGCAGGGTGTGGGGATGCGCATTCTCTAATTATTGGCGGCACTTAATGAGGGTGTAGAGTGTGGCTCTACCCTTCAGCTCACTTTCTCAGGCAGGCTCCCGTGGTAGGTGTGCTTGTGGTTCCCATTAAATATGTGCATTGTAGGGTTGGAGGAATGCCTTAGTGATTAAGAGCATTTGCTGCTCTTCCAGAGGACCTGAGTTCCCAGCACCATATCAGATGGCTCAGAGGAGCCTGTAACCCCAACGCCCTCATCTGGACTGTGGGCACCTGCACTCAGGTGCACAGACACACACACTTTACAAATAAGAAAAATAAGTCCCTAGAACTGTAGATCTGTGAAGCCTTGGCTCCTGTGGGAAAGCCAAAATGCCCTTACCCGCTGACCCATCTCTCCTTACCGGCTCTGCACTGAAAGCCGCCTTTGGGCTTCCCTTGAATCAGCCTGGCATAGTAAGAAACAAAGTAAGGTGTCTACTTTTAAGATAACTTAAAAGTCATTATTGAGTGACTTCCTGTTGTTTTCCTGTAGTTAGTGTAGAGGAAGCCTCCTAGGAAAGACCGGACAGGTCCCCACGGCCAGCTACCTTAGCTTCAAATGCCAGGTTCAGTGACTGGGGACCACTACATTTGTTCTTTGGTTTTGAATTCGACTTTTGAAACAAGGTGTGATGTAGCCCAGGCTGGCCTTGAACTCCTGATCCTCCTAGCTCTACTTCCTAAATGCTAGCTTTCCCCCATTTTTTTTTTCCAAGACGGGGTTTCTCTGTGTAGCTCTATAGACCAGGCTGGCCTCGAACTCAGAGATCTGCCTGCCGAGTGCTGGGATTAAAGGCGTGCGCCGCCGCCGCCACCCAGTTCCCTATGTTTGTGTGTGAACTGCACGCGTGAAGTACCAGCAGCGGTCAGGAGAGGATGCTGGTCCCCTGGAACTGGGCTTCCATCAAGCAGGTCGTGGGCTGCCTTGCGGGTGCCGGAACCGAACCTGGGTCCTGTGCAGCAGCGGCCAGTGCTCTTAACCCGCGAGCATCCTCCCAGCCCCTCGTTTGCCCGTTTGTGGATTTGGGGGCGTTTGTTGTTGTGGTTGCTGTTGTTTTTGTGTGGTTTTATTTTATTTCACGACAGTCTGACCCTACGTAGCCCAGGTTGGCTTAGAACTTCCCACCTCCCCCTCGCAGACTCCCGAGTTTCAGGCGCGAGGTGTCACGCCCGGCGAGGTGACTAAGGCTCCCGGTGTCCCACCGAGAAACCGCTTCTCCCCCACCACCGCTGGCAAGCAGAGCCAGGCTCTCCGACTTGTCTCGGGCTTGCTTCTTTCTGCCCGGCGCGGGCCCCGCGGCCCTTTAAATCTCTGGCGTCGATCAGGGCTCCGGGTGCGAGGGAGCGTCGGGCAGCACCCCGCCCCTTGAGCGCGGCGGTCGGTGTCCGGACCGGGTTCCCCGTTCGGCAGCCCAGGACGTTGGGAATTTGTCCCCGCTCCCTTACATCCCGCCCGCCCCCTCCCGTCCCCCCACGCCTACTCCTGTTTTCCTGGTCGGGCCCCTTCGCCAGGGCCTGCCTTATATGGGCACGGCTCGGGACCGCAGCCGCCCATTGGCTGGGGCCGGCACGCGCGCGGCTGTCAACAAAGGGGCGGGGCGGGGCCCTGGGCGCGCCAGCCCGCGCGAGGGGGCGGGCCCGCGGGGCTCCGGTGCGCATGCCTGTGGGCCGCCATTCTCCTCGCCGCCTGGGGGAGGCGCTGCGGGTGAGCGTGCCGGGGGGCGTGTCCGGGTTGGGGGGGTCACCTGCGGGGGTCGGACGATCCCCCCCGGGAGGAGGCGGGCCGGGCATCGGGGGCGGCGTGCCCGGCTGAGCGACGGTCTGCGCGCTCGGGGAAGTTGCGGGGGTGGAGGGCATACTTCGGGTTGCTCCGTGCTGCGGGAGGCTGCGTTGTGCGTGCCTTAGAGGCGTCCTTTGTGGCTCCCCGTGTCTGGCGGGCGCGGGACGCCCGGCCTGAGCACTTCCTACCTGCGCGGCCGAGGGCAGGAGGGCACCCGCCTGTCTGTGTGCAAACCCGAGCCGCCGGCCTCCCAGCGTCCCGCAGAGCCGCAGTGGTCCGGGCAGAGCGAGCCCTGGGCGCCGGCTGTCGCACCCCACGACGTCTCCTTGTCTCCTTAGGGGCTGTTGACGTCTGTTGGGTTAGGGGTTCGTTTGAAATAGGGCGTTTTTACGTCTGAGTTCCTTCAAGGTTCCGGAGCTTCTGGGGAACGGAGGGGTAGAATGAGGATCGGTGTCTGCTACGCACGGAGGATGCCCGGGAGACCCACTGAGTCACCTGTGAGATTCGGGTGTGAAAAGTCATTTGTGATTTGGCTTCTATGTGCTGGAGGGCGTACAGATTGTTATTCTGATTTTTTTTTTTTTAGTTTTGTTTTGTTTTTCGAGACAGGGTTTCTCTGTATTGTTTTGACTCTGTCCTGGAACTCGCTCTGTAGACCAGGCTCGTCTGGAACTCACAGAGATCCGCCTGCCTCTGCCTCCCGAGTGCTGGGATTAAAACCGTGCGCCACCACCGCCCGGCTAAAAAGTTTTGTGCGTTTGTTTTGCCTGCATGTGTATCTGCGCTCCACATCCGTTGTCTGCTGCTGGCAGAGACCAGCTGGATCCTCTGGAGTGCAGTTAGAGAGAGCCACTCTGTAGGCGCTGGGAACCACACTTGGGGCCTCTCCAAGAGCAGCAAGTACTTTTAACCGCTGAGCATCTCCTCAGCTCCCATTGGTATTTGAGACAGGGTCTCTAGGTCTCTAGGTCGCCCTGGCCGGCCTCAGACTAGGTACATAGACCATGATGGCTTTGAACTTACACCTGCAGATTCTACTTCCCAAGTGCTGGGATTAAAGTCCTGTACCACTTTTTGTTTTGTTTTTGTGTTTTTTTTTTTTAAGACAGGGTCTTTATATATAGCTCAGGCAAACCTAGAACTCCTTATGGTCCTGTCTCATGTCCCAGACTCCCAAGTGCATGTGCCACCAGACTTGGTAGGCTGTTGTGGAGGAGTTGGAATTTTTTTGAAGATTTATTGATTATGCATACAGTATCCTGCCTGCATGCCAAAAGAGGGCACCAGATTTCATTATAAACGAGCTACCGTGTGGTTGCTGGGAATTGAACTGGGGACCCCCGGAAGTGCTCTTAACCTCTGAAACATCTCTCCAGCCCGGGAGTGGGGGGTGTTTAGAATTTTAAAACAGACTTTGAAAATGTCTGGATACTTGAGGGTGGGACATGAAGATTCTGGAGATGGGGCTGGGGTAGGGTCTAGATTGGGGTTCTGTCACTGGAGGCTGAGTTTTGAACGATGTCTGCAGGACCATGAAGAAATAGCATGTCAGATTTGCCTGGGTTTAGAGTAGGCATTCCACCCTACAGCATCAGCTAGTTTTAGGGGGTGAGCTAACCTTTTCTGTAAAAGACTAGGTAATGGATTATTCCAGGCCACATAATCATTGGTGCAGCTCTGCTCCTATGTGATGAAAGCAGCCATAATTTGTTCCCATAAAATTTAATTTACACCTGGCATTGGTGGCCACGCCTTTAATCCCAACACTTGGGAGGCAGAGGCAGGTGAATCTCTGTGAGTTTGAGGCCAGCCTGGTCTACAAAGAAAGTTAGGACAGCTTCCAAAACTACAGAGAAACCCCTATCTCGAAACACCCTCACCCTTACCCACCCACCCACCCCCGCCAAAAAAAATCTAATTTACAAAGTCAGGCAGCAGTGGCATGTTAGGGGTTTATTTTGTGACGGGAAACTTATTTGTTTCTCTTTAGACAAGGACTGGCTGTGTAGTCCAGGCTGACCTGGAACTCTCCATCTTTTTGCCTCAGCCTCCTCAGATCTGGGATTACAGGCGCTGATCCCCAGGCTCTGCTGGAGGGTGACACTGAGATGTCTGGAAGGAGATGAGCCAAAGATGGAGAGCAGGCGTCTGCCGCTTGCTGGTAAGTAGAAAGACTCAGTAAAAAATAAATCTGCCTCCAGTGGGCCGGAGAGACGGCTCAGAGGTTTAGAGCACTGACTGTTCTTCCAGATGATGTGGGTTCAGTTCCCAGCACCCACATGGTGGCTCACAACCATCTGTAATGAGATCTGGCGCCCTCTTCTGGCTTGCAGGAACACATGCAGGCAGAACACTGTTTACATAGTAAATAAAAAAAGAAATCGGCCTCCAGATTAGCTGATGTGTGCAAAGTCATGCAAAACAAAAAAGAAAGGTCATTATTAAGGGTGCTCCCAACAGGTGCTCAGGCCTGTGACCCTGGGCACCTAGGAGCCTGACAGCTGGGGTTAAAACATGAGATCCTGTCTCAAAGAATGATCTCAAAAAGCTGAGAGTAGTATTTCACATTTATAATCCCAGAATGAAGCAAGAGGATTGTATTGCTGTGAGTTCAAGACTAGCCTGGGCTACAATGAGGCCCTGTCTCAAAAAAGAAGAAAAAGAATCATCACCAACATATTTAAGAGCCCAGTGACCCAAAACAAGGGAAGAGTGAATTTCTTAAGGGTCTGCCTGGTTCTAGCTTCAGATTTTCCTCCCTTACCCCTCTGTGTGTCCCAGTAACTGCGGACAAGGCTGGAAATGTCTGCCTTTCCAGCAACTGGCCAACAGAGGTACAACAGAGAGGAGGAGCTTAGCGCAGCTGGTACTTTCACCAAAGGTTAAAGGTCAGGTCAGGTGTGGTAACCCACACCTTTAATCCCAGCACTCAGGAGGCAGAGGCAGGCAGATCTCTGTGAGTTCGAGGACAGCCTGGTCTACAGAGTGGATTTCAGGACACCCAGGGCAATTTAGAGAAAACCTGTCTCAAAAAACAAAAACAAAACAAAAAAAAACTAAATAGATAGATAGATAAATAGATGAGGTTGAAGGTCAGCAACAGGAGGCCTCAGAACTGTGAGCAAAGGCCATTTATTTGGCTGCACCCTCTGCTTATCTGATGTGTGGCTAGGATAAAGTTTCCTTTCCTTGGCCATGCTAGGGACGCAGTCCAGCCTGCTAGAGAGGCTGCCACTGAGGCACGCCCCCAACCCTCACTAGGTGAAGTCAGGCCAGTGTTGCTGCTGTACCGCAGAGCCGTGCGCCTAGCCCTTTACTGGGGAATTCTAGGCAGTGGCTCTTAGCAGTGAACCACGCCTCTAGCGGAAGAAGAGAGTTGGGTGTAAGTGTCTGCGCGTTTTAGAAAAGGGTCTCAGGTAGCCCAGGGTGGCCCATCAGCTCCTGATCTTGCTTCTTCTCCCATGCTGGGATTAGGCTTGTACCACCAAAGTGTGTGACACACAGTTCCTCGGTGCAGAAGTTAAGACTGGGTGGCTGTGGGGAAAAAAGCAATTGTGCTCTGTTGTTTGGTTTTATACTTTTTACTCTTTGTGGGAGCCCACCAGCCAGCTCCCAAATAAATACACAGAGGCTTATTCTTACTTATAAATGCCCTGCCTTAGCTTGGCTTGTACCTAGCCAGCTTTTCTTAACTTATTCCATCTACATTTTGCCTCTGAGATTTTACCTTTCTCTTTTTCTTTTTCTGTTTTTTGTTTTGTTTTTTCGAGACAGGTTTCTTCTGTATTGTTTTGGAGGCTGTCCTGGAACTTGCTCTGTAGACCAGGCTGGCCTCGAACTCACAGAGATCCGCCTGCCTCTGCCTCCCAAGTGCTGGGATTAAAGGCGTGCGCCACCAACGCCCGCTTTACCTTTCTCTTTCTGTATACCTTTACTTGTTACTCTGTGGCTTGCTGTGTAGCCGGGTGACTGGCCCCTGGAGTCCTCCTGTCCTTCTCCTTCTCTGGCTCCCCGATCCTATTTTCTCTCCCGAATTTCTCCTGTTTTTATTCTCTCTGCCTGCCAGGCCCCGCTGTCTTCCTCCGGGCTTGCTGTTGGCCGTGCAGCTCTTTGTTAGCCTCATGCATGAGGTGGTAAGATTCCGCAACAGCGTTCCCACCCTCCGTGTCTGCAGGTGGCGTGCGGAGCTCCCTGCTGCCATCCGGGTCCCGAGGCTGAGTGACTGCCTGCCGTCTCCCGTCACCTCCCAGCATGGACAGGGGCAGCCTCCTGCCCTTCCAGCTCTGGTGCCCCCGCCCCTTTGGCACTTACTCCCAGAACCAGCCGCGCCCGCCCCCCGCCGCAGCCCTCAAGCCGCCAGCCTGCTCCGACCCCGGCGGCGGCGGGACTGAGCCCGACCGCGGGCCTGCGCACTCAGAGAACACACCCCCTGCCTCGGCCGCAGACGCCCCCGCGGCCTCCCAGCATGCTCCTGTCCTCTCGACAGCCGCTGCTGGCGACGAGGGTCGCGTCTTGCTGGACACGTGGTATGTGATCAAGCCCGGAAACACAAAGGAGAAGGTGGCCTTCTTTGTGGCCCACCAGTGCGGTGGGGGAGGCCGGGCGAGCTCCATGAAGGTCAAGGGCCACTGGGGCAGTGACAGCTCCAAAGCCAAGAGGCGGCGGCGCTGCCTGGAGCTCACCAAGGCTCCCCCGGACCCGGGGGGCGGAGGAGGGGCCCCTGCCGCGGACGGGGCCCCCGCGACACCCGGGGATGACGTGGACCTGCTCTCCGTGGCAGAAATGGTGGCCCTGGTGGAGCAGAGAGCCGCCCTGGCCCTGCAGAGCTACCCGCGCCCCGCGCCCCCGTCTCCCGTGGTCTTCGTGTCGGCCGAGCAGGGGGGACCAGCCAAGGGCTTAGGGTCCGAGAGGCGGTCCGGTGGCGGCGACTGCAGCCGCGTGGCCGAGGCCGTGGCCCACTTTGAGGCCCAGCGGGACAGCCCCGCCACCAAGGGTCTCCGCAAGGAGGAGCGGCCAGGCGCGGGGCCCGGCGAGGTGCGCATCGCTTTCCGCATCTCCAATGGCCGCGAGCCCCGCTCGCCAGACGGCAATTTACCTGCTTGGAGCGGGAGTCGGCCCGGCAGCCCCGGGGCTCGAGCCAAGGACAAAATCACCTGCGACTTGTACCAGCTCATCAGCCCGTCCAGGGATGCGCTTCCCAGCACCATGGAGTTCCTGCTGGCCAGGGCGGACGAAGCCAGCGAGGGTGACCCGCCAGCCCTGGCCAGGCCCGAGGATGCTCCCCCCGCCCCGCCCCCGCCCCCCGCCCGGGACTGTGGGGCGTCGGGCTTCCACGTGGACGTGGTGGTGACAGGCGTCGTGGACGAGTGCGTCTTCTTTGGCAAGGACGGCACCAAGAACGTGAAGGAGGAGACCGTGTGTCTGACCGTGAGCCCGGAGGAGCCGCCCCCACCCGGCCAGCTCTTCTTCCTGCAGGCGCGGGGTCCGGAGGGGCCTCCCGAGCCACCCCCCGCCGACACGCCGAGCGCAGTGCCGGGCGCCGACGACCCTGAGGGCGCAACGGACACCTCCCTGTGCCGCCTGTACCGGCACGTGTCGCACGACTTCCTGGAGATTCGCTTCAAGATCCAGCGCCTCCTGGAGCCGCGGCAGTACATGCTGCTGCTGCCCGAGCACGTGCTCGTCAAGATCTTCAGCTTCCTGCCCACGCGGGCGCTGGCGGCCCTCAAGTGCACCTGCCACCACTTCAAGGGCGTCATCGAAGCCTTCGGCGTGCGCGCCACGGACTCGCGCTGGAACCGGGACCCGCTCTACCGCGACGACCCTTGCAAGCAGTGCCGCAAACGATACGAGAAGGGCGACGTGTCCCTCTGCCGCTGGCACCCCAAGCCCTACCACCACGACCTGCCTTACGGACGCTCCTACTGGATGTGCTGCCGCAGAGCCGACCGCGACACGCCCGGCTGTCGCCTGGGCCTGCACGACAACAACTGGGTGCCGCCGTGCAACGGCGGGGGCCGGGGCCGCGCTGGCCGGGAGGAGGGAAGGTGAAGCCTGGGCGTGAGGGGACATCTGCCAGCACCTCCCAGTCCATCCAGCGTTCGCCTCCCCCCAGAGCCGGGACCAGGTTCGGGGTCCGTGGGGTAAAAACCCTGCTCGACCCTGCTGGTTTTCTACTCTTCAGAGCCGGGGCCGTGCACCCTCAGAGAGGGTTGTGGCTTTCGCTTTTTTTTACCGGCATCTCAATTGCGCCTCATCAAGACCCAACCCCATCCCCGAGTCTCTCTACCCCAGGGACCCACCAGCAGGGAGCAGACGGCAGCTAATTTTGGTACCACCTGAGGCTCTCCTCAAGCTGGCCCTCCCCACTCTGTGCCTCCTCAGTTCTTTGTCTCTGGAGCTCACCAAAGGGTCGCAGTCTGCGGTTGACACCTCCAGGCCATCGGCTCGAAACTCAAGTCGGCACTTTTTCGAGGCAGCCCACCGTTTCTACATGTTTTCCTCATTAAATAACAATAAAATGACTTCTTCTGCACTCCCAGTCTCTCCTCTCCCCCAGGGAAAGTGGGTGAGATCCCTGCCCCTCTTGAAGCTCTTGTCGCTGAATCCCCAGGAAAGCTGCGAAGCCCTTACCTCAGAGGGCAAGGACCGCGCCTCTGCATTTCTAGGTGACCCTTCCTTCCACACGGGGCACTCAATGAGGCGTTCGGGTTTTTCCTCTTATGGGAGTGTTTAATTTGTTTTCTCCTTCATTGTGGTTCTGGAAGCTTCTAGAGTGTGGCATCTGACCAATTTTGAATTGGTCCTTTCTATAAAAATCAATATTTATGAAGCAGGGCCAGATTGGTCTGTGTGATGTTAAGGGACTTGGTAACGGAAGAGACGCACACATAGGTCTGCGCTTGGCAGGGTGGGATGGGAGAGGAGAAGGGGTCCCCAGCTAAGTCCCTTTGCCTGAAAAGGTCTCGACATCTCTCACTTTAGTATTTTTTGGTTGTGAGCCTCACCTTTAGTGGCTGAGCCATCTCTCCAGCCCTCGCTTAGTATTTTTTTAAATCCCAAAATAATAGTGGCTTAGACAAGGTCATTTTTCCTTCTTTCAAGAGTCCAGTATTGGGTGATGTGGGGCCCCCGGGTCACCGTTGCAGGGTGCTTCAGCAGTGGTCCCCGGCGCCGTGGTGTGTGACTGCAGGATTCCTGCTGTCCCTGTGGAGCAGGGGGGAAGTCCCCTTCGTGGTAGAGGTGCCACACATGCTGTGACTCCATCTCATCCATCACAACTCCCCAGCCCCTCGTTTTTCTATGCAGACGTGCTGGGTATGGGGCCCAAGGTAGAAACATAAGGTTCTTTCATTCTCAATATTTTGTGTATGTATGTGTGATGTGTGGGTAGTTGTTATGGAATATTTGTTGAATGATGCAAAGATGTGTTGCAATCTTTTATGCTGCATGTGTTTAACTCTGTGAGGCTGTGTTACTGTGCCTGCCTAAAACACTTGATTGCTCTAACAAAGAGCTGAATGGCCGATTAGCCAGGCAGGAGAGGGCCAGGCAGGGCTGCCAGGCGGGAGAATGGGAGAAAAGGAACGAACACAGGTGAGAATCAAGAAAAGGGACGAGGACGCCAGGAGCCGGCCAAACACACAACCACGGAGTGAGGAGGAGAGAAAGAAAAGTTCAGAGGCAAAACGTAAGAGAAATAGGGAAACTTAAGAAAAGCTGGCTAGCCGGGCGTTGGTGGCGCACGCCTTTAATCCCAGCACTCGGGAGGCAGAGGCAGGCGGATCTCTGTGAGTTCGAGACCAGCCTGGTCTACAGAGCGAGTTCCAGGACAGGCTCCAAAGTAATACAGAGAAACCCTGTCTCAAAAAACCAAAAAAAAAAAAAAAAGAAAGAAAGAAAAAAAGAAAGAAAGAAAAAGCCCAAGTTAAGGCTGGGCATTCATAAGTAAGAATAAGTCTCTGTGTGTTTATTTGGGAGCTGTGTGGCAGCCCCAAGAGTTCTTTATTAGACCAATCAGGTGTTGTAGGCAAAGTAATAGCTTCACAGAATTAAACTAATGCAACATAAACCAATGCAACAAATATTCCACAGCAAGAACAAATGTAACACATCTCAAACTAATACTCCACAGCAGGTAGTATAGGTGCACACGTGGTACAGCGCCCACATGCAGCTCTCTCCATCACTGTAGGTTCCAGGGATTAAGCCGAGGTCGTCAGGCTTATGCAGCGAGTACTTCTATCCACTGAAGCCTTTTCACAGACCCATAAGATTCATTTCACCTTACACACATAATCTGATGGTGAATTTGTGTTTGTGGTGCTAAGGATGGAGCCCAGGACCACACATGCCCTACCACTGAGCCACACCCCCAGCCCCTCACTGGGGGATTCTAGACAGGGGCTCTACCACTGAGCCACACCCCCAGCCCCTCACTTGGGGGATTCCAGGCAGAAACTCTACCACTGAGCCATGCCCCAGCCCCTCACTGGGGATTCTAAGAGGTGCTGTAGGTGCTAAGCTACAGTCTTAGTCCATTTTGACATAGGGTCTCACTAAATTGCCAGTCCAGCTTTGAATTCACTCTATCCCAGGCAGGCCTTGAGCTAGGTGAGCTGGGATTCACGGACCTGTGTCATCACACCTGGCTCTTATTTTCCAGCCCACGTTATGATTCAGGTTCCCGTGAAATCTGCAGTTCACCAGAAAACCAGTGGGTGGCATCCTCGTTAACGCGCCATCTTGCTGAGATGAAGGGTGGCTTCACACGTGCTCAGCAGGCGCTGTGTATGACTGAGCTGCCCCTTCAACCTGGTTCCCACCGCCTACGCTTTCCTCCGGCGCTTTCCACTAAGCAACTCTGCCGTCACCAGAGGGGCTTTAAAGATAGGCACACCAAACGCAGTTAAAAAGATACCCACAAATGTTTATTCCTTGTTTGCTTTTTGTGACAGGGTTGCTCTTGTAGATCAGGCTGGCCTTGATCCACCTGCCTCTGCCTCCTGAGTGCTGGGATTAAAGGTGAGTTCCACAACACCCGCTCTTACTACTCTTGTCCCTACCCCTTCCGTTGGTCCTGGCTCAGTGGGTTTGGGGTGGATTTGGAAGCCTGTTTTTGGTTTTGTTTTTTTACATGGACTTGAGAAATAACCCCTGGCTGGCTATGGCGAGGTAGCAATCTTACCCAGTCCCTGGGACTGGGTAGGAGGATTGGAAACTTTGCTAACCAGGACTGCACACGTCTAGGGAAGTCAGGGCTATACAGTTAGACCTTGTCTTGAGAAATAGTGCTGGGTGAGGTGACTCATGCCTTCAAGGAAAGTTTGCTCTACCAAAGGAAATGGTAGTCCGGGGCTGACTGGGCCCTCTCTAACCCTAGAAAGACCTCTCCTTTTGAAGGAAGAAACTCTAATGTCATTTCCCAGTGGGAATTGTGGCTTTCTCTAAGCCGATGTGGAGACCTGGCTGGGCTTCATCTCTGTCCTGAGTTCTGAAGCCCATGGGAGTCAGAACTGGTCCACGCAGTAGCAAGTTACTTACGACAAATGTGAAACATTCTCCACAGAGCATTCATTCGGTTGGTGGCGCTGGCCCAGGTGTCAGCCCGTGTCACAGCATTTGATCCCTGGGGACTTCCAGATCAGTCTTTACTTCAGGACAGAAGCCAAAGCCCTTTGGCTTTCAAATGGCCCCGGTGTTTCTGGCGTGTCTTTGAAATGCAGTGGCTTGAGATGGTTGTAGCATACATCTAAGGTGAGCCTGGCCACCCCGCACTGGCTCCAGGTGTCCCCGTCATGTCCCCAGCCGGGTGTAAGATCCTCCCAGAGCATCTGTGTGCAGACTAGAGTCCCAGGTACTCGGCCAGGAACACGGCGAGGATGCGGCTCAGGTTGTGTACGGTGGGTGGGTGGAGGTTGGCCTCGGTGTCAGCAGGGGTGTGCCATACGGCAGGAAAGGGCGTGGCAATGAGGTGGAGAACCTGGACCCCTGCAGCAGACGGGAGATTCGGCGGCCAGCTGCAACCCTCAGCTGCTACAGAGAACCCACCTCAGCTCTGGCTAGTCCTTTATAACCTCTTAACCCACAACCCCGGGCGTGCTAAGCAAGCACTCTACCCCTGAGCTACATTCCCCAAGCCCGGAAGAGTGATGTCAAACGTGAGAGGGTACATGTTGTTTAAGAGCCGAGCAGCGCTCGCCTTTAATCCCAGCGCTTGGGAGGCAGAGGCAGGTGGATCTGAATTTGAGGCCAGCTTGGTCTACGGAGTGAGTCTCAGGACAGTAACAGCTACACAGTGAGATTCTGTCTTTCTTTTTTTGTTTGGTTGTTTTTTTGTTGTTGTGGCTTTAATTGTTTATTTGTATTTTATGTACATTGGTGATTTGCTTGCATATATGTCTGTATGAGAGTGTTGGAACCCCTACACAGCAGTTACAGACATGGGTGCTGGGATTTGAACCCGGGTCCTCTGGAAGAGCAGCCAGTGCTCTTAGCTGCTGAGCCATCTCTCCAGCCCTTTTTTCTTTCACCAGGCTGGGCTCAAACTCACAGACATCCACCTGCCTCTGCCTCCCGAGTGCTGGGATTAAGGGCGTGCACCACCACAGACCAGCGAACCTGTGCTCTTTTTCAAAACTCTTGTATTCCCTGGAATCCTGCTCTGCGAATGTTTCCCTGTGCAGCCACAGAGACAGGTGGACTGGGGCCCCTGAGAGCAACACCCCGTTCCTTGCCCTCCCTGAAGGACTCGGTGAAGAAATGGAATAGTGCTTGCCTGGCGTGCAAGAGGCTTGCTGTGCACTGCGCTCAGCTCAGATCAAACATCCGATGCCCTCCATTCTCCCCATTTTATAGATGAAGAAATCAAGGCTGAGCCCTCGCCAGCAGCCCCTAGCCCCGGGGTAGAAGGCTCCCTTGTCCCCTCGGTCCCAGCAAGTACCTCTGCGGAGGAAGGGGATGTGATCGTCTTCCACGGGGCCAGGGGGCTCCCCCGGTTGGAAGTACATCACTTCCTGCGGGTGAGACTGCAGTAGGTTCAGACGGTGAAGGCGCTTCTCTAGAGAGGTTGGAAAGCGGGATCAGTCAGCAGCCAGCGTTACACCCCAAAACCATGTATATGTATGCACCAAGCACATGCAGTGCCTGTGGAGGCCACAGGGGGCGTCCGATCCCCTAGGACTGGAGTTACAGTTGGGACCTGCCATGTGGGTGCTGGGACTCAACCCAGGTCCCCTGGAAGGCTGCCAGTGCTGTTAATTGGTGGGTCATCTTTCCAGCAACATGGTTCTTTTTATGGCAAGTTTCCTATTCCTAGTCTCATTTAACCCTCTGTCGAGGAGGGAGATGTCTCTATTATTTGTGTGTGACTGGGGGTGGTGTGCATGCGGAGGCCTGGAGTAAGTTTTCTCCCTTTTTTTTTTTTTTTTTTTTTTGGAGGGAGGTGTTGATTTTTCACGACAGGGTTTCTCCGTGGCTTTGGAGCCTGTCCTGGAACTCACTTTGTAGACCAGGCTGGCCTTGAACCCACAGAGATCCGCCTGCCTCTGCCTCCCGAGTGCTGGGATTAAAGGCCACCTTCTCCCTCCACTTTTACACGGGTTCTGGGAATGAATTCTGGCTGCCAGGCTTTGAGGCCAGCACCTTTACCCACTAAGCTATGTCACTGACCCCTGGGTTCTTACTTTATTTATTTATTTTGACATTTTTAGAGACAGGCTCTCATGTACCTGCGGGCTAGCCTCAAACTGTGTGGCTGAAGATGACCCTTGATCCTCCTGACCTACAACTACCTCCCAAATATGAAATGACAGGCATGCACCACCTCTATAGGCTGTTACTTATTTTGAGATAAAATCTTGCTTCGTAGCCCAGACTTGCCTAGGATTCACAATCCTCTTGCCTCTGCCTTCCCAGTGCTGGGATACAGGTGAACACCACCAGGCAGCTTATTCTAGCATGGGATTTGCTATGTAGCCCAGGATCGCTCTGAACTTACAGTCTCGTTTTCTCAGCTTCCTGAGTGTTGAGATTTCAGGCATGCACCACCATGATGACAACTACGCCCCTGTGAGCATTACCACCACGCTTATTTTACATAAGAAATAGAGGCTCACCTTCCATCCCAGCGCTCGGGAGGCAGAGGCAGGCGGATCTCTTGAGTTCAAGGCCAGCCTGGTCTACAGAGCGAGTTCCAGGACAGCCAGGGCTACACAGAGAAAGAAGCCCTGTCTTTAAAAAAACCCCACAAAAACAAAATAAAAAGAAACAGAGGGTTAGAGAGATGAAGCGTGGTTTGAAACAGGCCAGTCTCACACAAGAGTTCTGCTGTCAAAGTCGCTACACTCCACTCATAGGAACCGTTTGTTTCTCCCTGGTTTCGGGCCCAGGGATAGGAGGCGAGGGCAGGATGAGTTCCCAGAGGTCAGCTGATAGTCCTACCCTTGGCCTGGCCGACCCTCCTTACCGATGCTCCTTAGTCGTTGGAACCAGCGGGCTGTGCGGGGGAAGTGACTGAAGAAGATGGGACTGGGCGCTCCCAGAAGGTCAAGAAGGACAAAGAGCTCCTGGGGGAGGAGTCCAGGGCTGGAGTCTGTTTGTCTGTCCTATGCTACTGACCGTACCCTGACCCCTCCCGGCCCCCTGCTCCAGAGCCCAGAGGAACGGATCTTACAATAGCCTGGATCCTAGTGGGGCCAGGGCTGTGTGGTATAGACTCCATGATCTGAGCTAAGTGCTGGGAGCCATAAAGGGAGTCCTTTGGTCCCCACGCCGCCAGCGCCTCCTCCCCATCCAAGAAGAGCAGCTGCAGAGTCACCGGCACCGCCTGTGGGAACAAGCAGCCAGGTCAGTACCAACCCTTGGCATCCACCCACCCACATGCCCTGCCTGTTTGCACAGCTGGGATGGGACAGACCCAGTGGCCTCCTTCCTGCAGTGTGACAACAAGTCATGGTTGAGCCAGAAGGGTTCGGATCCATGCTTTCGGTGGTCGTCAGACATGGTAACCTTGTTTCGTGGAGCCCAAGCTGGCCTGGAACTTCCATCATGGTGCCCTCCCTGGGGTGACAGGTGTGTCCCCAAAATGCCCATTTTTATTTTTTGCAGTGCTAGGGAGTGGCTCTAGGGATGCCCATTTGCTAGGCATGCACTGTACCCCTGAGCCACACCCCCGGCCCTCTCACTACTTTTTTGGGGACAGGGTTTCCGTCAAGTCGCCCAGGCTACCCTTGAGCTCACTCTGTAGCCCTGGCGGGCCTTGAACTTCCACTCCCCAGGCCTCCAAGTCTGGAGGAGCTGGGATTACAGGCCGGTGCCACCAGGGTTGGCTCAATCTCTTCATCTATGGATGGGGTTAATAGGTCCATTCACAGGATCACATTTGAATCCAGGTTGTAAGAACTGAATGAGTCAGCTCTTGTTATTACTTAAGCCCAGTTGGCCAAGACAGACAGACAGACAGAGCGACAGACAGACCCACCCAAAAGGGGATAGCTGCACAATGAAGGTCTGTGTTCAAGCTGCCCTCGGTGTGGCACACAGTTCACTTCCTGTTGCCTGCTGATCAGGACGCAGATCTCAGCTCCTATTCCAGCACCCGTCTACCCACACGCCACCATGACGATAAGATGGACTAAACCTCTGAAGCTACAAACCACCTCAATTAAATGTCTTTCTTTATAAGAAAGAGTGGCCATGGCTGGGCGGTGCTGGCGGGTGCTGGCGCACGCCTTTAATCCCGGCCACGGAGAAACCCTGTCTCAGGCCCCCTGCCCCCCAAAAGAGTTGTCATGGCCATGGTGTCTCTTCACAGGAATAGAAACCCCAACTGAGACATGCGCGTATGTATGACTGTAACGCCAGCACTCGGGGGGGGAGCAAGAGGGTCGGAAATTCAAGGTCATTCTTGAGTTTGACGCCAGTGTGGCCTCTATGAGACCTGGCTGGGGAGAGAAAAGTCCTGTGTTTCAGTGCATAGAGCGAACGTTGGAAAAGGAAAATGACAGTGGAGGCTGAGAAAACGGGTGACAGCGGGGCATTCCCACTGCTTGGAAGGGTGATGCCAAAGAATGGCTGCGTTCGAGGCTAGCCTGGGCTACATTGGAGTGAAACCCCGTCTGGAAAAAGAAAAGGATGACAGGAGGACAGGCGGCCCTCCCCACGCTCCCTCACCTGCTGCTTGGCACGGCTCAGCATCACATCAAAGGCCTGGGCCAGCTCCAGGAGCAGGGCGCAGGGCACCGCCGAGTCCGTGGCCCCCACGAAGGGGGCCGACCCAGGAGGGAAGAACTTAGAGTCGTAATGGCAGGCCAGGGTGAGGTGACGGGCAGCTGCTGGGTCAAGCGTGGCCACCACATTCCCGAAGTCCAACGGCCCCAGGGGTGTTGAGGCTGTGAAAGGGTCCAGTTCCACGTGCCAGCCTGCTGACAGGGACCGCAGCGTGGTCTCCAGGAACTAGTGGCAAGAGAGAGGTAGGAGGGTGGACAGGGACTGGGGAGGAGGTGGGGAGAAGGGTCTTGTGACCGGAGCCTCGCAGAGCAGTCTGGGTGATTAGAAAGCCCCACTTGGGATGAGGTTGTTCCCTTGACGTATGTTTCTACTGAGGAACAACTGTGTGCCAGACGTGGGATAACAGCACCTCTTTTTGTTTTTGTTTTGTTTTTTATATCTGAGACAGGGTTTCTCTGTGTAGCTTTGGAGCCTGTCCTGGAACTCACAGAGATCCGCCTGCCTCTGCCTCCTGAGTGCTGGGATTAAAGGCCACCAGCACCCAGCTACCACACCTCTAGATAGCAATAAAACTTGCGGCTTACTATGTAGTTCAGGCTAGCCTCCAACTTGCTGCATAGCTGAGGCTGGCCTAGAACCCCAGATCATGCTTCTGCTTTCTGAAAGGATTTTTAGACCAAGGCCACCACCACACCCAGCTATGGATAATGCTCTCTCTCCTCTCTGTCCCCTCATGTTGACTCCTCCAAAATCACATCTAAGGTGACCTTCCACCCTCTCCCTGGGTCTGTCTGTCTCTCTCCATGGTGCTGAGGACTGACTCAGGATTTCCCGCATGCTGCTTACAGAGACACCGTCCCACACCGGTGGATGCTAGACCAGTGCCCTACCATTGGGCCACACCCCCAACCTCACACTGGTGATTTCTAAGCAAGCGCTGGCCTGTTGAGACATGCTATGACTTCCTCTTAAAAAGCTCTCACTGTGTGCCAAGCCTGTGCTAGGATCCCTATAAAGTCACCAATGTCAGTGAATGTCCCCATTCTGCAGGTGGGGAAACGGAGTCCCAGAGAGGTCCCAACTAAGGTAGATTCTAAATACAGCATCTAAATGGCAACAAAGGAATGCTACACCACCCATTAATGAAGCCAACCTTCTTGGATTCTATCTACAGCTAACTGTGGGGTCTGAACAAAATGTAGTAACTCCCCTGGCCTTCAATTTCCCCATCTGTACAGCGGGGATTACGTTGGTTCCGACCTCACCAGACAATACATTGCTGTCCCTAATATAAAGTAAGCTTTTGATAGGTGCTGTATAGTTTGGGATTTGTGCATCACTGTGAGAATCTAGAGTCTGGTTCGCACACCCCCCCTCCTCTCCCCCCCCGCCCCCATCAGAGCCCCAGTCTGCTGCCTCTGACTGTTCCGGGATCTTAGATGCCTGAGTCCCATTTCCTGACAGGCTGGGAAAAGGAGTTTGGGGACTGGAAATAAGACCCTTTACCTTTCTCACTTGGAGATTGCCAGGACTACCCGGGGGCCGCACAATCAGCAGGGGACGCAGGAAAGTCCCCCAGAGACGCTGCGGATCCAGCAGCCCTACCACCCTTCGAAGCTTGGCTTCCTGAAGGCTTCCAGTCAGCGGGGCCTTGGTTGGGAAACGAGGTGGGGAAAAGAAAAATGAAGGCAACCCCATTCCCACCCCGTCCTGGGCGCCGTTGCCCCCTAGGAACCCTGACTCTTCTTGGTGACGCATCAAAGACTTGGGAGGAAACATCCATATATCCTAGACTGGGAGAAAGTCTTCAAAGCAAATCTGGTCCATCCTACTACAGTCCTGACGAGAATCTTCTACACAGATGGCCTGGGGCGTAGAACTCAGATCTACCAGGGTTGCTAGGCTGACCCCTCCTCTTCAGAACGGGCTGGTTCAAAAACAAGCCTGCTTGGGAAGGGGCGTGCGCTTTAAAAGACGGAGAAAGAGAAGTCACCCGGGGCAAGGGCCACGCGACACAGCCACGTAAATCTGAGAGTCTACACGAAAGGAAACAGAGGAAGGACGGTACCGGGGCCCCAGCCAGGCCTCACCCGCAGATCCCGGCTCCGCGACGGCTCCTGAACCCCCGGGTGCCAGCTGTTCCAGACGATGAAGACAGCCAAGGCCAGGGCCAGCGCCAACAGCAGCAGGGGCAGGAGCTGCACGCGCGGCAGCAGGCGGCGCTTGGAGAGCGAGGGGGGCTGCATGAAGCCCCGATCGCCGAGCCGCTGCCGGGGCCGCCCGCGGCCCCCGGGACTCATGGCAGCCTGGCCCTGAAACCCATCTCCGGACTCTGGGTCGACTTTAGGCCAAGCCCCGCCCCTTATGGATGACAACAGCCAATGAGGAAGGAGAGTGCCTGCATCGTCGCCCCGCCCCACCCTCGGACGACTGCGATTGGCTCTCCTCTACACGGAACGAGCCAAGAGGCAGCGCGAAAGCCTTAGGGCCCGCCCCCACGGAAGCGGAACAGCCAATGGGCTGCGTCTGACTGTGCGAAACAACGGCTTCCGCCGGGGGGGGGGGAAATGGGCGGGGGCCACGGCGCCTCATACGTCGCTCAAGAAACCCATCAAGGAGCTGTCACTCAAGGAAAAACGGGCGGCACCCAAGCCCCTGAAGCAAGGAGTCGATTGGCTCGCCCGAGGCCACGCCCCCAGGGGAAATTGTAGGCGCGTGTTTGGAATCGGGGCTGCGTTCCGCTCCTTCCACCTAGACGGGGGATTAATTCGAGCCAGGCCCCCCATTTTACTGTCGTCAGCAGAGACCCCCTCCCCGCCCCTATTTGTGATCCTCACTGACCTCGAATCCTCCCTTCCCGGCATTTTCTGTGGCCGAGCGCGGCCGCTGGGTCGCTATGGCAACACGACACGCCCACCCCGCCGCCGGGGCGGGTTGCGCGGGCGGGCGCCGGCGGAAGTGCCGCGAAGGAGGCGGAAGTCCCGCCTTCCGCTCGCCCTACGCCGGAGGCTGCAGCAACGCGGTGCAGGCGGGAGTGCTCTGCGATCGAAACCTCCACCATGTGAGGCCGGGCCGGGCTTGGCGGGGACGGTTGGGCCGGTCGGCTGTGGGAGCGGGGTGCTCGTAGCTGGGGGCAGGGTTCCCCGAGCCACAGTCGCGTCTTTTCCTCCTGGGGACCGGCCTGGGGCCTTGGACGCGTCGCGAGTTCCGGAGCCGGGCAGCTTTTATTTCCTAACGGGCGCGGGACTCTGCCTAGGTGCTGAGCCTTGTCAGAGTGACCTGTAAGAGGGAAGCTGGCTCTGGTGGCACAAGCCGAGAGGCCGAGAGAGGCAGGAGGGTCGCGAGTTCGCGCCCAGCCTTGGGCTTCATACAGGGAGGCCGTTTCCCGAAGTAACAGTAATTTTAAATGGCAGTGGTCTTATGGGTAAAGATCTTGGCGGGCAAGGGAGGTCTGTTAGAAGCAGTGAAAGGCTCTCGAAAAAAAAAAAACAAAAATGATGATGACGGACTTAACCAGGATAATTACGAGGACAGACAGGTGCCTTTTCGACCTAATTCGACACTGTCAGGGTAGCACACTACCGGGGTGATGTGGTGTGTTTACTCGTTGAGCAGATATTACGTAGACTGGCTGTAAGTTAGACACACAGTGAATTTTTAAAAAAAAGGCCCGGCCGGGCGTTGGAGGCGCACGCCTTTAATCCCAGCACTCGGGAGGCAGAGAGGCAGGCGGATCTCTGTGAGTTCGAGGCCAGCCTGGTCTACAAGAGCTAGTTCCAGGACAGGCTCCAAAGCCACAGAGAAACCCTGTCTCGAAAAACAAAAAAAAAAAAGGCCCTTGCCACCGAGGGGACAATCTTCTCACTGGGGCTTGTAAAAGGGATGGGGTAGGGAGACCAGAGGAATGAACGGATGTATACAGTGTGTTAGATGATGAAGCGTGTGAGCGGGGAAATTGAGCAGCTACCACAAAAGAACGGAAAGCTCACGCCGCGGGCTGGGGTTGCAGCTCAGTAGACAGAGGACATGGCCTCCTGGGTGTAGTGGCACCGAGCCTGTGATCCCAGCGGTCTGGAGGCAGAGGTGCACAGTCTGAGCCCCAGGCCAGCCAGGGTTACACAGTAAGACATTGTTGTGCGGGTGGCGGGCACCAGAGAGGGGTGGTGGAAGCTTCGACCGCGGATAGAAACAGCCAGGTTCTGGATATATTAGAGGCAGATGATGAGATGTGAGGGTGGATTTGCTCTAAGACTCGAGAGAAGAGTCGAGTGCCAGGCTTTGATGCTGAACTCCTGTGATCCCACAACTTGGAAGGTGGAGTCAGGAGAATTGAATGTTGAGGGTCATCCTTAGCTGTTTAGCAAGTTCAAGGCTAACCTGGGCTATATGAGATGCTGTCTCCAAAACAGGAATCAGTTTTAGCTTAGAGAACCCTTGAATAGAGCCGCCATCAGTGAAGATACGGGGACTGTGGTGGGCGGAAGAGGCTTGGTGGTTAGACCCGCTGCAGAGGCTAACTAGAAAGTCTCTCCCGCCGGGCGTTAGTGGCACACGCCTTTAATCCCAGCACTCGGGAGGCAGAGGCAGGCGGATCTCTGAGTTCGAGGCCAGCCTGGTCTACAGAGTGAGTTCCAGGACAGCCTCCAAAACAATACAGAGAAACCCTGTCTCGTAAACCAGAAAATGTCTCTCCCACCTCTAGAAAAGACTGAGCCAGGGAGGGTATTTTGGGGACCGGGTCGGGGAGACACTGGACAGTGGCTTTGATTACCCACACTTCCAAGCTCACCCATCTCGCCCATGGTTCCTCTCTCTATCCAGGAGTCTCCTCAATAAACCCAAGAGTGAGATGACCCCAGAAGAGCTGCAGAAGCGGGAAGAGGAGGAATTCAACACAGGTCCCCTGTCGGTGCTCACGCAGTCAGTCAAGAACAACACGCAAGTGCTCATTAACTGTCGCAACAACAAGAAGCTCCTGGGCCGGGTGAAGGCCTTCGACAGGTGAGCGCTGCCTTGGCGAGGGCTGGGTCTCGGGCCTCAAGGAAAGGCTACACCAGAAGCATAGTGATAATTGCACATGGTGACAGCCACCTTTAATCTCCCCTCTCAGAAGCATCACCATGAGTTAGAGGCCAGCCTTGAGAAGTAAATCAGAAAGTGCTTTTTTGTTGTTGTTATCTGAGAACAGGGTTTCTCTGTGTAGCCCTGGGTGTCCTGGAACTCACTCTGTAGACCAGGCTAGCCTCGAACTCAGAGATCCGCCTGCCTCTGCCTCTCAAGTGCTGGGATTAAAGACGTGCGCCACCAACGCCCGGCTGAAACATGTCTTTCTTATGTGTCTATTCTAAATGCCCAGCTGAAACATGTCTATCCCACATGCTAGAATTACAGGTGTGGAATACAGCGTCAGGCCTGGTCCATCGTTATAGCTAGCATAGAAGGTAGCTGCCTTATGATGCAGTCATCCGTGTCTGTCATTGTACTTGTTCACATTCACTGTCCCCAAGCAAGCATTTCTGAATGAACTGATCCAAGTGTAGACACTGCCACCTGGCATGAGGACACTGGAGTGTACGTGTTAGGAGCCCTGCGTATCCCCAGCACCTCTGGGTGTGGAGGGAGCAGGGGTCTCTTGGGCTGCTTCCCTAAGTACTTAGATTTGATGGCAGAAGTGAAGCCATTTGGGTTGCCATTACTCTGCCAGGGCCCTGCTTCAGAAATGCTGAGTCTGGTCAGGGGGTGGTGCACAACTTGAATCCCAGCACTCGGGAGGCAGAGGCAGGCGGATCTCTTTGAGCCAGGCTGGTCTACAGAGTAGTTCCAGGGCAGGCTCCAAAGCTACAAAGAAACGCTGTTTCAAAAAACCAAAAAGGAAGCTGGGCGTTGGTGGTGCACGCCTTTAATCCCAGCACTCGGGAGGCAGAGGCAGGCGGATCTCTGTGAGTTCGACCAGCCTGGTCTACAGAGCGAGTTCCAGGACAGCCTCCAAAGCCACAGAGAAACCCTGTCTCGAAAAACAAAACAACAACAACAAAAACAAAAGGGCTGGGCTGAGATGGCACTGGCAGCCTGCCCGTCCCCGTCCCGGAGGAGCACGAAGCTTTCTCCCTGCCTGCTGCTGCAGGGATCACCCAGAGCCGGGCAACAGGGCGGTGGGCACTCAGAATGCCTTTTCCCGCCCTCTGCCCCACCAGGCATTGCAACATGGTGCTGGAGAACGTGAAGGAGATGTGGACCGAGGTCCCCAAGAGCGGCAAGGGCAAGAAGAAGTCCAAGCCTGTCAACAAGGACCGCTACATTTCCAAGATGTTCCTGCGTGGGGACTCCGTCATCGTGGTGCTACGGAACCCGCTCATCGCCGGCAAGTAGAGGAGTGGGCTCTTCCCTCCTCGAGAGGCTGCTCCCCCCCCCTGTCGAGTCCCGCCCAATCCTGCCCAACGGGATGGAAATAAAACCCTGTGTTTTTTGTTGTTTGTTTCCAGTTGTCTTGGGTTTTGTGAACAGGGTGGACTCTGGGAGGGAGAGAGAGTCAGGTTGTCCGGAGCTAAGCACTAGGATAGGACCTGTGAGCAGATGAGGCCCTGCTCTGCTCCATCTATGTAGGGGACAGCTTAGACAGAAACGACCTTAATTTATCTTCCACATATTGTGGGCAGGGGATCCTCTGGCAATTTGGGGGGATATACAGGTGGGGAAAGATGGCCTATTTATTGTAAGAGGATAGTGGGGGAACCCTGCCTTGTCCCTGACTGTTCACAGGGCCCTCTGTCCTACCCATGATTCTGTTCTGTATCTTTATCCCCGCCCCCCTCCAGGTAATTCCAAACACTAGATAGATGCGGGGCGGTGGTGGCGCACGCCTGTAAACCCAGCACTCGGGAGGCAGAGGCAGGCGGATCTCTGTGAGTTCCAGGACAGCCTCCAAAACCACAGAGAAACCCTGTCTCGGAAAAAAAAAAAAAGCCTGGTGCCCTCAGGGCCAGAAAAGGAGAGTTGGATCCCCTGGAAGTAGAGTTACAGGTGGTAGTGAGCAGCCCCTGGGTGCTGGGAACCGAACCTGGGTCCTCTACAGGAGCAGCCAGTGCTCTTGATCTGTGACAGCCACAGCTAGTTATTACCTTGTGAGCCCTGTGCAGAACTGGGTAGCCTGCGGCAGAGAAGGCCTGTGGTGCTTGGTCAGTAAAGGTGTGTGGTCCCTGAGTGAACTCTGAAGCCATCTCTGTCGTTCTTTTGAGGTACTGGGGACTGATCTAGGGTCTCGTGCTTAGCGGGCTCTCCGGCATGAGCTGTATCCTGAGCCCTCCAATCATTCGTGTATGTACACGAGGACATTAGGTGGCCTCTGGCAGGGCCCTCAATTCCTGTAAACTGAGCCTCTCTCTGAGCAGAATTATGCTGGCACACAGCAAACTCCAGCATGCTGGCTCCGCCCCATGCTATGGGGGTGTGCTGCAGATTTGAACTCAGGTCCTCATTCTTACACAGCAAGTGCTCTTACCCACCGAGCCATCTTCCTTTTACTTTTTGTTTTGAGACAGGGACCTTCTCAGGACATTCCCCCAGGCTGGCCTCGAATCTGCAATCCTCCTGCCTTAGTCTTCCAAGCAGCTAGGATATCAGGCCTGTGTCACCAGGACTACAGGTGGGATTCAGACACCCGACTACAGAATAATGAGGCTGCATCAGGAGAGTTTAGGTCCCGGTACCCACATCTGGCAACCACCTAAAGCTCTAGTGCTGGGGGACCCAGCATCCTCTTTGGTTTCCTTGGGCACCTGTACACAAATGCACATAGATTAAAAGTAGGTCTTTATTCCAGGGGTGGTGGCACGTACTTTTAACCTTAGCACTTGGGAGGCAGAGGCAGGCAGAGCTCTGTAGGTTCAAGGCCAGCCTGGTCTACAAAATGAGTTCCAGAACACCAGGAGCTACACAGAGAAACCCTGTACAAACAAAACAAAGATTTTATGGCCTGTCATAGTGGCACATGCTTTTAATTCCTGGCACTTGAGGGAGGCAAGTTCAAAGCCAGCTTGGTCTACATAGTGAGTGCCAAGACAACCAAGGCTACTCAGTCAGACCCTGTCTTCAAAAGAAAAGACACAACAAAAACAGCCTAATGAATAATTAAAATGAAGGCAGGCATAGTGGTGCATGCCTGTGATCCCCTCAGCTTGAGAGGCTGAGGCAGGAGGATTGCTACAAGTTCAAGACCAGCGTAGCTCTACATGGTGGATTCCAGATGAGCCAGGCATAGTGAGGCCATCTCAAAAAGAAAAGGCTGTGTTGGAAGTGATTCAGAAAGGAGCTAGCCTGGGCTCCTGCTCTCCCATGCTCCTCAAGGCTGTCTCCAGGGCTGAGGGGAAGCAGGGCCAGTGAGGGGAGAGCTCTGCCCCAGGAGCACTGAGAACCTGCGATTGGAGCATCCCGACCCTCAAGAGGTACCCAGTGTCTCAGCTGGGCTTTCTGTGGTGTCTCCCGCCAGTGCCTGCCGCCTCCTCCTCCTCATGGGGGACATGGGCGACAGTGCCAGGGAGGAAGACAGCCAGCCGCTCTGTGGTGACCCAGGGAGCCGCAGAGGGAGCTGGGTGTAGCTGCTGGGGCTTTACACCTGTGTGTTTGTGTTATACAGGACTACACTGAGAGACCTTGTCTCAAAAAAGCAGACTGTAAGAAAATTTAAGCCATGGAGCCAAGCTGGTGGGCAATCTCAGTCTACACAGCTGCCCTAAAGCCTAGTTCTTACACCCGGGAGCAGGGCTGGATCAGGCTCCAGTCCTGTCACCCTGAGCACAGCTATGCAGACATGGACACTGTTTACCTGCCTGTCAGACAGCAAAGGCTGCAGTCCTGGCCATCTGGCTTCCCAAATGGTGCTTTTATCTAGCTTTGTTGTTTAATTGCATGTGGGAGTGTGTGTGTGTGCATGTATATATGCATGTTCACATGTGTGTGGACACATGCACACACATTTATATGGATGCCCAGGCAGATGTGTGGAATGTGGGCCTGTTCACATGTGTGTGGACACATGCACACACATTTATATGGAGGCCCAGGCAGATGTGTGGAATGTGGGCCTGTTCACATGTGTGTGGACACATGCACACACATTTATATGGATGCCCAGGCAGATGTGTGGAATGTAGGCCTGTTCACATGTGTGTGGACACATGCACACACATCTGCCTGTATGGAGGCCCGGACTCACATAGGAAGCTTCCTCAGTCACTCTCCACATAGATAGGTGCCAGGAGTCAGTGCTATAGTTCTCGGACTTGGATAGCCAGCACTTTGCCCCTGAGCCATCTCCCCTGGGTCTTGTTGGATAGCCTAGGCTGGTCTCAGATTGCCGCAACGCTCCTGCCTCAGCTCCTAGATGGTGGGATTACAGGTATATACATCACTGCTTTCTGACCAGATTATTTTGGGGGGAAAGATATGATCTCACCTTAGCCTCGACTGTCCTGAAACTTAGTAAGCAAGGCTGACTTTGAACGTGCGACAGTCCTGCTGCTGCCTTCAGTTGCTTTTGAATAGCCCCTTCCAGGGATGAAAGCCAAAGTGGAGGTCCTCGGGGACTGCACCGGCCAGATGTGGGTTAAGCAGTGTGGCAGTGATTACATGGAACCCTGGGCACCTGAACATACGGGTCCCAGAAGAGGGACCAGTTGGGAATGCAGGGACAGCAGCCCAGCTCAGAAATGTACTAAGCTGACTCCTGCTACTTTTACTGTTTATTTGAGATAAGGTGTCACAAAGTTTAAATATTCAACTTGCTTTCTGTCAAGATGACCTTCAACTCAACGTCACCCCCCCGCGCGCGCCACCAAGTGCCCAGACTGATCATAGGTGTCCCAGCTTTACACTTTCGGTGTGACCTTTCTAGAGGGGCAGCAGGCTCATACACACAACGTTAACGTGTGTGTGTGTGTGTGTGTGTGTCTTAAATAGTTTCCAATCAAGATCCCCTTAGGGCACAGTGGCAGTGTGATGTTCATGCTTCCTTGTGGCTTCAGCTGACCCCTACTCATCACACTCTCCCTAGTCACCTCCCTTTCCAGCTGCGTCTCCCACCCCATAAAGAAGCTACTGATCCTCAGGCTTGATTTACCAGGGCCTCCAGCTGCACCGGAAGCCAAAGCCCGAGGTGCGGAGTGCAGTGTCGGCTCCGGGGCAGGGCTCTCTGGGGAAAGTCCAGCACCCCCTACCAGCTGAGGAGGTTCGTGCGTGTGCAGGTGGACCAGCCACAATGAGACTGCATCCCCGAACTTCTCCCAGCCCTCTCTGGGGGGTGGAAGGGTGTGTCCTAACTGCCAGCAGTGCGGCTGGCTGCCTGGATTCAGCAGGGTTCGGCAGAAGCCTGCTCTTATTTAACCCTCAGTACCCTGCTCCCACAGCCTAACTTCGTTCGGTGCACTCCCACCCCAAACCAAGAGCCCTCTGATCTCCGTGTTTGTCACAGCAGTCTCCTTTGATCCCTCTCCCGGCATCCCTCAGCAAATCCATCACCGCTCTGTGGTCTCCCTCCTGGTCCAGCCGCCTGCATTCCTCACACCGGGCTTCCCGTTCACAACCTGCCCCCTCATAATCCGTCCTTGTGGAGCAGGAGGACACAGACACCTCTGCTGCACTCCGGGCTGCAGACACGGAGTTCCAGCCCCAGGGGATCTTCTGCCCTTCAGGCATAGGGAAGGCCTTCCTTCGGGCACGAGGCGCACATACGTCCATGCGGGCAGAACAGTCGTACACAAAATGAGAAGAAATTTTCAGTGCACCTGGGCTGGAAGCCCAGTTTCCACACCCTGCCCATCTCTCCATCTGCAGGCCCCTGCTGTCCCCAGGCGAGGCTCGGAGGCCCTTCTCCATCTTTCCCGTTCGCAGGGCATCCTCACGTGGTATTCCATTCGCCTGGAACCTCGTCCTCCAGCTCTTCAAGTTGGCTCCGCCTCTTTCAAACATGGATTAGAAGCGTCACATCCTCACAAGTGGCCTCCCTACACAGTAGGCATTCAATACGTGTTAACTGTACAGACACAGGAGTCCCGTTACCTAGCAGTAACTTTCCAAGACCTCCTCTCCAGGCCCGTGCAGCGGCCCCGAGGGCAAGGTGCTGCCGGTGATGGGGACCTCCCGGGGTGCAGAACGCGAGGGCAGGGCCTGGGGGCCGAGCTCCGCGTGCGGACAGGGACGCTCATCCCGGAGGCTGAGATGCAGGACGCGGTGGCGCCAGCTCCGGCGGATCTCCGACTGCACCTGCAACGTGGGGCGCTCAGGGCGGCGCCGTTCCCGGCATGGCCACCAGGGGGCGCGAGCAGGCCGGCCTCTCCTACCTCTTTGTTGATGAAGCAGTAGAGCACGCTCACCAGAAATCCCTGCCGGAAGAGGAGAGATCAGATCGCTGCTGTGTACTGCTTCGTTCCCAGGCTGTTGCCCCCCTGCTCCTAGGTACTGAGGGCACCTGCACACTGGCTCCCAGCTCCCTGTAGTGCCCCGCCCAGGGGCTGAGAACAGGGCCTGGCAGAAAGTCCTGCTTTCCACATTTGGAACAGGCTGCTTAACCGCCGTGTGCCTCGGTTTCTTCGTCATGAAAAATGAAGGTGACGCTTGGAAGAACTGAGGTATGTGTGTGTTAAAAGGACGTAGTGCAGAGCCGGGCGGTGGTGGCTCACGTCTTTAATCCCAGTACTTGGGAGGCCAAAGCAGGCAGGTCTCTGTGAGTTTGAGGCCAGCCTGGTCTACAGACTGAGTTCCAGGATAGCAAGATATAGTGCTTAGCCGGGTGTGGTGGCACATGCCTTTAGTTCCAGCACCGAGAGGCAGAGCCAGACAGATAGATCTCTGTGAGTTTGAGGACACCCTGGTCTACACAGCACTATATATTAGTCAATTCATTAATTAGGGCTGTAGAGATCGCTCGGCCATTAAGAGTGCTTGCTGCTCTTCCAGAGTATCTAGGGTCACTTTCCCAGTGCCTACAGGATGGCCCACAACCATCTAAAACGACCCAGCCATCCTCTTGTGACCTCTGCGGGCACTGCATGCATGTGTACACAGACACGTGTGTCGTTAACACTCCAACACATGAAAAATAATAAAACAGGAGGATTTTAATTAATTTTGGGGCTTGAGGTTTGCCCAGGAATGGAACACATGCTTAGCCAGCTGGAGACAGATGACAGGCTTGAGTCCCCATACCTGGCTGCTGGAGACAGATGACAGGTTTGAGTCCCCATACCTGGCTTCAGTTGATTAACTTTCAAGTCAACAATGAACATGGGCTATTAAGGTATTCCTTACGGGGGCCTGGAGAGATGGCTCAGAGGTTCAGAGCACTGGCTGTTCTTCCAGAGGTCCTGAGTTCAGTTCCCAGCACCCACATGGTGGCTCACAACCATCTGTAATGAGATATGATGCCCTCTTCTGGCCTGCAGGCATGTAAATAGAGCACTCATACATAAAATACATGAATAAATTTAAAAATCCTTAAAAAGAGATATTCCTTATTCTGGTCGGTGTTGTTGCACGCCTTTAATCCCAGCACTCAGGAAGGAGAGCCAGGAAGATCTCTAAATTTGAGGCCAGCCTGGTCTACAGAGTGAGTTCCAGGACAGCCAAGGCTACACAGAAAAACCCTGTCTCGAAAAACAAACAAACACACAAAAACAAATAAAAAAGATATTTTGGGGGGCTGGAGAGATAGCTCAGAGGTTAGGAGCACTGACTGCTCTTCCAGGGGGCCTGAGTTCAATTCCCAGCAACCACATGGTGGCTCACAACCATCTGTAATGAGATCTGGCGCCCTCTTCTGGCCTGCAGGCATGCATGCAGACAGAACACTGTTTACATAATAAATAAATAAATCTAAAAAAAGATATTCTTTATGATTTTCTACAATCCTATCAAAATCTAATTAAAATCACATACCTCCTCTTCCAGGATGGGGAAAAAAGGGGACTTGGCTCTCTTATTTTTCAGCTCTTGCCTGTAGTTCTGCAGCCACAGGCAAGCTCACCTCAGCGCCCTCCATCACGGCAGCTAGCCTCTGGCCTCAGGGATCCTCATTCTGGATCATTGCCCCAGACGTGTGACTGGCTATTTACATAGGGTGTTTCTCCTTGAGTCTCCCACAGCATGGCGAGCCAACCATGTGGCTCCTGGCTGTAGCTCGGTGCTTGAGAGCTCCATCTGCTTTTGCTTTCCTTAATGGATGCACGTACTTCCAAGGGAGACTGGTACTGTGCCCATCTTAGCGAGGGAAGGCTGGGGCTCAGTGGGGTCCGTCAGGGTAGGGTAGTATCAGCGTTGGCCTTCCGTTTTGGAACGACCTACTTCCTTAAATTCTGCCCTTGAGGCTCGTCTCTCTCTAGCCTCCCGCAAAGGTGAAGGAAGCCCCGAAGTTGGCCAGTGCCAGACACTAACTCTGCCCCAGCTCAGTCCGCCCCACAGTCCTTTGTTCCTCACCCGAAGACAGTGTCGGGGACCTCCACCACCATCCCCACTGCCCGCTCCAACCGGTCCCCGGACAACCCTGATTATGTATGTCTTTTCTCCCCTCCGCACGCATGATGAACGCATGCGTGCGAGTTTGAATGAATGAAATCCCAAGGGTGCGTTCACTACTCCAGTCCGTGGCTGCTCGGGCACTGTGCCCTACTGGAAATAAAGGCCCAAGGCGGGAGGGTGGAACCCGTGCTCCCCGTCTGAGCACCTGGAAGGAACTTAGGAAGATTTCGAAGGCCAGTTTGGCGAAGCGCAGGGTGCCTTCAGCCTGTTCCTCCGTCACGGGGGCAAACACCACCTCGTGGACACCCAGCAGGGGCACCAGCGTCAGCGTGGAACGAGCCAGCCTGGGAAAACAGGGCGTTGGCGGTCTCCACGTCCCTAACCCCTGAGCCCGGCCCCATCTGCCCCCCGCTACGGCCCTCACCGCAGTCGGTAGTCCGGGCAGCGCATCTGCCGCGTCCTGAGTTTTGACACAAGGATGCCAAGGATGCGGATGAAGATGAAGAAATTGATCTGTGAGGAGAGAGAGACTGAGCCAGAAGCTGTTCGGTTCTGGGGTGGGACAGGAGGCTGGCACTCCACTTCCCCAGAATGGGAAATCCCTGAGCACAGCCTGGAGGAGGCGAGGCTGGCCCTACCAAGATGGTTATTAGGATGGGGGTGCGAATGATCCACCAAATGGCTTTGACCTCGTTGCGCTCCCAGCACCTGGAGGAGGCAGGATAGAACTGAGACTCGCGATTCCCCCCACCCCCTGCCACACCCAGTCAGGCAGGGTCCCTCGTCAGGTCCACCCGCTTTAAGGCCCGCCGAATTCCTTTAAGACCCACCCACCCTGCTCTCCAAGACCTCCTACTTCCCCAGCGCCTAGCGCCTTTAGACCCCGCCCACATTCTCTGCAGGGTCACGTTTCCACCCTTCCCCGCCCAGATCCCACGTAGCTCCGCCCACAACCCGGGCCCAGCCCCCAGCCCCTGCAACTCACTGCGTGTTCTCCAGCAGGTACCTGACGATCACCCAAGGAATGACGAAAAGCGCGGGGGCCCCTGTGCAGACCCCGATCCCCGCCCCCCACCCCGCCGCAGCTGTCAGCGCGCACGCGAGCCCCTTCCAGGCCCAAGACCCGCGGCATTCCTCAGCGAGGGGGGGTGGGAGGGGAGGCAACACGGATCGGGTCGGTGGGGCACTGGGGGAGCCAGACGCACCGGGCTGGGCAGAGGGCTGGAGGGCACGGAGTCAGAGCTCACCCCAGCCAAGAAGCAGGTAGCAGCGGAAGTGGCCCTTTTCCGAGCCTCCCACGATCACCAGCAGATGGTGCAGGTATACACCCTCTACCAGCAGCCAAGTGTAGTTGGCACCCACGCAGTACTGGGTCACGATCTGGGCCGTGCGGCAGGCGGCTAGGGCCTAGGGAGCCATCAGACAAGGGAAGTCAAGGCAGGGAGGAATTGGCAAGCCTTTCCCCCAGCAGCCTTGTCTATTTTATAATTTGTGTGTATTGCTTTGTGTATGTGGTCATAGTACTTGAACCTAGGGATTCCTGCTTGTTAAGCAGATGCTACGCCACCGAGTCATGCCCCCAGCCCCTCACTGAGGGATTACAGTCAGGGGCTCTACCACTGAGTCACACTCCATTTCTCTTCTCTCTGAGTCAGAGTCAGGCTCTCACTAAATTGTCCAGGTTGTCCTTGAACTTGCTCTGTAGCCCAACCGGACCTTAAAATGCCCATTCTGCTTAGATTCCCACATAACGGGGACTCCAGGACTTCCTGACCAGGCAGGGCTCATCTCCACCTCCTTCTTGCTTTCAAATGTTTTACTCCGGCTGGAGAGACGGCTCAGCCGTTAAAGGCGAGGCTCACAACCAAAATGTTTTACTCTGGGTCCCCGGCGGACAGTTTACCTCACCCTTAGGCACTTTCCCACACTGATACCCTTAACAAATGGCATTTTCTGTTTTGTCACCACAGTGGACTACCCTTAGAATCCCAATAAGTAGCCTTTGTCACAATAGCTCGTAAGAACTGAACTCATGCTGGGCGTTGGTGACGAGAGCCTTTAATCCCAGCACTTGGGAGGCAGAGGCAGGTGGATCTCTGTGAGTTTGACGCCAGCCTGGTCTACAGAGTGAGTTCCAGGACAGCCTCCAAAACAATGCAGAGAAACCAAAAAAAAAAAAAAAAAAGAGCACTGGCTGCTCTTCCAGAGGACCCAGGTTGGATCCTGAGCACCCACAGTGTAGCTCACAACTCTCTGTAACTCCAGATCTGTCATGCTCACAACTCTCTGTAACTCCAGATCTGTCATGCTCACAACTCTCTGTAACTCCAGATCCTCATGCTTTTCTGGCCTCTGGGGGCACCAGACATGCATGTGGTGCACCTACATGCATAACGCATATATGTAGGCAAACTCTCCCACACACATAAAATAAAAACTTTAAATGTTGCCCAGTAGTGGTGGCATAGGCCTTTAATCCCAGCACTGGGGAGGCAGAGGCCAGCCTGGTCTACAGAGTGAGTTCCAGGATGGCTAGGGTTACACAGAGAGACCCTGTCTCAACCCCTCCCCCAAACTAAATGCCAAGCTATGTGACCAGAGACCTTTTGGGAGTTGGTTCTCTTTGTCCACCGTGTGGGTTCTGGGGGTTTGAACTCAAGTCCTCGGGCGTGTTAGCATCAAGCCATCTAGATGTCCTTCCTGTTGATGTTCAGTGTGCAGAGAGAGGTGCCTTGTGTGGCATGCTGGTCGGGAGAGAGCATCGGATGCCCTCGAACTGGAGCTACAGATGGTTGTGAGCTCACACCAGGGTCCTCTGCAAGACTGGTCGGTGCTCATAACCACTGAACCATCTTCTCTGGTCCTGGGTGGTTCTTTTTTTAATATTTTATTTATTTATTGCCAGCAGATCTCATTCAAGGTGGTTGGGAGCCACCATGTGGTTGCCGGGAATTGAACTCAGGACCTCCGGAAGACCAGTCAGTGTTCTTAACCGCTGAGCCATGTCCCCACCCCCCCTTCCCCGGTGGTTCTTAATCTTTCTTTCATTTTCCCCGTACTGGACCGGGCTCTACCGCTAGACCCTCACACCTCCCCCAACAATTACTGCAGTCCCATTTTATTTTCGAGACAGGGTTTCTCTGTGGCTTTGGAGTCTGTCCTGGAGCTCACTCTGTAGACCAGGCTGGCCTCGAACTCACAGAGATCCGCCTGCCTCTGCCTCCCGAGTGCTGGGATTAAAGGCGTGCGCCACTAACACCCGGCTCCGCAGTCCCATTTTTACACCTCTGGTCACTCCCCTGCGTGTCTCAATTCCCCGTATCCAGGACTGAACTGGTACCTTCCAAACCCCCCCATCAGTTTCTTCGTCTCATCCTGCTCCCGTGCCCTCAGTGTATAGTGGTGAGGAAAGGTGTGGACGCAGATGGGGAACGTCTTGGTCCCACTAGGAAGAAGGAGATGGAGTACCTGGTTCCGCAGGGTAAGGGTCCGGTCCCCAGGGTAGGGACCCAGGGTAGGCAGCAGCCGGTCCCGGGTGAGGATGGCCACCGCCCGAAGCATGAAAGACAAGAACACGTTCATGTGGATGTAATTTCGAGTGCAGTGCAGCCGCCTGGGGGATTTGAGAGACAAAAGGGCTGGGAGTCCCTGGAGAGCTGTCCTCAGAGTCCCTCCAACCACCCTCCTCCGGCCCTTCCCCCAGAACCACCCCATCTCCCAACTCAGCACGTAAGTAAACTGAGGCCCGTGTCTCCACCCCATCACGCGGGGCTGGGGGGGCGGGGTCACACCTGAACAAACTTAGGATGAGCAGGGCTAGCAGCAGAGTGCCCAGGGACAGGGAGTAGCCCACGGTATACACAACCTGCAGGCGCTCCAGGATCAGCCTTTGGTCCTGGTGCGGATGGAGAAGGCATGAGAAGATTGAACTCTTCCAGCTGATCCCGAGTAGGAGGCAGGGCTGCCCAGTGCGCCTTCTCCCTCCCCCCACAGCCATTTCTCCTCTGGGGAAAGTGCCCCTTCGTTCTGCTCTCCAAGACTGAAGCACCCTGATTTTCTCCTTGAAGAACTGTTTTCACTTCTTTAAGTGGGGTTGACTCCATCCTTCACTTCCAAGGCTGGATGTGCACATTAACACACACACACACACACACACACACACACACACACGAGCAGGTGTGTATGCACACACACACTCACACACACACTTTTTTTTTCTCTGTGGCTTTGGAGGCTGTCCTGGAACTAGCTCTTGTAGACCAGGCCGGTCTTGAACTCACAGAGATCCACCAGCCTTGGTTGACCTGTTGCTCACCATATAGACCATGCTGGTTTCCAGCTTGCAGATCCATTTACCTGCCTGAGTGCTGGGATTACACACTCATAATTAAAAGCAATAAAATGACTTTTTTTTTAAAACAATGGCAAAGCCGGACATGGTGGCTTTAATCCAAGCACTCGGGAGGCAGAGGCAGGCGGATCTCTGTGAGTTTGAGGCCAGCCTGGTCTACAGAGTGAGTTCCAGGACAGTCAGAACTACACAATGAGATCCTGTCTCAAAATCACCATGCATGCACTTGCGCAAGCACACGAGCACACACACACACATACACACACACACACAGACACACACGATGGGAAAATGGCTCAGCAGGTAAAGGCCCTTGCCGCACAAACCTGGTGACCTGAGTTCAATCCCTGGAATCCCCAGAAAGGTGGAAAGTACACGGGGCTGGAGAGATGGCTCAGTGGTTAAGAGCACTGGCTGCTCTTCCAGAGGACCTGGGTTCAATTCCCAGCACCCACGTGGCAGCTCACAACTGTCTGTAACTCCAGTTCCAGCATTTATGGCATTCTCACACAGATATATGTGCAGGCAAAACATAAAATAAAAATAAATATTAAAAAACCAAATACACAAAGGTGTCCTTGCAACTCCACATACTATGGTGCACATATGTGCATGGACATTCACACATGCTCACATACACACACACACACTTTCTCTCTTTCTCTCTCTCTCTCACACACACACACATACACAAGGACTTTAAAAAAAAAGATGTCTGACAGCAGGGCATTGGTTGGGCACACCTTTAATCCCACCACTCGGGAGGCAGAGGCAGAAGGATCTCTGTGAGTTCGAGGCCAGCCTGGTCTACAGAGCGAGTTCCAGGACAGCCTCCAAAGCTACAGAGAAACCCTGTCTTGAAAATAAACAAACAAAGAACGATGTCTGACGTTAATGGGGGTTGCCTCCTCTTGACCTCCCCACGGAAAAACTCAAGCTAACAGAGAAAGGCCAACACGCTACGGTGACGGAGCCCCGTGTCACTTGAGCAGCTCCTGAGGTGAGGTGACCTCGCCACTCTCCCTGGACACCTTAGCACCTCTTCTCACCTGAAAGGCCCCGTTCTTCTCTGGATTCTCACACTGAGTGTGATCTCTCCAGGGCCCCCACTGGCCGTCACTGCCACACTGGCGGAAAACGTAGCCTGCAGCCACTAGGGGAGCATAAGGGGGGGTCAGAGAGAGAGGTGCGTAGTGCTTCACCACCGTAATCTTGACAACTGGGAGGCTGAGGCAGGAGGATTGCCATGAGCTCCAGGCCAGCCTGGTCCCTGGAGGAGTTGGTAGCTCCTGCGACCCACAAGGTGAAAGGATTACTGTAAATTGATTTCTTTTTTTTTTTTTTTTTGATTTTTATGAGACAGGGTTTCTCTGTATTGTTTTGGAGGCTGTCGGTCCAGCCCAGCCTCGAACTTACAGAGATCCGCCTGCCTCTGCCTCCCGAGTGCTGGGATTAAAGGCGTGTGCCACCACCGCCCGGCTTGTAAATTGATTTCTTATCGTCGCATTTCCTAGGACGCGCATCCGCACAGCCACACAATCAATTAAGAATTGCGTGACAGAGCCCAGGGGCACAGACATTAGGAAACACCAGGCTTGACGGGCAGGCTTGGCAGACAGGAGCAGGAGGGCGAGTTGCCCAAATGTGGAGTCCGGGATGAGGGGTTCGGGAAGCGCCTCACCGTGGCGGTACCAGGGCAGATACCAGGGGCAGGACGCCTGGGCAGTGGTGTTGGCGGCCGTGTAGTCCCAGCAGACGTACATATCAAAGGACCCGTTACAGACCATGCCTGGGGGAGAGGGCAGCAGAGCCAGAGGCTGGAGGGAGGGGCGGTCCCAGGTTTCCTTTCTTCCACACCTACAGGATGCTATCCCCTTAGAGGCCACAAACTCCTCTTACCAGACCTCAAGCCCATCCACCCCACCAGTTACCGCAGGCTCCTCCCATCAAATAAAGCCCAGTCCTGCATCAGTATGCTCAACTACGAGCTTAATTATCAAACTCCACCCAAACCCCGCCCTTTGTGGTGCAGGCTCCGCCCACGGCCCATCCCACCTCCCCGCCCTGGAACTCGCCCGGTAGACTCGGCTGGCCTCGAACTCCCAAAGATCCGCCTGCCTCTACCTGCCGAGCACTGGGACTAGGATTCTTCTATTCAACTGAATCCAGCCAGAGTGAGTCCCAAACGCCTGCCCGAGCCAAACCCCAGCCCAAACGTCCTCGGAAACCGCCCCCTCTGTCTCGCAGCCCCTCCCTCCTGCTCGCCCAGCCCTCTAGGGACACCTGAGGGAGGATCTGCAGCCGTCAGGGTCTCCTCGCACTCCCGGGCATAGCGCTCCCAACGCTGGTACAGCTCCCCCGTCGTCTGCCCCTCTGAGTCTGTCTGAGAGAAAGGGAAGAGAGGACCCCGCCCCGGGACAATCCCCTCCCTGGCAGCGAGCTCGCCCCCGGGACAATCCCCTCCCTGGCAGCAAGCTCGCCCCCGGGACAATCCCCTCCCTGGCAGCAAGCTCGCCCCCGGGGCAATCCCCTCCCTGGCAGCAAGCTCGCCCCGGGACAATCAGCTCCCAGGCAGCAACCTCGCCCCGGGACAATCCCCTCCCTGGCAGCAAGCTCGCCCCGGGACAATCAGCTCCCAGGCAGCAACCTCGCCCCGGGACATCCCCTCCCTGGCAGCAAGCTCGCCCCGGAGCAATCCCCTCCCAGGCAGCAAGCTCGCTTGGGAAGGGCCAGAAGCACCCGTGTTAGAGATGTAGAGGGGTTGTCCGTTTTACACAGGACTCACGGGTGGCTCAGAAATCTTTTAGATGGAATTGGGGGGCCTAGAAAACCGCAAGGGATCTCATAGATGAGAGATGACAAACTCTTCGGAGCCCCAGAGGAGGGCGGAGGCTGGGCCCCACCAGGAGGACTTGTCGGGGGAAGGTGTCAGTAGAAACCACCAGACTGCAGCCTCAGAACTCTCTTTGAGGTAGGGGAAGGTTTAACCCCCCCCCCCAGACCGCGGGTGTCTCTAGATCCTCACCTCCGCCTGCTGGAGCAGCAGCCCCCACAGACACAGGAGCAGAAGCCGAGGCCGCAGGGGCATCCTTGAGGGGTGATGGAGCCGGGCCACCCGGGGGCAGCTGGGTTGGAGGGTCCCGGGGCAGAATCAACACCAGCCTCAGTCAGTGCTCACCTGCCAGATGCACAGAGTCTGAGCCCACCCCCATTTCCGCACGTGAGGGTTTGGGGTGGGGCCGCACGAGGCGCGGCCTCCAGAGGTTAAGTGGAGCCGGGATCAGCTAAGCGATTCCCAGGCCCTCCTAAGTGTTGCTGAGGCAGCCGAGGTGGAAGGGAGGGGTGTTTGCTGAGGGACCTGTTGCCCCAGAGCTGTGACGGGCAGAAGCGTCTGTGTCACCAGAGGCTAGACCTGCGAGACTCGGGAACCTGGGACCTTCTGGTGTGTGTGTGTGTGTGTGTGTGTGTGTGTGTGTGTGTGTGTGTGTGTGTGTACAGAAACTGTCAGTCAAGTCTAGAAGGGAACTTGAAACGACCACTTGAGTTCCCATTCTCCCAACCCAAAATGTTTTTAAATGAGATAGGAACCCACCTTCTAAAACTTTCCTGGCTTCGGATACATAAAGCCCAGAGTCAGAGAGAGAGCGTTCCCCCAGCATCCAAACACTGGGAAATCAGAGCCTGGGTGTCTGACTTTAGCATGCTAAATAACTCCCAAAATCCTTCCAACCTCGACGGAAAGCAGGGTTTCAAGAGGGAATCTCAGACCCGGATGGGGGGGGGGGCGGCAGCGTCGGAGACAGAGGATGAAAACACAAAGACTCAGGGACAATGAGACAGACGCAGTAAGAGATCACAGAGACCAAAGGGCAGAGACAAAAATGTGGGCTCGGAGACCAAAGGAAGTGAGCAGGGAGAGACAGAGAACGGGAGACAGCAGAAATCAAGCCCCTCTGGAGCCTTGGAGGGAAAGACCGGGCAGAAAGGCAGAGAGAGAGAGAGAGAGAGAGAGAGAGAGAGAGAGAGAGAGAGAGAGAGAGAGAGAGAGAGAGAGAGAGAGAGAGAGAGAGATAGTCCAGTGCAGGGGTTGATGGGGACCCCTTACCTGAGCCCAGTCCCAGCTCCCAATCTCCCAGTCTGTTCTCCAGCCACAGCTGCCCAGGCTCGCCCGCCCGTCTGAGCTCTGGAAGAGGTGACAGGCGCTGGCAGCCTGGGGTGCTGGAGGGGCGGGGCCAGCGTGGAAGAGAGAACAGGAGGGGCGAGCCCTGGCGAAGAGTGGGAACCGGGGAGGAGGCACGTTTATCACAGTCAGTCGCTCCGTGTCACGTAGGAGCAGCCGCACAGTTACGGTCCGGCCCTCCCCCACCCCACGCCCCAGCCGCACAGAACACACTACTATCCCATCCGGCCACTTACACGCAGCCTCGCCCAGGAGCCCAAACGGCAGAGCGAGCAGGACAAGGGCAGAGACGCCCAGAGTGTGACTCTGTGAGTGGCAGGGTCATTTACAGCTCTGTAAGTCTTTCACCCACAGGTTCGCAATCCCCCACAGGCACACGCCGCTGGCTGTGTGCCCAGGCCTGTGGACACTTCCTATGCAGGCTAACACTACCTGGCATCCGATAGTCCTAATACCCTGACCTTGGTCATTCTTCGGTGTACGTATCTGTGTGTACGAGCTCATGCGTGTGAGGGTGAGGGCCACAGGACAGCCTCTGGTGTCCTCTTGGGTGCTGTCTACTTCGTTTTGGTTTTTCGAGGCAAGATTTCTCGCCTAGCCCTGGCTCACTCTGTAGACTAGGCTGGCCTTGAACTCACAGAGATCTACCTGCCTCTGCCTCTCCAGCTCTGGGATTGCACACACGCACTGCCCAGCTTTACTTGCTGCTGAGAATGAAACTCGGGTTCCTAATCTTTTTTTTTTTTTTTTTTCGAGACAGGGTTTCTCTGTATTGTTTTGGAGGCTGTCCTGGAACTCACTCTGTAGACCAGGCTGGCCTCGAACTCACAGAGATCCGCCTGCCTCTGCCTCCTGAGTGCTGGGATTAAAGGTGTGCACCACCAACGCCCGGCTCGGGTTCCTAATCTTGCACAGCAAGCATTTTACATACTGCGCCATCCATCGCCCCAATCCTTAACTTGTTTTGCTTTGTTTTAATTTCATGTGTGTTTTGCTGGCACGGATGCATGTGTACCGCATTCATGCAGTACCCAAAGAGGCCAGAAGAGGGCACTGGTGCTGGAACTGAAGTTACAGATGGTTCTAAGCCTTCCTATGGGTGCTGAACGCTGGTCCTCTTGGGTCCTCCAGAACAGCAGCCAGGGCTCTCCAGCCCTATCTTCTCTCTTTGTTGTTTCTTTTTTGTCGCTGTTTTGTTTTTTGTTTGTTTGTTTTTGTTTTTTCGAGACAGGGTTTCTCTGTATTGTTTTGGAGGCTGTCCTGGAACTCTCTTTGTAGATCAGGCTGGTCTCGAACTCACAGAGATCCACCTGCCTCTGCCTCCCGAGTGCTGGGATTAAAGGCGTGCACCACCAACGTCCGGCTCATACAGTCGTTTTAAAAATAATCTATTTAATTTTATTTTATGGGCATTGGTGTGAAGGTATCGAATCCCCTGGAACTGTAGCTAAAGTTGTGAGCTGCCATGTGGGTGCTGAGCATTGAACCCAGGTCCTCTGGAAGAACAGCCAGAGCTCTTACTCACTGAGCCGTCTCTCCAGCCCAACACGCAGTGTTGAAGTGGTGCTGTGGTTACAGGAACCCATATATCACCCATGTTTTTACAGTCTCTGCTTCCGGGATCTCCCTTCACCCTAGATGTGGGAAACATCCGTCCGAGGGACGTGGCATGGGGAGACTTGGGACCCAGTACGAGAACTCAGTGTCTACACCCCCCTCAATACACACCACCAGTTGGGGCTGCTCTCGCGCTCCCCTGGGATGTGTGTGATAAGTGGGGCAGAGGCAGGCCTGCCCATTTTGCAGAGGACAAGCTGAGGCCCAGAGGCCCCAGGAAGGGCAGGGAGTGGCCTGAGGTCCACATCAGAAGCAGGGAGCAGAGAGCATGGGGGGTGGGGGTCCTTACCGCCTGGCCCCTGGGGGCCTCCGTGCTCTGTGCTCCACATTCCTGGCGCCCTGTGGGTCCTGGGAAAGCATCTGTCCCTGAAACGGGGTCTGAGACTCAAGAGCACCTCGTGGCCAGCTGGGCTGCGAGAGCTGCTGGGCTTCGTGCAGGCGTGGAGGTCACTGGGCTGCAGAGGGAGGAAGGGACGGGACTGAGTCCTGAGGGGGCCAGGAAAAGAAGCAGAGACCCAGAAAGATAAGAAGGGGGAGGGGCCGGGCGGTGGCGGCGCACGCCTTTGATCCCAGCACTCGGGAGGCAGAGGCAGGAGGACCTCTGTGAGTTCGAGGCCAGCCTGGTCTACGGAGTGAGTTCCAGAACAGCCAGGGCTACACAGAGGAACCCTGTCTTGAACGCCCCCTCCAGAAAAAAGAAGCAGGAGGAGGAGAGATGGAGGATGGAGAGAGAGAAGAACCCGGAACGCAGCTGGCCTGTCATCCCAACACTGGGGCAGGCTGAGCCAGAAAGATCCTGAGTTTGAGTCCAGCCTGGACTCCACAGTAGTGAGACGCTATTTCAGAGAGAGAAGGGGAGGGGGAGGGGAGGGAGGGGAGGAAGAAGAGGAGAAGGGGGAAGGGAGGAAGAGAGAGATGAGAGAGGGCGAGCCTTGATGGAAGACGGCCCTGAGGGGGCGGGGTCCAGAGGGTCCACCCCCTCCTTGAGAATCTATAATGAGGCGCCCAGGCTCCTGTCAATCACCCCTTCCCCATGACCCTGGGAGCCACACTAAGGAGGCTCACTGAGTCACACAAACAAAGGCACCCACAACCACAGGTAAGAAGAGGGGGGTCGGGGGGTGGTGGCGCACGCCTTTAATCCCAGCACTCGGGAGGCAGAGGCAGGCGGATCTTTGTGAGTTCGAGGCCGGGCTGGACCGACAGCCTCCAAAACAATACAGAGAAACCCTGTCTCGTAAAAACCAAAAAAAAAAAAAAAAAAAAAGAAGAGGGGGGAGGAGAAGGAAACAGGAGAGAGGTCAGGCAGGAGACAGGGTGAGTACAATCAGAACACTGTGCGCGTGCGCGTGTGTGCGCGCGCGTGTGCGCGCGTGTGTGTGCGTGTGCGCGCGCGTGCGTGCGTGTGTGTGTGCGCGCGCGCGCACGCGCATGTCTCAATGACTCAATGAGACTCGCTGCATATAGTTAATATCTGCAAGCTGGCTCAGTTGGTAAGTTTGCTCGCTACCAAAGCTGATGGGTGACCTGAATTCAATCTCTGGGACTCACAGGGTAGGAGAGGACAAGCCAGCTCCCAAAGGCTGTCCTTTGACCTCCACTCGTACACAGCCACACGGGTGAATAAGCAGATGTATGTTAAAATTCCAAAGATATTCCTGAAGACAGAGAGGAGTCCATCCTCACGGTCCACTCTAGGTAAACACGGGGGACAGAAAGGGAGAGGAAGGGACATCTGTCTAGGTCCTTGATGAGCCCTGTCCTCTGCCCAGCCCTGTCCCCTGCCTGGGGTCCCCAGCAGTCTCTGAGGACAGGCATTGGAGAAGCATCCTGGAGCATCCTGGGCTACCCAGCGGCTCCCGGGCTGCACAATGTGGCAGCCCACCCTCCACCCACCCGGGGAGATTCAGTCCTGAGTGCGCTCCGGCTGCTTCTCCAGTGAGCTTGGCTCTTCCGGTCTCTAAATATAGCCTGTCTCTCCCAGCCGCCAGCCTCTCTCCTCTCTGTGGGTTCTCCCTCTCCCTCTCCCTTCTCTCCCTCTCCTCCAAATCCGTCCCGTCTACTGGGACACGGCACAGCATCCATCCCAGAAGCTGGCAGGGCCCTGTGAGTTCAAGGCCAGCCCCGTCTGCACAGCAAGTGTCAGGTCAGCCAGGGCTACATGGGGAGAGCCTGTCAAAAGGACCAAACAAACAAAACTGCCAGATCTCTCCTCTCTCATTTTCCTTGACCCCACATTCAGTTTCTCTGTCTTTCTTCCATAATTTGGGCATTTCTCTTCCTTCTCTTCCTTTTCTCTCATTCAACTTCTCAGGTCTTTCCTATCAGCTGTCCTCTTGTTTGGAGGCAGTCTCTTTTTGCTTGTCTTCTTATTGTACTTATTACTATTATTGTTGTTGTTATTGTCCTTGTACATGCCAGACAAGCACTCTAACAGTGAACCACACCCCCAGCCCCTCACTGGGGGATTCTAGGCAGGGGCTCTACCATTGAGCCATACCCCAGCCCCTCACTGGGGGATTCTAGGCAGGGCCTCTATCACTGAGCCACGCCCCCAGCCCCTCACTGGGGGATTCTAGGCAGGGGCTCTACCATTGAGCCATACCCCAGCCCCTCACTGGGGAATTCTAGGCAGGGGCTCTACCATTGAGCCACACCCCAGCCCCTCACTGGGGGATTCTAGGCAGGGCCTCTATCACTGAGCCACGCCCCCAGCCCCTCACTGGGGGATTCTAGGCAGGGGCTCTACCACTGAGCCACACCCCAGCCCCTCACTGGGGGATTCTAGGCAGGGGCTCTACCCCTTAGCCACACCCCTGGCCCCTCACTGGGGAATTCTAGGCAGTGTCTACCACTGAGCCACACCCCTGGCCCCTAACTGGGGGATTCTAGGCCGGGGCTCTACCACTGAGCCACACCCCAGCCCCTCACTGGGGGATTCTAGGCAGGGGCTCTACCACTGAGCCACACCCCAGCCCCTCACTGGGGGATTCTAGTCAGGGGCTCTACCCCTTAGCCACACCCCTGGCCCCTCACTGGGGGATTCTAGGCAGTGTCTACCACTGAGCCACACCCCTGGCCCCTAACTGGGGGATTCTAGGCAGGGGCTCTACCACTGAGTCACACCCCTAAGGCCCTCATTGAGGGACTCTAAGCAAGGACTCTCCAGTTAAGCTATAACTCTTACCTACCCCCCCACACACACACTTATAGCCCAAACTGACCTCAGAAATCACCTCAATCCTCAGCCCCCTCTCCTGGTACTGAGATTACAGGCATTAGTTACAACAGCTCATTTGTCTGTTTTAAAATCTGCTTTAATTTTGCATCCTGGGAATGGAGGCCCAGGGTCCCACACAAGCTAGGCACGCTTCTGTACTGCTGAGCTCCGGCCCAGACGTAATCTTGTCTTCTAACTCCTGTGGGTCTCTCCTTCCTTTCCTGTCTTGTCTCTGGATGCCTTGTCTGTTTCCTTCCATTGTCCCTGGTCCTGGCTTTCCTGGCTCTTCTTGTCTCTCGCCCCTCCGGTTCAGAGACGCGGCCAGACAGTGTCCCAACTCTGGAAGTGACAGTAGGGGAAACTGGAAAGCCTGTGTTTGCCCCCCACGGGGCTGCCCAGCCAAGCAGAGCTGGAGGGGATCAAGCAGGAGCCTGGGGTGCCGGCAGATGGTGCAGGGGAAATGAGGCAGAGAGATATGGGGAGAGGAGGCGCCCCATGGGGCCTGAGGCCCAGAATGGGAGGGGGAGATGGCCCTGAGATTCAAGACTGCAGAGCCATGAGGCTCAAAGGGCGGAGAACAGGGAGGACAATGGAGACTCTCAGGGAAACACGGCCAGACTCACTTGAGGGGCTAAAGAGGCAGAGCCTCAAAGACAGGAGACGCCAGGGAGTCAGAGTCAGAGAAACAGACTCACAAAGACGGAGGGACAGACCTTGGGAGTCAAAGAAGGGGGAGCTAGCCTGCACACTTAGCCGTGGAGGAGGGAATCCACCGCCAGGAAAAAACGGAAGTGCGATGGAAGAGACCTGAAGAGACAAACACAGAGAGTATTGAAAGCCTTGGGATGTGGCTCAGGGAACAGAGTGCTTGGCTAGCACGGGTGAAGCCCTGGGTTCGAGTCCCACCACCACATAACCCAGCTGTGGTAAAGCCTATAATCCCAACACCACAGGAAAGGGGGCGGGAGGGTGGAGACCAGAAGCTCAAGGTCATCTTTGGCCCCACGCGGAGTTCAAAGACAGTTTGGCCTACGTGAGATCCAGTCTCAAGAAAAAAGCCGAGGTCGGGTGAGTCTCAAAGAGGCAGACACCAGAGACAGGAAACCCAGGGAGATGGGGACCAGGCAAGACAGAAACTCAGAGAGTGAAGGACGACGGGGCTGAATTAGGGTACCTGAGAGGGAAGTCAGGGAGGGGCAGAGTCCAGAATGGCAGGACTGTGTCAACTACGCCAAAGACAAAATCCCAGGGAGATGAGGCAGATGCAGTCAGCTCCCCTTAGCCTCTTCCGGTCCTGGGGGGTACCGGTATCCATAGCAACCGACCCAGATTCCCCAAGGCAAATATTGTTCAGGCCAGAAGCAGCCGCCGGGCTGTGTTGACATATGTCGCGCTGGGTGGGGCGGGGGCTCTAGAGGGCAGGGTGGCGGGCAGAGAGGAGGGGCTCTTGCCGAGAGTGCCAGCCTCCCTTCACCCCCAAATCCCCCAGCAAACTTCCCTTCGCCGCGCCCCAGTGGCCGAGTCCAGCTATCCCCTCCTGCCCCCTAGTGGCGGTGGTCGAGGGTGGACGGTCCCAGCAAAGGCTGAGGGTGTAACCCTGAAAATGTAATTTCCAGACTGTGGGAAAGAGCATGCTCACCTGGAGGAGGAATTAAAAAAAAATCTATCTACCCCATCCCCGCACTCCTCCATCGCAGCGACCCCTTCCAAGCCTGACTTCAGGATGCTCGACAACTCCCCCGTGAAAGCACTCGGAAGAGAACAAACTCCATTAGCTGTACCCAGAGCCAGCACACGGAACGCTCGGCACCCGAACGCCCATCCAAACTGCTCTTCTCTTCTGGGAAAAGGGGCGCCCAACACAGGCATTTGCCCTAAAAAGTCAAAGTCACATCATGGCTCACGGCTCACTGGACCCTTTTGAGTCTGGTTCCTGCTCTGGGGCTAGGAGCTGTTCCAGAACAGTGGCACCTTTGTATGCCATCTCCTTCTCTCTGCCATGACTCGCTAGACTCAGTTCTGTGCCCGACTCCATCCTCTATACCCGGATTTGCTCCCAGGCTCAACAACATGGAGCCCAGGATTGGAAACCTTGGGCTCCCGCAGCGCCCTGGGGCACCCTTCCAACAGGGCCATATCCTTAACACAGTACAGTCCGTCTTACTCCATTGTGGTTTTTTCCGTTTGTTTGGTTTTGTTTTTCTTTTTTTAAAAAAGATTTATTTATTTATTACATATACACCAGATTGAATTGTAAATGGTTGTGAGCCACCATGTGGTGGCTGGGAATTGAACTCCAGACCTCTGGAAGAGCAGTCAGTGCTCTTAACCTCTGAGCCATCTCTCCAGCCCCCGGTTTTGTTTTTCTAGACAAGGTTTCTCTGTGGCTTTGGAGGCTGTCCTGGAACTAGCTCTTGTAGTCCAGGCTGGTCTCAAACTCTCAGAGATCTGCCTGCCTCTGCCTCCCGAGTGCTGGGATTAAAGGCGTGCGCCACCACCGCCCGGCACTCCATTGTTGTTACTGTTTTAAAAGTTTTTATTACATTTATTTATGCTTTTCACGACTGGGTTTCCCTGTGTAGTCCTGGCTGTCCTGCAACTTGCTCTGTAGACCAAGCTGGCCTCGAACTCACAGAGATCCACCTGCCTCTGCCTCCCTAGTGCTAGGATTAAAGGCCATGTGCCATCTTGCCCGACTTATTATTCCTAATTAAGAACATGCAACCCTAAAGTCCAAAGGTGTGGGATCCTTATGGACCTGGGGTTGACAGGAGGTTCTGAGGCAGCTGCCTGGATGCTGAGAGTCACACTCAGGTCCTCTAGAAGAACAAGAGCTTTTTTTTTTTTTTTTAAAGATTTATTTATTATGTATACTGTGTTCTGCCTGCATGTATCCCTCCATGCCAGGAGAGGGCTCCAGATCTCATTATGGATGATTGTGAGTGACAGCTTGGTTTCATGTGGTTGCTGGGAATTGAACTCAGGACCTTTGGAAGAGCAGCCAATGCTCTTAACCTCTGCATCATTTCTGCAGCCCCTTGTTATCTTTGTCTTTCTTCCAAGACTAAAGCAAATTTAAAATCTACCTCAACAGGACCCTTCCTTCCACCAGAAATCATTCAGCCCTGAGCATAAAAACCTCCTTTTCGCCGGGCGTTGGTGGCGCACGCCTTTAATCCCAGCACTCGGGAGGCAGAGGCAGGCGGATCTCGGTGAGTTCGAGGCCATCCTAGTCTACAGAGCAAGTTCTAGGACAGACTCCAAAACAATACAGAGAAACCCTGTCTCGAAAAACCAAAATAAATAAATAACCTCCTTCTCGTCATTTGGGTGTCTTACCACTCTAAGAGAGAATGTTGTTGGTCCCACAGACTCTGCGAGCCTCATGTTCTCTCCTTGTTATCTTCCTAGCGCTTACCAGGACTGGAAATGGTCTTACAGCTCTGTGCCTGCTTCTTCATGTGTAGAACAGGGACGATTACGATCGAGGAGTGTTTGACATGTAGGAACTGCACGTGCTCGCCTTATTTACTTTGCGTGGTAGCTTACAACCTCCAGGCAACTCAACATCCCACAGCGGCCAACTCTGAACTTGATCACTGTGGAGACTCCAAAACCTAGGGATGGGATCTTGGTTTAAAGTACTCAGGATAGTGTGTGTGTGTGTGTGTGTGTGTGTGTGTGTGTGTGTGTTCTGGGAATCAAACCCAGGGCATCAAACATGCTAGGCAAGGCAGGGACTCTACCACTGAGCCACGCCCCCAGCCCCTCACTGGGGGATTCTAGGCTGCTGCTGTGTGGGCCTCCAGCCCTTGGTTTTTAGAGGCAATCTCTTTATGTAGCCAAGACATGTCCTGAACTTGTGACCCTCCTCCAGAGTGCTGGGGTCACAGGTGTGTGTCATCATACCCACCACTCAGGAAGCATGTTGAAGGAGGGAAGGAGGTTGTCATGACTATGAATCTCACCTTCTGGATGCAGACACAGAGGCTTGGGCTATACGATCAGAATGTGGTAGACGCAGTATCCAAATATGAGCAAATCTGGTTCCCAACGCTTCCTGTGTGCCCAGAGGTAAATCTGCTCCTAGCTGCACTTCTCCAGATGTCTGGACCCCTCGACTAAAGGACCTTGCTGCCAAGCTTGAGGACCTGGCCTGAGTTTGGTCCCCAGAGCCCACGAGGTGGAAGAAACTATCTGACTCCCACAATTTCCCCTCCAACATCCACAGCATGTGAATAACTCATGTGCTTGTATGTAAGCACACACATGAGTGCGTGCACACCATAAATGCAGAGGTCAAGAACAAAAATATTGTCTGGAAGTTGTGTCTTGTGGGAAGGCTGGAGGCATGAATATCAGAGGCTCATTAGAGGTTCCCTTGTTTGGTGTTTTTGAGACAGGGTTTCTCTGTGTAGCCCTGGCTGCCTTGGAACTCTCTCTGTAGACCAGGCTGGCCTTGAACTCATGGAGATCCTCCTGTCTCTGCCTCCCGAGTACTGGGAATAAAGGGGTGCTCCACCATCGCCCGGCTTACAGGCCATCTTTTCAGCTATGTTAATGAGTTCAAGACCAGTCTCAGGTACATGAGAACCTGTTTGGAAACAGAAACAGACTGGAAGTGAGTCTAATAGTGTTTTCCTGTAATCCCAGGATGTGGAGGGTTGAGGCAAGAGGATTGTCTCGAATTTCAGACAGCTGGGCTATTTAGTGAGTTCTATACTAGACTGGGACACAGAGAAATTCTGTCTCAAAAAATATATATACAGCCGGGCGTTGGTGGCGCACGCCTTTAATCCCAGCACTCGGGAGGCAGAGGCAGGCGGATCTCTGTGAGTTCGAGGCCAGCCTGGACTACCAAGCGAGTTCCAGGACAGCCTCCAAAGCCACAGAGAAACCCTGTCTCGAAAAAAAAAGAAAAAGAAAAAAAAAGAAGAAAAAAAATAATATATATACAGCCGGGCGTTGGTGGCGCACGCCTTTAATCCCAGCACTCGGGAGGCAGAGGCAGGCGGATCTCTGTGAGTTCGAGGCCAGCCTGGTCTACAAAGTGAGTTCCAGGACAGCCTCCAAAGCCACAGAGAAACCCTGTCTCGAAAAACAAAACAAAAAAATATATATACATATATACATATACATGTATACATACACACACACATACATATATGTATATATAGCCAGAGGGCCAGGTGTGGTGGCCTATGCCTTTAATTCCTGCACGAACCAGGCAAAGGCATGTGGGTCTCTTCAGTTGGAGGCTAGTAAGGACAATATGTCAACTTCCAGGACAGCCAAGGTTATATAGTGAGATCTCCTTTTGTTTTCTTCAAGGCAGGTTTTCTCTGTGTAACAATCTTAGCTGTCCTGGAACTCGCTTTGTAGACCGGGCTGGACTCGAACTCACAGAGATCCTCCTGCCTCTCCCTTCCGAGTTCTGGGATTAAAGGCGTGCGTCACAACCGCCCGGCTGAGACTCCCCCACCCCATGTTAAAAAAAAAAAGCCAGAAGTGACTGCACAGGCCTATTACCCCAGAATTTGGGAAGTGCAGACAGGAGAATAAAGATCAAGAGTTCAAAACTGGCCTACCGGGGGCTGGAGAGGTGGCTCAGAGGTTAAGAGCACTGACTGCTCTTCCAGAGGTCCTGAGTTCAATTCCCAGCAACCACATGGTGGCTCACAACCATCTACAATTCAATCTGGTGTATATGTAATAAATAAATAAAATCTTAAAAAAAAAACAAAAACTGGCCTACCTGAGACCTTGACTCAAAAAAGCAACAAAAGCCGGGCATTATGGGGAGGGTTTTGCCTCTAATCGCAACACTCGGAGGGCTGGAGGGGAGGCAAGCCTGGGCTACCTACATAGCGAGGGAAGTCTGTCCCTGTTCAAAAATACAAAACAACAAAACAAAGCAAAATGAGGACCGATAGCCTCTGAAACAATACAGAGAAACCCTGTCTCGTAAAAACCAAAAAACCAAACAAACAAACAAAAAAACAAAGCAAAATGAGTCCCGCGGTCTGGGTCACGACTTGGACAGGGCGGGCCCGTCTTCTTTAAATCTATTGTCAGGATTTTGTACCCCCTCCTCCTCGCCCAGCTCCCCAGTTTCCGAGCCCGCTCTGACTGACACCGCCAGCTGGTCCCCGGCTTCACAACTGGGTCTCTGTCAAAATACGGACTGGGACTGCAGGGGCGGAGCTAATGGCCTCCCGGGCGAAGCGGAGGGGAAGGTTAGGGCGGGGCCAATCGATTTGAGGGTTGGGCGCTAAGGGGGCGGTGCTAACCCTACCCGAGTGTCTGGTCGAAGTTTCTGGTTTCGGATGCTCGATGCTCAGGGGGTGTGGCTAATTGCTCTAGGGGCGGGACTAGAACTTCAGCTGCTTCTACATTTGGGGGTGGAGCTAATAGCCCTGGGGGCGGGTCTAGACCTAATAAACAAGGGATGGGGCTAGGATGCAGGCGCAGGTTATAGGATAATCTAGCATGTTTGGGGTTTTAGCGTCAGGCTCTGGTCGTGCGAGGGGACTTATGGGAAATCAGATAAAAAAATCTAAGGGAGGCTTTCAGGGACGGAGGAGTGTCTCCTTTTACCTCATCCTGCTTCCAGAGCTGGGGGCGACGCTTGGGGATGAAAAGCGGGAGAGACCCTGCCCCTTCAAACCCGTCTGCATTGTTATTGGCGGAGGAGCCTGCGCGACAGGCTCCCATTGGTTACTCACGGGAGACGAGGGGGGTGTAAAGAGAATACATTCCGGTTGTGGGAGGGAGCAGACAGTACCTAGGGGGACCCGGACGCAGCCAATCCTGACCTGGAGACTGTTGGGGGAGACTGACGGAGCAGTCTCTCGACCCCCTTTCTGGGCATCCTAGGGGATGACCCCAGGGCCAGGCTCAGTGCCGGCCGCCTGATGCTGGGTGGGCCGAGCTGGGGATGCTGGAACCAAGGGCGTTGCTATGGCAACGGGAGGCAGGGCCTGGGGGGGGGACCGGGCCCGAGCTGGGGCTGCGGGGGCCGGCGGTGGCTGTGGCGGGGCAATGGCGGAGCGCGGCCCGGCCTTCTGCGGCCTCTACGACACGTCCTCGCTCCTGCAATACTGCAACGGTGAGAGCCCCCTTCTCAGCCCAGACCTCGGCCCCGCCCAGGCTTGGACCTACCTCCTGCTTCCCCAACCCCTTTCTTCCAAGTCCTTATCTCCTCCCCGGCGGGGGGATCCCCCCTTTCTCCCTATCAACAGGATCCTGACCCCAGAACAAGGTCCTCCGTTCCCAAAGCCAGCATCCTGTCCCCCCCACCCCCACATACAACTGTTCCGAGGGTGGCTAGACAGAGGGAAGGGGGGGGATCTTGAAGGTGCCTGTGATGGGGAGGAGGGTAGGCCTGGGGTGGGGGAATCCACTGAGCCTCTTTCTGCCCCTCAGCCCTCTGGGACCCTCCTCTGTGTTTGGGCATAGCAGGGGGAAATGCCGAATTGAGGGCTGGGCATGGGACCAGTGAAAACATCAGAGGAGTTTCCGTCCACTGCATCCCCCCCCCCCGACAGCCCTGCCCCTCCCACCCATGAAGGAGCCTCCTTTTTACCCAGACCAATGCGGATGCCACCGGGAGGGCCACTTTGGTGTTAGGGGAGCTGTGGGCTGCAGGAGTCCAGAGACGTGGGAAGTGGGTGCTGGTCTCTGGGCCAGGGCAGTGGCCAAGAGCTTGGGTCACCCGGGTGGGCTCATCGGACCAAGCCAGGCCTCAGCTGGAAGCTGGCCATTCAGGGTCCGTGTGCCCCCGTGTCAGCCAGGGGGGCTTTTGAAAGATTCATCTTGGAGTTTGGAGGTCACCCCCTGGGAAACACACCCTTCGCTGGGGACCCCTAGAGTTGACGAAGGACCTAGAATGTTCCTTTCACACCCCCCCCACGTTCTAGAGCTTAAGATTGACAGGATCCCCGAGGCTGGATCAAGTCTGGGTTCTCTGTCCCTGAAAGAAAAAGAAAAGCTGTGTCCCGAACAAGTGACTTGGACCTTCCGGGCTTTAGGTCTGTGGAGAGGCAGAGGCCATTGCAGACATCACTGTGGAGGGTGGGTGTGGGAACATTAACTACCATATTTAATGGTTCACCCTACTTGGGGTTTCTTAAGCTCATTATCATAATGTGGGGAATATGGCGAGCGCGGATCGTGTATTTTCAACTGTAATGCTATTTATGGCAGGCAGAACGGGGCTCGGCATAAGATCGCTCGGTGGCTCCCCCACCCCTCACCTGCTGTGTGACCCCTAATCTCTTATTCCACCCGGCCTTTGCAAGGATTGCCTAGGTCTCAAGTCTCTGCAGGCCTCCCACGTCGACCTCGAGGGTCCCCCTCCCATCTTCCCTCTGCAGGTCCAGACGTCGGACCTGAGAGGCACTGGGTGGATGGGGGCAGGGGACAGACTGGCAGGGCAGGGCAAGCGATTGGACCGCGGAGGGAGAGGGAGGGGGGAGGGACAGGAGGGCTGCAGTGCGCAGTCCAACGAGCGGGCGGGGCTGGCCCGGGGACTCAGGACTCGGGATGGGGAGTGCGACCTCCGAGCCCGGCTGCTGTTCCTGCTACCACCTTTACTTGGAACGGGCTGGAAGCCAGGGTCTCCTAGGTTGTCTCAGCAATGAGTCTGGGTAGGATTGGGCCGGGAGGGAGGCGGAGGAAGACCACCTAGAATCCCCCTCCCTCGTGGAGGGATGGGGGGAAATGATGAGGGAGTCATTTAAACTGCATCAATGGGTTAAAAAAGGAGGAGGGCCGCTAAGTCTGGGGTAGGGGTGCAGAGATAACATGGGGTGGGGGGAGGCAGAGGCCAGAAACTCCGAGCTTGGAAAGAGATATAGGTCATCTCTGCCCTGAAATCCCCACGTCGGCCGCCAGGGGTCGTAGAAGCTCCGTCCTTACGGCTTCTTGGAGGCCCGAACTCCCTGGTTGGAGAGGGGGGAGAGGGGAAGAGGTGATCACGGCCGGACCTTTTGGCTTGAAGAGTCTTGGATGATACGGCGAGAGGATGTTGGTACCGGTGGCAGAATACTGACACTCGTCAGAGAACGTCGGGGGCGCCTTCTGGAACGCTGTGTCACGGGGAGTTGGGTTGATGTCATCTTCGAAGCGCTGATAGGACTTAAAGATGTTTAGCATCTTAGTCACAGAGTCTCAAAACCAAAGCGAGGACCTGGGACTGGTGGAATCTGCATGAAAAAAAATAAAAGGGACTTCCCCCAAGGTCGCATGGCCAGGGCACTGTGGCAGAGAGGGGAGGTGGGGGTTTCCTTCCTCCTTTCCGGAACCCTCTCCTCTTCTTGGGCCCATCTCCAAGCACCCCCATCGAACCCAGGTTGCGGGAAAGTCAGGGAGCTTTTGGCTGGTCCCGACGGACCCCGGAACACGGGACGGACGCTCCTGGTCCTCGGTGCGCTCCTCCCGGCCCCCCATCTCCCTCCGGGTGGTCCCCTGCAGCCCGCATCTCCTCGGGTTTTCTAGATGACAATCTGTCCGGCACCAGCGGCATGGAGGTGGACGACCGCGTGTCGGCGCTGGAGCAGCGGCTGCAGTTGCAAGAAGACGAGCTGGCGGTCCTAAAGGCGGCGCTGGCGGACGCGCTGCGGCGCCTGCGGGCGTGCGAAGAGCAAGGCGCGGCGCTGCGCGCGAGGGCCACCCCGAAGGGCCGGGCACCCCCGCGTCTGGGCACCACCGCCTCGGGTATCTCGGTCAGGGCGGAGGGGCGTGATGCGGGGGGTCGTAGGCACGACCTCACGCTCACCACCTAACGCTCTAACCCCAGTGTGCCAGCTCCTGAAAGGCCTCCCCACCAGAACGCCCCCCAATGGCTCGGGACCTCCGCGACGCGTGGGCGGCTACGCCACCTCCCCGTCTTCCCCCAAGAAGGAGGCAAACTCTGGGCGCAGGTAAGCCCGGGAAGCCTCCTCCCAGGCCTCGCTGGAGAACGCTGCTCCGTCCTCGCGGGCCCGGCCCTCATTCCTCTCCGGTCTCTCTCGCAGCAGTCGCCGCTACTTGTCACCCGAGCGCCTGGCCTCTGTGCGCCGCGAGGACCCCCGTAGCCGCACCACGTCTTCCAGCAGCAACTGTAGCGCCAAAAAGGAAGGGTAAGTTTTGAGAGGTGGGGCCCCAACTCCAGACAGGCAAGAGAGCCAGTGCACGGGGAATTAAACCCTGACCGCGCACGATGCTATAACCCAGAGCGGGGTGAGCCTGTTCGCAAGATGGGACTGGGGTAGCCTGGTCAAAAGGCAAGGCCCGGAGGGGCGGAGCCAATACCGGGAGCCCGACCAGAATTGGGAAACGGAACTAGAGCTCAAGAAGACCTGGATGGTCTGTGGGTCGACGGAGGAAGCCAGGGAGGCGCCAGGCTCATGGGTGTGGCTATTAAGATAAAAGAAAGTTCCCTTTGATTCCCAGGGTGGAGTCAGAGTTTCTGCAGGGAATGTAAAAAAATCGGAGGTGGGGGCGTGGTTGGCATTTGAGTGTGTTCGTGCAGTTAGCAGGGGGGAATCGGAACCTAGAGTGGGGGATAGAAGGGCGGGGACCTGTCATTTCAGGAACCCCACTCGGGCGGAAGGCCCTTGGGGTGAGGGGGCGTGGCTTAAATTAGGCGGGGCTGTAGGTGGGTGTGGTCCAACCTTACAGAGACCGCTTGGAGACTGTTGGGAGCGGGTCCTGTGAAACTGGATAGAGTCAGAGTGTATACTGGGATCCAAGAGGTGGGACAGCCATCAGTAATTAATTAATTAAGAGTGAAGCCTCGGCTTAGGCCTGTAAACTACAGCAGAAGGGGATTGCCCGAGTTCTAGAGCAGACCACAGAGCGCCCCAGTCCATCCTGGGTTTCCAGTGAAACCCTGCCTCAAATTTATAAACAAACAAATAAGTAAGTAAATAAATAAGCTGCATGACTCCGATCCCAGGACTTGGTGAGTGGAGACCGGAGGATCAGGGTTCAGAGTCATTCTCAGCTAGTTACCAAAACTTAAGGCCAGCCTGGGCTACTTGAGACCCGGATAAGAGGCAGGGACACAGACACGGACAAGGAGATAGAGCCACGGGACTAAGTTAGGCAGAGGGGGTGGGTGTGACCAGTGGTGGGCGTGGTCAGGTGGCTAGGGCAGGAGTCAAGGTGTCAGGAAGCATCGGCAGCCGTGGTCAGGAGTAGCAGGCTGTGGCAAGTCAAAGCCCAGCAGGCTTCAAGTCTCCCGAAATAACAACAAACGCGTTCTGGGTCGGAACTCGCCTGCATTAGCCGCTACCAACCTCGCAGTCACCCTGGGAAGTGTGGCTTCTCTATGCCCGATTTTGAAACGCGGAGACCGTTTTGTCATCAGTTGGGCAACTCGTTCATACCTTTGGAAAGAGGTTCAGAACTGGGGAGGTCTGAGCTCAGGCAAGCGCGCCTCTCTGAGTCTCTGTCGCCAGCCCTCATCCACCCCTCACCCTATCCAAAGAGCCTGGGATCCGTGGACGGGGCTATGAGACCCGGGGGCACCTGGCGCCCGCAGGGGTCCGCCGCGAGGGGCGGGGCAGGGGCGGTGGGGCGGGGCAGGGGCGGTGGCGCCAGCGCCTCCCAGGGCCGGAAGCGGCGGGACCGGTCTCGGCTCCTCCCCTGCCCCAAGCTCCGGCAGCCGCCGCCATGAGTAGTTTTGGAGCTGGGTGAGACCCTCTCGCAGCCCCCCTCCTCTTGTCCCTTGTCTCCTGGGGCAGAGAAGGTGGAGACACGGCCCTGCCTCTGAACGTTTCTTTGCTTTCCTGAAGTTTGGGGCGCTGGGGGAGGAAGGGAAGGAGCTCTGGGGAGGGTTTTGCTGCCCAGGAGGGAGGGTCCCTAGTGGCTCCGGCTCTCCAGGATCGCGCGCCTGCTGCTTCGTGCCGTGTGACCCTTTGGCGATCTCTGCCTCTCTGGGCCTGTGTCTTAGGCTCTTCAGGCTCTAACGAGCAAAGCACAGGGCCTGCAGAGAGGTAGCGCTCCGCTCCTGCCTCGCCTGATTATTCGCCGGAGACCCGCAGAGCCAGGGGCTTGGGGTGAGGGGACTCCCTCTCTTATCTTATCTGCATGCTAAAACACACATTTCCTCCCCTCCCCCGTTTTTCCCCCCCCCTGCATCTTTTCCTGCCAGGAAAACCAAAGAAGTTATCTTCAGCATGGGTGAGTGCGAAGGGTGGGCGTGGTTTCACCGAATGTAGGCTGCAGAAGACCTGGGGTTCAGGCTGCCGGGCCTTTGCCTGTCTGGCTTCATTTTTATCTACCACTTAAAAACAAAGAGAGAGCGAGAAAGAGAGGAAGAAAACGGCGGGAAGAAGGGACTGAGGGAGGGACGTGTGGCCTAAGCCGGTAACCCAGCATTTGGGAGATGAAGGCATTTTGGAAGTTGGAGGAAGGCTAACCTGGGCTACCCAAAGAGATCCTGTCTATAAGTCATGAGCTGGCTGTGGTGGCCCCCACTTGTAATCCCAGCACTTGGGAGTCTGAAGCGGAAGAATCACCTTGAGTTCCATGCCAGCCTGGGCTACACAGAGAATTCCAGGCCAGCCTGAGCTGTAGAGACCCTGTCTCAAATAATAACGATCTTGGTAACAATCATAGAGGGACGGGGACAGCCTCGGGGCTGATACGGAGCCTGACCTCTGAGCGTGTCTTCACAGAGGAGGGGTCTGTGAAGATGTTTCTGAGAGGCCGCCCTGTGCCCATGCTGATCCCGGACGAGCTGGCACCTACCTACAGCCTGGACACCCGCTCTGAGCTGCCCTCCAGCCGGCTAAGGCTAGACTGGGTGTATCCTTTGATCAGGCTCCCTCTCTACCCCCGGGAGGAGCGTAAGTCCCAGGGAGGGACTTTCTGGAGGGAGGGGCCTGGGGTGGGGCTACAGCTGGAAGGGGAAGTGGGGGTCAGTGCAGGTGAGGGTGGGCGTAGCCAGTCCAGAGGGGACCTGTGAGTTACTCATTCAGGGAATATTTGGCTCGTGATTTTGAGGCAGATTGTTGAACTTCGTATTCGTCAACGGTGAGCTTGAGACTTGGTTTTCCCTGCCTGCGCCTTCCAAGGGCTGGGGTTGCGGGGTGAAAGTCATCACCGTGCCTGGCTCCCGTGGGCATCAATCAGATGTGAACCACCGCCATCTTGGCTGCCTGTGACTGGTCTTCGCAGAGCTCGGCTCCAGGGTGGAGAGCTGGGGGGTGGGGCGCGTCAGGTAGCCCTGGCTATCCTAGAAGTGGCTCTTTAGACCACGCTGGCTTCAAACTCAGCAACTAGACAAGGCCTCTACTCCCTGCCTCTGCCTCTCCAGTGCTGAGAGGAAAGGCGTGCGCCGCCGCCACCACCCAGCTACAAAAAATATTTCTATTAGAAGCTTTCAGTGGTGGGGTTATCACACCAGGGAACCACAGTTTCTCCAGCGGAGACGTGTGAGCCGAGAATCCAACACCAGCCAGAGAAGAAATACAGGGAAAGCGGTCCAGACTCGGGGTGCCACGGGTGTAATGGCTCTGTGGCCCCTGTAGGTTGGAACTACTTTTCGTAAGGGCTTTACTGGACCCATGGGCTTTAAACCCTGCTTCTGGCTGACTGTGACTGTGGCGAAGTCACCTCCCTGTCCCTCGCTTGGTTGTTTCCTCTGAAAACTTTCCTGACTGTAGGCTCCCAGGACTGTGGGATGATGGGGAAAGGGGCGGGACTTGGGACTGCATTTAGATGGCTTGTTGGATAAGGTGCTTGCCCTGCAAGCATGGAGACTGGAGTTTCATCCTCAGCACACCCATAAATGCTGGGCGGGCGTGGTGGTAACCCGCCAAGTGATCAGGAGGCAGACACGGTATTCCAGGGGCAAGCTGACTAGCTAGTGAGAAACCCTGCCTGAATAAAGCCGAGAGTGACAGGAACATTCAGTACACGAAGTCAAGTCACACACACTCATGCATACCTGCACACACTCATCCAAGCACAACACATGTATACAGGCAAGAGCATTTTTTTAAAGACACTGGCTCTATATATTTCAAGTCCCAGGCATAGAGACAGAGAGAACACAGGACATTGTATGTGCTAGGTAAGTGCTATACAAGCCACTGAGCCACGCCCCCAGCCCCTCACTGGGGAATTCTAGGCAGGGGCTCTACCACTGAGCCACACCCCCAGCTCCTCACTGGGGGATTCTAGGCAGGGGCTCTACCACTGAGCCACACCCCCAGCTCCTCACTGGGGGATTCTAGGCAGGGGCTCTACCACTGAGCTACACCTCCTAGTCTCTCACTTACGGTAGTCTGTCTCTAGGTAAGTTTATCTCTTGCCTCAACCTTCCAGGTGCTTTAGAAGTACAGGTGTGCACCTCACAACCAAGCTCTTGTCTCTACAAGACACTTGTCGCTAGGTCTAGGCTCTGTGCATATCATGTAGGGTGACTTTCATCCTGAGATCCTAATTACATTGTAATAATCCACATTCCACTCAAGATCACTGGTGACTTTGGACTGTCATTGCAGCACTGAGGAGGCTGAGGCAGCAGGATTGCTGCCAGATGAAGGCCAACCTGGGCTACATTGTAGTATAATGTTTACAAACAGGGCTGTGAGATGACTCTGTTAGCAAAGTGCTTGGTGTGGGAGCTCCATCCTCGGCATCCACAGAAAAATAGGCCAGGCTGTGGCTACAGTCCCGGCACTGGGCAGGGCAGAGACAGGAAGATTCCCTAGGGCCTGCTGACCAGCCAGTCTGGCTGAATCTGTGTTCCGGGTCCAATAAAAGACACCTGTGTCAAAATGAAGGTGGAAAAAAAAAAAACCAAGGTGAAATAAGTTGGGGTATACACCCAAAGTTTTGTGCATATTGAGTACGTGCACATACACAAACACACAAACCTGAACCGGTACTTTGGGGACAGCATGGTTCAAACCGCCTGCAGAGGCAGGGTGGAGACAGGAAAACATTCCAGTGGCCTCATGACTCCCATTCAGCCAAGAGGTACTGCACAGGCTCCTTAACCCACCCCTGGGCGTCTCCAGCTACGGCTACCGAGGCCGGGACTGCCGGGCCAACCTTTACCTCCTTCCCACCGGGGAGGTGGTCTACTTTGTGGCCTCCGTGGCTGTGCTGTACAGTGTGGAAGAACAGAGACAGCGGCACTACCTGGGTCACAACGATGACATCAGATGGTGAGTCAGGGCGGATTTGGGGGTGAGAGGACCCAGGCTTGGGCACTGGTCCAGTCTCTGCCTCCTGGGCCCCTTGACACGTGACTGCCGACGTGGAGTGTGGTCCAGTGCCAAACCTCTGTACTGGGACAGCGCTCGCTACCCCAGGTGGGAACTAGTGCAAAATGAGCATGTACAGTGTTTATCTTTTTTTAACTGTGCGTTGATGTTTTGCCTGCACGCATGTCTGTGTGATGGTGTCAGATCCCCTGGAACTGGAGTTGCAGACAGTTGTGAGCTGCCACGTGGGTGCTGGGAACTGAACATGGGGTCCTCCGGAAGAGCAGCCAGTGCTCTTAACCACTGAGCCATCTCTCCAGCCCCTATAGTATTTATCGTTTTTGTTTCTCTTCTTTTCTTTCTTTCTTTTTTTTTTTTTTTTTTTTTTTTTTTTTGGTTTTTGAGACAGGGTTTCTCTGTGGTTTTGGAGGCTGTCCTGGAACTCGCTCTTGTAGACCAGGCTGACCTCGAACTCACAGAGATCCACCTACCTCTGCCTCCCGAGTGCTGGGATTAAAGGCGTGCGCCACCAAGCCCGGCTTATCATTTTTGTTTCTTAAACATGTGTGTGTGTGCCTGTAAGTACACCACCTGTGTGCAATATCTCCAGAGTTTATCTGTAGTCACAGCAGGCTGTGAGCCGCCCTGTATGGTGCTGGGAAGGAAATCTGGAATAGCAGAAAGCACCCTAGCTTTTATTTTGTCCTACTATGGCAGGGTCTCTACATAGCCCAGGCTGGCCTGGAACTTCATATGTAGCCCGGGCCGGCCTTGAACTCATGACTCTCCTGCTCAGCCTCCTGAGTGCTGGGACTATAGATTTGTATCACTACATCTGACAATGACCAGTGTCGCTATGGTGATGCCCTCACCCAGTGTCCCTAGCTTTTGCTTCTTTTGAAGAAAGTGACCTGGGATCTCCGGGATTTCCATGTTAGGATATAAAGTTTCCATAGCCAGTGTTTTTAGGACATGCCTGAGCTGGGTGGAGTCAGGAGGTGAGGCCAGGAAGGTCAGAAGTTCGACATCATTCCCAGCCTTGCAGCCGGTGAAAGCCTGGGCTTCCTCAGACATTGTTTATTTATTTTTATTTATTTATTTTTATTTTTTGGTATTTTGAGACAGAGTTTCTCCATGTAACAGCCCTAACTGTCGTGGAACTCACTCCGTAGACCAGGCTGGCCTCAAACTCACAGAGATCCGCCTGCCTCTGCCTCCCGAGTGCTGGAATTAAAGGTGTGCACCACCACTGCCTGGCTTTTCTGTGTTTTTCTCCAGGCAGGGTTTCTCTGTGTAACCCTGGCTGTCGTGGAACTTACTCCGTAGACCAGGCTATCCTTGAACTCACAGAGATCCTCCTGCTTTTGCCTCCCCAGTGCTGGGATCAAAGACCTGTACCACCATGCCTGGTGTCTTTGAATAAACATTTTTACGATTCATGTTTACTGAGGGAGCAGCTGAGCATTTAACCCTCACCTGCTGCGCGTAAGGGTCCCCGTCCCTCCCCACGGCTGAATTCTCTTCCTCTGTTCCTCGCCCCGCAGTCTGGCTGTCCACCCGGATATGGTCACCATCGCCACGGGACAGGTGGCGGGCACCACAAAGGAAGGCAAGGTATCCGTGGGGAGTGGGGACCACACAGAGGACCGGGACCGGAAGCCGGGATCCCCGCAAAGTAACTGCCCTTTTTCTTTCTACAGCCTCTGCCACCCCACGTGCGTGTCTGGGACTCAGTTTCCCTGTCCACCTTACATGTCCTGGGCCTGGGGGTGTTTGACAGAGCAGTGTGCTGCGTGGCCTTCTCCAAATCCGTAAGTCTTTGGGCCGATCCCTTGCAAAAGCTCCTTCCTACAGGCGGGGCTGGGCCTCTGTAAGGTGTCACAGTGAAGCCATGCACCCTTCCAAATCCTAGGCCGTAAGGCCTCGCAGGCCTGTGACCCAGAGCCCAGCACATGTGGAATTGCGGCGCACAGGACCACCGCGCCCTTCTCTCCCCATCACTTGGCTCCCCTTGGGTTGTTTTTGCCTGAGCATTCTGGAAGGTTTCTTATCTCTTAAGGTGTTTCAACCCAAGCGCTGAGGGCTTCATGCCATCCAACTCCCCATCAAAACGGAACTTAAAATAATCTTCCTGGAACTGGGGGAGCAACCAGGCGTTGATGCGATTGCCCTCCCCATTCCCTTGGCGGATAGTTTATTTATTTTTTAATGATAGTTTTATTTGAAAGTGTTGGTCTGCGATGGATTGGGGGGGGTGAGAGGAAAAGTTCTACTCCTCAAAAACAGTTGGAGAAACACGGCTTGTGTGGGGGTACATGCCTGTGATCCCCACGGTGTAGAGACCAAGGCAGGAGAAGCCTTGGCGATATGAGACTTTATCTCAAAAGCATAGCTCCGTTGGGTGTAGTGGCCCACGCCTTTAATACTGGCATTCGTAGGAGGCAGAGGCAGAAGGATCGCTGTAAGTTCAGGGTCTGTATATCCAGTTCAGGCTAGCCAGGCTACACAGTGAAGCCCTGTCTCAAAACACAACAAAAAACATCAGGCCAACTTTATTCCTTTTTACTATTATCATCATCCTTATTATTACTTTTTTTTTCAATATGGGATTTCTCTGTATAATGGCCCTAGCTGTCCTGGAACTCACAGAGATCCACCTGTCTCTGCCTCCTGAGTGCTGAGATTAAAGGCATGTGCTACCAACACCTAGCCCTCTTTATTATTATTATTATTATTATTATTATTATTATTATTATTATTATTATTATTCTGAGACAGGGTCTCACTATTGTTGCCCCAGCTGTCCTGAAACTCATTATGTAGACCAGGCTAGCCTCAAACTCACCGAGATCTCCCTGCCTCTGCCTCCACGTGCTCACGTTAAAGGCGTCCCCCATCACCACCTGGCTTCAAGGATTTGTTTTTAGGTGTTATCGCTGATGTGTGGGTACCTGTATCCATACCCAGGAAACAGAACTAGATGCCCTGGAGCGGGAGTCACCTCCGCGGCGTCTCTCCATCCCCCTGTTTTTGTTTTTTATTAATTTTTAAGGCTAGCACATAGAATACCGATCCTGGTTGTGATCTGACAATACCTTTATGAATGGCACTTAGCTCTCAGTACCTGCCCCTGCCCTCCCCCGCCGCCCGGTTAACTTTATATCACCTCTTTTTGAGCACTTACTCAGCTATTACGAGTGTGCTGGCACATGCGCGCGCACCCCAGCATTCCGTGGAGGTCAAGGAAAACGGCTGAGAGTCACCGCTTTCCTCCTGGCACGGGGTCGGCCCAGGGGTGGGACTCTGGTCAGGCTAGGCGGCGGGCACCACTGAGCCAGCCCGACGGCCAACTCTGATAACGACTGGGTTTCACGTACGTAAAAAGCCTTTCCAGAGATGGGGGTGTGGTCCCGTGGCAGGGCACTTGCCAAGCCTGCACACTGCCCTGAATTCCATCCCCAGCACCAAGTAGGGAAGGGAAAAAAAAAAAAACCAAAAAAACAACGAGGAAGAGACGGAGGCAGAGGCACTTGCTGGGCGGCTACCCAGCAAGCTGGAGAAAAGACCCCGTTTCGGCATCCCTCATTCCGTATGGCCGTGCAGAGTGGATGATGTCAGCGAGAATTCCCCAGTGTGGGGGCTGGAGAGATGGCTCAGTGGTTAGCATCACTCACTGCTCTTCCAGAGGACCCGGGTTTGATTCCCAGCACCCAACTGTCTGTAACTCCAGTTCCAGGGCATCCGATGTTCTACTCTACCTTCTATGGGCACTGCACACACATGTAGTGTACCGACATTCATGCAGGCCAAACGCCCGTACATGTGAAATAATCAACTGAAATTAGGGGAAATAAAAGAATTCCCCAACTGTACAGGCTGCGAAGTTTCTCAGGGATGGGTCACTGTAAAGCCTTTTAAGGGTACACTAGATTTTCTGGACACTGAGGACGCTGAAGCCAAGAAACGTTCAAGGCCAGCCTAGGTGGTATAACTAATTTTTTTTTTTTTTTTTGGTTTTTCGAGACAGGGTTTCTCTGTGGCTTTGGAGGCTGTCCTGGAACTCGCTCTTGTAGACCAGGCTGGTCTCGAACTCACAGAGATCCCCCTGCCTCTGCCTCCCGAGTGCTGGGATTAAAGGCGTGCGCCACCAACGCCCGGCTCGGTTTAACTAATTTTTTAAAAAGTAAATGCATTTACTCATTTTGTGTTTGATGCACATGCATGAGCAACATGTGTATAACGGTCAGAAGACAACTCAAGAGAGTCAATTCTCTCCTTCTGCCATTCGAGTCCTGGGGATTGAACTCAGATTATCTGGTTTCAGCAAACACCCTTACTTACTGAGCCATCTTGCTGGCTCATATCCTGGGCAATCAAGGGAGGTCCTTTCTCAAGCAAAGACAAGGATGGAACTGGGAGCATGACTTAGTGGGGTAGAGCCCCTGGCTAGAATCCCCCAGGGAGGGGCTGGAGCATGACTCAATGGTAGAGCCCCTGCCTAGAATCCCCCAGTGAGGGGCTGGGGTGTGGCTCAGTGGTAGAGCACCTGTCTAGAATCCCCCAGTGAGGGGCTGGGGTGTGGCTCGGTGGTAGAGGCCCTGCCTAGAATTCCCCAGTGAGGGGCTGGGGTGTGACTCAGTGGTAGAGCACCTGTCTAGAATCCCCCAGTGAGGGGCTGGGGTGTGGCTCGGTGGTAGAGGCCCTGCCTAGAATTCCCCAGTGAGGGGCTGGGGTGTGACTCAGTGGTAGAGCACCTGTCTAGAATCCCCCAGTGAGGGGCTGGAGGCGTGGCTCATCTGTAGTGTCCTTGCCTCGTATATGATAGTTTCTATCCCCATTATCACACACACAAAGATTTATTTTTTGTTTTGGTCTTTGGAGACAGGGTTTCTCTGTGTAGCCCTGGCTGTCCTGGAACTCGCTCTGTAGACCAGGCTGGAATCTGTCTGTCTCTGCTTCCTTGAGTGCTGCACCACCACCGCCCAGCTAAAAAATGATTTTTTTTTTTAGTTAGGGTAAAATTTTTTTTAACCAGTGTTGTCTTCCTTTCATTTCTGGGTGCTGTGATAAAACAGCCCGGGAAAAGCGACTTAAAAGACAAGGGAAAGTCAAGGCGCTAGGAACTCCAAGCCGTGAGCTGAAGCTTTCCCCACAGTCAGCTTTCCCCACTTTTCCGCAGTTCAGATTCCCCTGCCTAGGGAATGCCACTGCCCACGGTGGGCGGTTCTCCATGTCGGGATAATCCAGGTAATCCCCCACAAATGTGCAGGGAGACCGACCGTCCTGATCGGGACAGTCCCTCACTGGCCTTCCCGGTGACTCTGGCTTGCGTCAGGTCGTGCGTCGTGCCTGTGAAAGTCTTTGACAGGCAGCCGTAGGGAACGGACCCGAGTAGGAAGTGGGACAATGCATCCTAACCCCCCTCTCGGTCTTCCGCAGAACGGGGGCCACCTGCTCTGTGCGGTGGACGAATCCAACGATCACGTGCTCTCCGTGTGGGACTGGGCCAAGGAGACCAAGGTGGTGGATACCAAGGTGAGCGGCCCTGCGGCTCACAGCCCTTCCCGGGGGCGCCGTCGCGCGACATGCTCGACACGCTGGGCCAGTGGTTGGGAATCTGCATCCACGCTCAGCTTAAGCGGGGGGCCTTGGGTGACTGTGCAGATGGCTTCCGCTTTATGCGCGCGTCTCCCCCGTAGGAGGGGAAAGACTGGGGTGTGGATGGACCGGGCGGGCTCAGCACAGAGTTAGGTGTGCTATGGCACGCCCTGAATCCCAGAAGACGGGAGGAAGTGAGCAAAGAGATCTGGAGTTTGAATCTAGTCTGGGCTACATAACAAGACCCTGTTCCAAGAAAAAGAGAAACAGCCAGGGATAGGGGCACACACCTCCAGTCCCAGCAGTCAGGAGGCAGGAGGATCACTGTGAGTGCCTGGAAGCCTGGTCTGCGTAGTGAGGTCCGGGACAGCCAGGGCTGGACGGTGAGCAGGTCACACGCCTGGGCTGGGAGCAGGAAACCCGGTTCTAGGTCAGGGACCCCTCTTTAGGGAGGGTTAGGAGATAAGAGGGGGTGTCCCAGAGTTAGACTTTTGTGAGCCGGGTTCCAGACATTGCTGTGGTCCATCTGTGTAGCCCTGGGCACCGCTGGTGTCCTCTGGCCCTCATCTGTGACGGGAAGCACTAACGGGGCCTCATCTCCCGGAGGACGGTGAGGATAAACCGTGTTTTATAAGTGCTCAGTACACAGAACCCCCAAAGGGCCTGCTAGTGTATCCCCAAAGCAGGCTGCGTAGCCCTATGGGGTGGGTGTGGCATGGTAGTCCTGGTGGCTTTAAGGTCCTCACTCGGAATCTCTCCCGACCCCACCTTGAAGTGTTCCAACGAGGCCGTGCTGGTGGCTACCTTCCACCCGACTGATCCCAGCCTGCTGATCACCTGTGGGAAATCGCACGTCTACTTCTGGAGCCTGGAGGGAGGCGGCCTGAGCAAGCGCCAGGGCCTGTTTGAGGTGAGTGCCAGCCGGGGTCTGTGCATGGCCTGATGTCTGAGGTAAGTGAGTGCCAGGGTCTGTGCACGGCCTGATGTCTGAAGTGAGTGCCGGGGTCTGTGGACGGCCTGATGTCTGAGGTGAGTCCCGGGGTCTGTGCACGGCCTGATGTCTGAGGTGAGTGAGTCCCGGGGTCTGTGCATGGCCTGATGTCTGAGGTGAGTGTCGGGGTCTGTGCATGGCCTGATGTCTGAGGTGAGTGAGTCCCGGGGTCTGTGCATGGCCTGATGTGAGGTTAGTGAGTGTCGGGGTCTGTGCATGGCCTGATGTCTGAGGTGAGTGCCAGCCGGGGTCTGTGCACGGCCTGATGTACACAGGGTCAGCCAGGCGGGGTCACCCGGTGGGGCAGGCAGTCTGAGGGCTCCAGGGGCCACACTGTGGAGCTGCTGAGCTGTTGCCTGACGAGCCGGAGCTTCCTCATCCCTGTGAGGGAGACGCCTGCTGAGCTCTGATGTGTGAGGGTCCAGCGGCTGAGAGAACACAGGAGCTCCATGAAGGGTGCTGTCCACATGACAGTGTCGCAGGAAGAGGCCGCAGGGAGAGAGAGGCCACAGAGAGGAGAGGTCACAGAGAGAGAGAGAGAGGCCACAGAGAGAGAGAGGCCGCAGGGAGAGGTCACAGAGAGAGAGGCCGCAGGGAGAGATCACAAAGAGAGGCCACAGAGAGAGGTTACAGAGAGAGAGAGGCCACAGAGAGAGAGAGGCCGCAGGGAGAGGTGGGCTGGGGAGATGGCTCCTCAGCAGGTAAAGTCTTTGCCGGGCATGAGGACAGGAGTTCCAGTCCCCGACCAAGCGAGCATGGTGGCCCTCCTGCAGTGCTTGGGAGGGAGAGAGAAGCCCCTGGGCAAGTTACCCAGCTAGAGAAGCCGAATCCATCAGCTGAGGTTCAGTGAGAGCTCCTGCCTCAGTACAAACATAGAACAATCAAGGAAGACATCAACCCCGCATGTACACACATGCATGCACACGCACGCGCACACACACACGCATGCGGACACACACACGCATGCGGACACATTCACACAGCACAGCAACATACATAATACAATAGCACATATATCCACACGTGTGAGCATCTGTAGCACATACACACATGACCACAACAGCACACCTCCCCACACATGTGAGCGCACACACGCGCACACACACGCGCGCGCACACACACACACACACAACAAGCCAGGTAGGATGGTGTGTTTTTATAATCCCAGCACTGGGGAGACAGAGACTGTCTGCCAACCTAACCTACTGGCAAACCCCCGTGAGAGACCTTGTCTCAAAAACGAGGTAAGGGGGCCAGACATGATCCCTGGGTAGTTAAGGGTGCAAAGCTGTCTTGGAGCGGACGGCAGTGAAGTCCCCAGCACCCTTGTCAGGCAGCCCCCAGGAATCCAGCACCCATCCCTGGCTCCCGCAGGCACAAGCCCCCGCCCCCGCCCCCACCCCCGCAAACTTCTAAATAATAAAGACTACAACAACAAAAGTTACAGGGGCAAAATGGCTCCACACTTAAAAGTGCTAGCCACCAAGCCTGACAGCCCGGGGAGTTCAGTCCCTGGGACACAGTTGCCCTCTGGCCTCCCAAACACACCCAGCCATGCGCATACAGGACGACTCAGAACCAGAGGGAAAGGGCCCGGGAGGGCAGCGAGGCTATGCAGAGGGATCCCCGCTCTGCCCGGAGGGGGGGCGTCCATGAGGCACAGAGAGAGCCGCAGGAGACCCTGGAACAGGCGGCCCGGGAGAGGACAGGAAGCAGACAGACTGGGGGACAGCGAGCAGAGGCGGGAGGTTTGCCCCAGCGTGGACCAGGGTCATTAGAACTCCCGGGTGGCCAGCACTTCCGGTGGGAGGAGCGGGGTCTCCCACCCAGACCGCAGGGGTCTCCTGATGCCAAAGCCCTGGGTGCCCAGGACACCTGCACCAGGCCACCCTGCTGGCACCCAGACACCTCTCCCCTCTCTCTCTGCCTCGCAGAAACACGAGAAACCAAAGTACGTGCTGTGTGTGGCCTTCTTGGAGGGCGGCGACGTGGTCACTGGAGACTCTGGAGGGAACATCTACATCTGGGGCAAAGGTCAGTGTCTGCACACTGGTGTGGCCTCCGACCTCCGTCGTTTCAAACACCCTTGCCGGCTCTGCCTCTCTCTAACCCCGCTTGTGTGGAATGGATGCCACTGTAGGATGCATGTCTCCTCTGTAACGATTTTACGTGTGCGAGCGTGTCCGTGTGTGCCAGTGTGCGTGGAGGCTGGGAGTCCTGGTCGAGAGTCGTCCTTAGTCACGTTCTCCCTTGTCGGTGAGGCAGCCTCTCAGTCAAGCCCAGAGCGCATTGGCAGTCCCGCTAGGAAGCTTGCCCTCCATCTGGCTTGGTCCTCCGACAGTGATGTGGGTTCCGGGGATCTGAATTCTGGTTATAATACTTGCATGGCAAGCTCTGTAACTGCGGGACTACCATGCCAGCCCCACTCTAGGGCAAATCCTTCTTTTCTTTCTTCTTTTTTAAAATTATTTGTTTGGCGGCTACAGGGATGGCTCAGTGGTTAAGAGAACACACTGGAGGCCGGGCGTTGGTGGCACACGCCTTTAATCCCAGCACTCGGGAGGCAGAGGCAGGCGGATCTCTGTGAGTTCGAGGCCAGCCTGGTCTACAGAGCGAGTTCCAGGACAGCCAGAGCTGTTACATAGAGAAACCCTGTTTCAGAAAACCGAGGGGGGAGAGAGGGAGAGGGAGAGAGAAAGAGAGGGAGAGGGAGGGAGGGAGAGAGGGAGGGAGAGAGGAGAGGAGAGGAGAGAGAGAGAGAGCACCCTTACTGCTCTTTCACAGGACCTAAGTTAGATACCCAGCAACCATGTCAGGTGACTGGCAGTCACCTGTACCTCCTATTCTGGGGGAATCCAAGTTTTCTGGCTTCTGCAGTCACCTGCACTCATGTGCACATACCCAAACACACACACACACACACACACACACACACACACACACACACACACACACACACACAGAGAGAGAGAGTTAAAAAATAAATAGAAAGCTAAAAATATTTATTTAATTTTATGTGTGTGTTGTGCCTGCATGTGTGTGCAATGCTCACCGAGGCCAGAAGAGGGCGCCAGATCCCATGAAACTGGAGTTATGGGTGGTTGTGAGTCACCATGTTGGTGCTAGGAACAGAACCCAAGTCCTCTGCAAAAGCTACAAGTGCTCTTAATCAGTGAGCCCTTAAGGTAAATTCTTGACAAGGCTCCGCTCAGGTGTGCCCAACTCCGTAGAGTCATTATTGGTTCCCACAGCCTTGTCCTCTGCTAGTTTCATATTAGCAGCAAAAGCCCAAATGTAAAAGTGAGAAGTGGCTCAGCTGTGGCCAGTGTCGTGTGAGTAGCTGGATAGGAGGCTGGGTGGACTTATGGATGAATGGAAGCAGGGATCAGCAGGTGGGTAGATTTGTGAATGGGTGGAGGGTGGGTGGGTGGATGGATGGATGGACAGACAGATGAGCCAATAGATGGATGGGCAGCTAGATGAATGTATTGATGGGTGGGTGGGTGAGGTGGTAAACTGATCGGTAGGCAGATGTAGATGGATGAACGGGAGGGGGTGGAAGGGAGGAGGGATTGGTTGCTGGATCATTAGATAAAAGAATGAATGTATGGGAGGCAGACAGACAGAAGGCAGTGTAAGAGGACAGACCAATGGACTGGTAGACAGACGGGTGGATGAGTAGACAGACGGGTGGATGAGTAGACAGATGAGCAGATGAATCCAGCAGGAGAACTAATGTGTGGCGAATGAGGAGGTGGCTGGACCATTACACAGGAGGGTGGAGGACGCCATGGAAAGTTGTGGATAAATCAAGGGATGGGTGGGTGAGAGTTCAGATGACTCAGACCATAAAGCACTAAGTCCGTGGATGGTGGGCGGGCGGATGGGTAGTGGGTGGAAGGGCCCAAAGGAAGAGAGTAAGGTGAGCCAGCGGGTCCCTGTGGGCCTCAGAGCTTTGGGTATTCACAGGGTTAATAATGGAACGGCCTCCCCATGCCAACCCCTATGCCCGATCCCCCCACAGGTGGAAACCGCATCACCCAGGCAGTACTAGGAGCCCACGATGGCGGCGTGTTTGGGCTCTGCGCCCTGCGGGACGGGACGCTGGTGTCTGGAGGGGGCCGCGATCGGCGGGTGGTCCTCTGGGGTTCGGACTACAGCAAGGTGCAGGAGGTGGAGGTGAGGACGTGGGGGAGTCGGGGGACGGCTTCACGGCATCGTGGCAACGCCCCTACCCACCAGGGTTCCTAACCCTGCTCTTTCCGGGACCACACGTGCCAGCCCACGTCACCTCACCTACACGCGCGTCTACCCACTCAGGTCCCAGAGGACTTTGGCCCTGTGCGCACGATAGCGGAGGGCCGGGGAGACACGCTGTACGTGGGGACCACCCGCAACTCCATCTTGCTCGGCTCGGTGCACACAGGCTTCTCGCTGCTTGTCCAGGTGAGTAGCTCGCCGGTTCTGTTCCCACCCCTGAAGGCGCCTCCCTCATCCTCACTGCCACCACGGTTGTCACCATCGCCCCGGGTGGGTCTCCATTTCTTTTCCTTCCTCTTCATACCCCTGCTCCGTCCCTCTCTCGTGGCCCGGGAAACTCCACATCCCTTCCCCCACATCCCTTCCCTTCTGTCGTCTCGCTTCGCCTCGGATCCCCGACGACGCCCTGACCCGGAGCTCCCCATAAAGGTTATGAGCTTTTTAAAGTGGGCCCCTAGCACCCCTGCTCCTAACGAGACTGTCCCTGGCTGACCTGGCTGGGGATAGCATCCTCCCATCTGCTTGGTAAGTGTCCTTGCGGTGTCGTATTATTATGCTAGCCAGGGATCCAACTCCAAGAATCTCAGAAGACTTTCCCAGGGTGGACCTGACTTTATGCCTCCTCTCTCTCCCCCTCCTCCTCCCTTCTCCCACTCCTCCCCTCCCCCTCCTCCCCTCTTCCTTTTCCTCTTTCTTTATTTTTTGTTTTTATTTATTTATTTTTGGTTTTTCGAGACAGGGTTTCTCTGTGGCTTTGGAGGCTGTCCTGGAACTCGCTTGGTAGTCCAGCCTGGCCTCGAACTCACAGACATCCGCCTGCCTCTGCCTCCCGAGTGCTGGGATTAAAGGCGTGCGCCACCACCGCCTGGCTATAGTCAGCATTCTTAACCAGTGAGCCCTCCCTTCACCCCCAGGAATTTTCGGTCATTGATTGACGGGTTTTTGTTTTCTTGAGAAAGGGTCTCACTGTGTACCTGTGGCTGACCTTGTACCTGCTTTATCGCAAGCATAGCTTTGAATGTATGGCGTCCCTCCTGCTGGACTACATCTGGCTTCAATAGCAGGACTTTGCCTGAAGCAAGAGAGGGCCCTTAACAACCTCTATGAATATTTATTTATACATGTTTGTTATTTTTCAGCCAAGATCTTTCTTTTTTTTGGGGGGGGGTGGTTCAAGACAGGGCTTCATTATATAGCTCTGACTGTCGTAGAACTTGGTCCATAGACCAGGCTAGCCCTGAAATCACAGTGATCCTCCTGCCTCTGATGCCCGAGTGCTGGGATTAAAGGCACGTGCTGCCAACACCGCCTGGCTTTAGCCGGCTCGTTCTATGTAGCTCAGGCTGACTTCAGACTCACAATCCTACCAGGAGCCTCCTGGTTGGTCAGGTGTGAGTTATTTGTTATGTGAGTAGTATATATTAATGTAGCATGAATACAACTATGAACACAATCACAGTATCAGTTATCGCCTGTAGCTATAGTTATGTGATTCACCGGGCACCGCCACTTTCAGGGTTAATAATTACTAGTGTTTTTTATTTTCTGAGGAACCTCTGTAAGCTAGCTTGTGCCTTCTGCTTTCATTTGTTTCCTTTGCGAAGCTCTGGGAATAGAACCCGGGGCCTCAGGCCTGCTAGGCAAGTGCTTTAACCACTGAGCCACACCCCCAGCCCTTTTGGTCCCTTTTTTTTTTTTTTTTTTTTTTTTTTTGGCTTTTGAGACAGGATCTTGTGTAGCCAAGGCTGGCCCTGAGCCGGCTGTCTACCCGAGGATGATTTTTGAAGTCCTGACCCTCCCTCCCTCCCTCCCTCCACATCCTGAGTGCCAGGCAGGTTTGTCCCTCTACCTAGCTTGCGTTTAGTCCTTTCTATTCGTGTTCTCAGAGAACACAACGATGCTTTGAGGGGCGTGGGCTAACGGGCCCCATTTTAGAGAGTATGAAACTGAGGCTCCAAGCTGGGCATGGTGGCATATACCTGTAATCTCAGTAGTCAGAAGACAATGGCAGGAGGGTTTCCATGAGTTCCAGCCCAGCCTGGACAAGAAAGGGAAGGCCTGTCTCAAAACTGAATAGGGAGCCGGGCGGTGGTGGCGCATGCCTTTAATCCCAGCATGCGGGAGTCAGAGGCAGGCGGATCTCTGTGAGTTCGAGGCCAGCCTCCAGAGTCACAGAGAAACCCTGTCTGGAAAAACAAAAACAAGACGAATCCCCTCAAATCCAAATAGCTAGGTAGATGGCTTTGTTGGTGAAGTTCTTGCCGTACAAGCATGAGGACCTGAGGGTGACTCCCCCAGAGCCACATATAAAGCATAAACATGGGAGCACCCTGAAACCCGAGGACTAGAGAGGCAGAGACAGACTGACCCTTGGGGCTGGCTTCCTGTCTATCCTAGTTGGTGTGGTCAAGGTTTAGGGAAAGACTTTGTATCAAAAGTAACAGAGCAGAGGCCAGCCCAATGACCTGGGTTCAATTCCTGGAGACGGCAGCGGGAGGAGAGACTTAACTCCATCAAGTTGTCATTTGATGCCGGCCTTGGCGACACGCCGACACCCACAAAGTAAATAAAGTGTAAATACAGAAGGGAGTGAGAGACAGAGATTCTTAGTGCTCACTTCCGGCTTCTGCACTCGGCGTACGCAGGCACGTACAAGCAAGTGTTCCAGTGAGGGCAGCTGACCAGGTGGCTGGTTCCCACCCCCAATAAGAGAGCTGAGGGTCCTCCGTGTGACCTTAGATGTCTCAGGTCTGTGGCCCACGACGGAAGTCCAGTAGGCTCTTCCCGAGTCCGTAAGGCTGACGTCTGGGAGGTTTGTCTGTCTAGCCAGGGTGGATGGAACCTGCGTGGCCTCTGAGATCAGATTCAGAGCCACCCCTCCCCCCTTCCATTCTACAAAAGGGAAAGCAGAGGTTTGGGGGGGAGGGACAGGATTTGCTTCAAGCCCCGGGGTAGCCAGCTTTAGCCCAGCACGGGAGAACAGTCCTGTGCAGAAGGGGCCTTTCCGGGCCACGGGGGAGCTGGTCTAACATTTCTTTCTGGCATCAGGGCCGGATGAGGAAAACACCTCCCTTCCCGTCATCCCTTTTCTCTCCCTCCCTCAGGGACACGTGGAAGAGCTCTGGGGCCTGGCCACGCATCCTAGCCGGGCACAGTTTGTGACCAGTGGGCAGGATAAACTGGTGCACCTGTGGGATTCAGAAACCCACCAGCCCGTCTGGAGCAGGGCCATTGAGGTAATGATGGGACGCAGACATGGAGATCTGCAGAAATGCGGGCTGTTTCTATATCGGGTGCTCAGCACATCAGGCGGGAGCCGCACATGGTCTCTTTAAGAAGGGTGTCTCGCCGGGCGGTGGTGGCACACGCCTTTAATCCTCAGGAGGCAGAGGCAGGCAGGTCTCTAAGTTCGAGGCCAGCCTGGGCTACAGAGTGAGTTCCAGCACAGCCAGGGCTGCACAGAGAAACTCTGGAAATAAAACAAAACAAAAGGGCATCTTGCTGGGCAGTATTTGGGAGGCAAAGACAAGTGGATCTCTGCAAGTTCAAGGCCAGCCTGGCTTACACAGGGAGTCCCTGTCTCAAAAGGAGAAAAAGAGAGTAGGTAGAGGGGAGATAGTTTCTCCTGTGTTAGCAGGCTCGATGGCTCCTGGCGGTTTCAGGGGGGCATGGGAGAGCAGAGACCACCTCGGGCCGTGTTAGGAGCTGGTTCTGAGACAGGGGTGGGGTCCCTAGATGGACTTGAGACCCCGCCTTTTTTTCTCATCCTAGGACCCTGCCCGTTCTGCTGGCTTCCACCCCAGTGGCTCTGTCTTGGCAGTGGGCACAGTGACCGGCAGGTACTGCTGACAGTCCCCTTTGCTATTGCCCAAAGCCCTGAGGGTCCCTCGCCTCCTAACCCTGCTCTTCAATCCTAGGGGCCCCGTCTGTAGCCCCGCCTCTTGAAGTCAGCGCTCCCCCCCAGGCTCTGCCCACCTCTTTGAAATGCCATGGGCTTCTAAACTTGGGGAGGAGAGGGACGTGGAGGGGGTGCTGTCATCTCCGCTCGTCCCCAGCTGACCCCACCCCCCAGGCCCGCATTTGGGAGGCACTGACCTCCCCTTCAGGCCCCGCACACCGCCCTGCCTGGTCCTCGGCAGCCGCCCATCGTGCCTTCTCCCTCAAGGTGGCTGCTGCTGGACACAGACACGCGTGACCTGGTGGCTATCCACACAGACGGCAGTGAGCAGATTTCCGTGGTCAGCTTCTCCCCAGGTAGGCCTGGGGTCCCCGGGGCGCCAGGGTCTCCCGGACCAAGATTCAGATGGTGGGTGGAGGGGCCGGTCCCGGAGGGAGGCGGAGCCTGGGGCTGTGGAGGCGGGGCTGAGCCTGGGAGAGCGAGAAGGGGGCGGAGTCTGGGTGCCTCCTCATAGCCCCTCCCCCTCCCCAGACGGGGCGTACCTGGCTGTGGGCTCCCACGACAACTTGGTGTACGTGTACACGGTGGACCAGGGTGGCCGCAAGGTCAGCCGCCTGGGCAAGTGCTCGGTGAGTGGGCAGTGGTCCCCAGCCCGCGCCACCACCCCGCCCAGTGGGGTGCAAAATTAACCATTTTTCCACCACAAGGGAGCCACAGCTTCAGAACGCAGCTGATTCTTTTCTTTCTTGCCTTGACTGCCTCAAGGCTTCGCCACCGGCCCCATCCTCATCCCTTATTGTGTTCTAAGCCGCCCCTTATTCGTGTAGCCCCAACCCTCCCCCCCGAGCCCCGCCCTCATTTGTAGTCCCGCCCCTGCATTCTAAACCTACCCCTCCATCCCAGGAGCACCTCTGTGTAGCCCCCGCCCCTCACTTTCAAACCCCACCCCCTGTGTGGAGTTTTGCCCCGCTGTCCTCAATTTCCGTCGTCTGCTGAGCGCTTCTTGTCTCGGTCTGGCCCCGCCCATAGTAGTCTGGCCCCGCCCCTACTCGCAGAAGGCCCTCGTATCCTCCCCCAGCCCAGTGTGTTCTCACTGTGTATTTTGCCTCCTAACCCTATTTAACCCACACCCTCGGCGCTCTCCTCTGCTCTAAGTGACCCTTGCGTCCCCTGCAGGGCCATTCCAGTTTTATCACCCACCTGGATTGGGCCCGGGACAGCACCTGCTTTGTCACCAACTCCGGAGACTACGAGATTCTGTACTGTGAGTTCGCCGACCCTGGCCAGATTTCTGTCCTCTAGAGCCTCCTTTGCATGTGATTTGCATACAGCTCCCCGTTCCCTGCGCTCGTCCGAGCTGATCCCATTTGGAAAGCTGCAATCTCTAGCTTGTGATTTCTTTCCTGGTCCGCCCTGTTTCCCCTCCGCTCTGACGATAGGCAGCAGGTTTTTATGCAGAAGTACCAGCTCAGGTTTTGGTACGTCAGCGTCCAAAACGCAGCCATCGGCTTGGTCCACAGAGGCAAAAGTAAAGTCAGGGCGCTTCCGCCCCTCTGTCTCGGGCCTCAGCGCTGCATTGTCTGTGGAATATACTGGAATATACTGGCTGATGGTAGTTCTCCTGCGCTCAACACCTCTTCTGATTGTGTACCCCAGGGGACGCCGCCACCTGTAAGCAGATCACCAGTGCGGAGACCGTGAGAAATGTGGAGTGGGCTACTGCTACTTGCGTGTTGGGGTTTGGGGTGTTCGGTAAGTTCTGGCGTGGGGAAGGTCCCGCTGAGTACTGGAGCCCTGAGAAGCAGCCTTAACTTGTGATAGCAGCTGCCTGTAGGTTGGGGGAACTCAATCCTTCTCTGTCTGTGTGGTTCTCTCGTGGGAGGAGTGAAAAGGCCACTCGCGTCCCTCAGAGCTTTAATGAAATGAGACCACTTGCACAGGGGCACCGGGCTCAGAGGGCTCCCCATGCCGCGCAGTGAGGAAGCCAGCCTCGCTTGAGACAGTGTGGCCCCGGACTAGCTGGAGCATGTTACACGGCACTGGGAATGGAGCCCTGGGCCAGGTCTTCGAAGAAGTTAGTGAGGGACTTCCCGGAGGGAGAGCCATTTGAGCTGAGACTTGGAGGGTCAAGCCACACCCTAGCGCCTCACTGGGCGATTCTAGGCAGGGGCTCTACCACTGAGCCACACCTCAGCCCCTCACTGGGGGATTCTAGGCAGGGGCTCTACCACTGAGCCACACCCCAGTCCCTCACTGGGGGATTCTAGGCAGGGGCTCTACCACTAAGCCACACCCCCAGCTTTCTTTTTTTTTTAACTTTTTGAGACACGCTTCCATAAGGTATCCAGCGAAATCTTGACCTTTTTCCTTTTGTTTCCAATAGCTGGGTTTACAGCCTGTGCCGCGGTGCCCAGCAGTCAGGCAGATCTTCTCTTGTCGTGTCTACAGGGATCTGGCCCGAGGGGGCAGACGGCACAGACATCAATGCTGTGGCACGCTCTCACGACGGGAAGCTGCTGGCTTTGGCTGATGACTTTGGCAAAGTGCACCTGTTCAGCTACCCCTGCTGTCAGCCCAGAGTGAGTGCCTCCAGGGCCTGAGGGGTTGGAGGCAGTGTTCACTCCTTTGTGGGGGGGATGTCTACTTTGTTTTGGGAAGAGGGTCTCAAATAACTCAGGCTTGAGCTGGGCGTTGGTGGCGCACGCCTTCAATCCTATCGCTTGGGAGGCAGAGGCAGGCGGATCTCTGTGAGTTCGAGGCCAGCCTGGTCTATAAAGCTACACAGAGAAATCCTGTCTCAAAAAAAATCCAAAAAATAAAAAAAGAGCTCAGGCTTGCTTGAGAGTCCCTATGTAGGCAAGGGTGACCTTGAATCCCCACCGGCTGTCCTGCCTCTGTCTATCTCCCCAGAGCTAGAGTTAAAGCTATCAAAGCCAAGTTTGTGTGTTACTGCAGATGGAGCCCGGGCCTCCCTAGCCTCTCTTTCAGTGCTCATCTCTTCACGTTCTTTCTTAACTCCTGTCAGGACCTCAGTTTCCCGCACCTGCAGGGTGTCTTAACAGCAAAGGGTCAGGGTTCTGAGATGGATCTGTAGCTCTAAAGGTTCTGTATTTTCTTTGTACAAATATTAAATGGTGGCTTGCTATGTGCCTGCTCCAACACAACCCATGAGGCCGCTGGGCATGCGGAAGCCTGTCCTCAATCCCAGCACTCGGGAGGCAGAGGCAGGCGGATCTCCGTGAGTTCGAGGCCAGCCTGGTCTACAGAGCGAGTTCCAGGACAGCCAGGGCTACACAGAGAAACCCTGTCATGCAAAACAGATAAAAATTAAAAGGAAGCACGGGGATTGTGGACATTAGGACATCTTAAAGTATATAGTACAAACTTGTGGCACACACGAAAACAACTGTAATGACTATGCGGAAGGAAATGACCGTGCCTTCCAGGTGGCATGCCTGTCTGACCCTTATCTTTCTCCCTCTTCCCTTCTGACAGGCCCTCAGCCACAGATACGGTGGACACAGCAGCCATGTGACGAATGTGGCCTTCTTGTGGGATGACAGCATGGCCCTGACCACGGGGGGCAAAGACACAAGTGTACTCCAGTGGCGTGTCGTCTGACCCCGGGTCTGGGCCCGGGCAGAGGTCTGCGGCGGGACTGAGTTCTATTTTTGGGAGACGTCTATTGTGGAGTAGAGTAATATATACCCAGAGTATGTCTACAGAGAGGGGCTTATGGGGGCGGGCAGGTGAGTGGACGGACAGAGACGCTTATTTATCCGGGTGGGAAGAATGGGTCACCATGCCTTGGGGAAGCCATTGGTGTTTCATTCGGGGTGTTTTGTTTTTCTTTTTAAGTTTATTCTTTTATATTATCCAGAAATACAGACTTATGCACTGAGCTGTCTGGAGTCTGGTCTATGTATTTGGGGTGTGTGTGTGTGTGTGTGTGTATGTTGTGTGTGTGTGTGTGTGTGTGTGTGTGTGTGTGTGTGTGTGTGTGTGTGTGTGTGTTGTGGAGGACAGAGGTCAAAATCAGGGGTCTTTAATTGCTTTCTACTGTATTGTGTTGTTTTCTGAGACAGGGTTTCTCTGTGTAGCCCTGGCTGTCCTGGAACTCGCTCTGTAGACCAGGCTGGCCTTGAACTCACAGAGATCCGCCTGCCTCTACCTTCTGAGTGCTGGGATTAAAGGGATGGGTCACCGCTGCCTGACATGTTTGTCCATTTTTGAAGCAGGTTCTCCTTGTGGAACTCACTATGTAGACAAGACTGGCCTTGAACTCACTGAGATCCTTGGTGGGGGAGAGAACCAGCTCCTGAAAGCTGCCCCCGGTTTCACACATTCATAAGTGCGTCCCACTTTCATACACACACAGGAAATGAATGGATAAATAATTGACGTAACTTAGAATACGTTATTTAAAAATAAACTGGGCCGGGCGGTGGTGGCGCACGCCTTTAACCCCAGCACTCGGGAGGCAGAGGCAGGCGGATCTCTGTGAGTTCGAGGCCAGCCTGGTCTACAGAGCAAGTTTCAGGACAGCCTCCAAAACAATACAGAGAAACCCTGTCTTGGAAAACCAAACTAAATAAATAAAAGGGCTAGGTATGGTGGTACCTGACATGAATCCCAGGCAGAGGCAAGAAGATCTCTGAGTTCAAGATCAGCCTGGTCTATAAAGTGAGCTCCAGGCCAGCCAAGGATACACAGTGAAATCCAGTCTCAAAAACAAAAGAAGAAGGCGGCGGAGGGAGGGAGGGAGGAAGGAAGGACAGCTTAGCTTGTTGTAACTTTAACCAGTCTGTGTTTCTTTCCATGTCTCAACAGCAGGGTGGTCTCTCGGGAGGAGGGATGGACACTGGCCATCACAAAGGGGGACTTAACAAGGCGTCCTCTTTTTTCATTTTTTTCTTCTCTCTCTCTTTTTTTTTTTTTTTTTTTTTTTTTTTTGGTTTTTTTCGAGACAGAGTTTCTCTGTATTGTTTTGGAAGCTGTCCTGGAACTCACTCTGTAGTCCAGCCCGGCCCCGAACTCACAGAGATCCTCCTGCCTCTGCCTCCCGAGTGCTGGGATTAAAGGCGTGCGCCACCAACACCTGGCTCATTTTTTTCTCTTTCAAGACAGGGTCTCCCTGTGTGTCCTGGCTGACTTGGAACTTCCCACGTACACCAGGCTAGCCGTGAATTCACAGAAGTCCGCCTCTTATTCCCAAATGGTGGGATTAAAGGTGTGCATCGCGTGTCTGGCAAATAAATGTAGTTAAATTATGATAAGCTGAGAGGGTCTGTGGGGTGAGTCAGTAGGTAAAGATGCTTGCGGTACAACCCTGGTGGCCTAAGTGTGCTGACCCCCAGAACCCACAAAGTTAGGATTGAACAAATCCACCATGTTGTCCTCAGACCTCCCTGCATCACACTCACACACACACACACACAGAGACACAGACACACACTCACAGACACAGACACACACACTCACACACACACACACACAGACACAGACACACACAGACACACACACTCACACACACACAGAGACACAGACACACACACACACAGAGACACAGACACACACAGACACACACACTCACACACACACAGAGACACAGACACACACACTCACACACATAGACACACACACACACACACACACAGGAGCAGTAGGGAAAGACATCCAGCTAATCTGAGAGCATCGCCCAGTCAAAGGCTGGCCCAGAATAAAATGTCCCTTACACTAATCCAGTCAGTAAATGAATTCCGTAGCAGCATTTATATGTTGTGTGTGTGAGAGAGCGTATGTATGTGTGAGTATATGTGTGTGAGCACATGTGTGTGCATGAGTGTATATATATGTGTATGAGTGTATATATGTGTGTGTGCATGAGTGTGTATATGTGTGTGCATGAGTGTATGTGTGTGTGCATGAGTGTATATGTGTGTGAGCCCATGTGTGTGTATGTATGCATGAGTATATGTGTGTATGCGTGTGCATGGTTTCGGGTACAGTGATGACCGAGACAACCTGAGTGCTACCTCATGGGGAGGAACACCTGAGTGGGAAGACATCCCTGCCCCAGAAAGTGCTGACTCGGCAAGACTAGAGTGAGATGGAGGTGAAATCATGGAAGACTCCCTGTAAGGGTCAACAGACAGACCTTAGCACAGAAAGATGAAGAGGAAACTGTTCCAGTGGAAGCCTGGACAGGTGTTATCTTCTCCCATTAAACTCAAACAAAGCCCTCCTGGGGCTCCAGCCACCTGCTGACCCCTGTCATGCACCTTGATGACCCTGGGGACAGGTCTGTGTCTCTTTCACTGACTTTGAACCCTGGATGGGAAGAGCCAGGATTGCTGGTCACTAAAACTTGTCTCCCAGCTCACTGCAGATGTAAAAGCCGGAACTTGGGCATGGTCACTGAGTGGCAATTAGCAGATGTTTGAATAGTGAGTGTGTCTATTGCGTACAAACTCCTCAAAGGGCCTGGGCCATGCCTCAGTCTGTGCGGAGCTCCCTGTGGGTCATGATGGTCTCTGAGCCAAACAGCTGCTGTCTTGGGGAGCTCACTTGAGCCCCCTTGCAAAAGGTCACCCCTGCTGGGATTTTTGCACTGTTTATTCCTTTCATACAGGGCTGGGGGGTCAGAAGACCCTACCCTGAGTACCCACCCACCATGCAAACACGAGGTCCCAGTTCAGATACCCACCCACCATGCAAACACGAGGTCCCAGTTCAGATACCCACCCACCATGCAAACACGAGGTCCCAGTTCAGATACCCACCCACCATGCAAACACGAGGTCCCAGTTCAGATACCCAGCACCCTCTCGAAGGACGGGATGGTGACGGCTGCAATCCTAGGGTAGCTGGGGTCGAACCTGAACCCGAGTTTTAATTTCTCTTTCCTTTTTTGGCTTTTCGAGACAGGGTTTCTCTGTTGTAGCCCTGGCTCTCCTGGAACTCAGAGATCCGCCAGGGATTAAACATGTGAACCACCACTGCTAGGCAAGCTTCTAGTCTTTTAAAGCCCTGCTTTCTGGGCCGGGCATGGTGGCACACACCTTTAATCCCAGCACTCGGGAGGCAGAGACAGGCAGATCTCTGTGAGTTCGAGACCAGCCCGGTCTACAGAGTCCAGGACAGCCAAAGATACAAGAAATCCTGTCTAGAAAGAAAGAACCAATTTTCTGACATTCTTGGGTAAAATCCTTCTTTCCTGTCGTCGATGTCCCGACCTGTCCCTTGCCCCCCCGCCACCTCCCATTGACTCCCCCATTCCTAGTTCAGCCAAAGTGACACCTGCTAACAGCGGCTTTTCCTTGAGCGCTCTTGACTCTTCGTTGCCCCCTTGTGGTCATCTTTGGATCTGCGTGGAAGGATATACCTGGAAAATTGCTGGTAATTCTCCACGCATCCCTTCAGGGTCACTCCCGGCGTTTGTCCCCCTGAGCTGGGTCGTGAGAAACTGCTTTTGTGCATGGCCTCTACCCAACGACTGTCCCTTGCCCTCCATCATGCCCCCCAATGCAAGGGCCAGGGAAGAGAAATTTTCCATTCTGAGGATTGCATGTGCACCCCAAAGGCTTGCAGGATGATGGCTTCCTTCCCACAGCCGCGGGTCCGCTGCAGTTTCTAGCTGTCTTTCTAAAACTGTCCTCCTGTAAACGTTCCCAGCGAAGCTCAGAGGAGCTGTGTTTTGCCGGCTATGTGTTGTACCAAATTGCGGCAAGCGTGGGGTGCTCCAGAAGAGGAGGGGCCCCACCCCTGCCGCCGGGCACTCGGAATTGCTCTATAGAAGCAGGCGGTGGTGGCTCAGTTGTAACCCAGATACTCTGGGGTGGGGAGGGGGGAGGATCGGGGGTTCAAGGCCGTCTTCAGCGGCATGTGCAGTTCAAGGCCCTCCCGGGCTGTGTAAAACCGAGTGCCATCTCTTAGGATTTATATAGGGCGACCATGACACGTGCCTTGGACCTGTCCTTGTAACTCTCAAGCATTGTGCGCGACCCCTCTGCACCCCTCTGCGTTGCGATTAACCCTCTCATTGCCTGCGTCCATCAAGCACCCTGTAGGAAGGGAAGGATGTGGTTCAGAGAGGGGAGGTCACCTGCCCAAGGCCACACAGCAATGTACAGCATCTATTTTAAGCTGTTTAATTTGAAGGTGTAGAATGAAAACTACATCTGTGATGACTGCAGAAAGAACGGGGTGCTGGGGAGACGTTGTCAGTGAAGTGCCTGCTGTGCAAGCATGGGGGTGCCTGTGTGGAGCTGGAGAGACGGCTCAGTGGTTAAGAGCACTGGCTGCTCTTCCAGAGGACCCGGGTTCAAGTCCCAGCACCCAGGTGGCAGGTCACAGCCATCTGTAACTCCAGTTCCAGATATCCGATGCCCTCTTCTGGCACTGCAGGAACATAGTGCACAGACATAGAGGACAAAATACCCACTTACATTAAAAAATAAACCTGGGCAGTGGTGGCACTAACCTTTAATCTCAGCACTCGGGAGACAGAGGCAGGCTGCTCTTTGGTTTACAGAGTGAATTCCAGTTCTACACAGAGAAACCCTGTCTCAAAAAAACTGGGCGTTGGTGGCGCACACATTTGATCCCAGTACTCAGGAGGCAGAGGCGGGTGGATCTCAGTGAGTTCGAGGCCAGCCTGGTCTACAGAGTGAGTTCCAGGACAGACACTGTGGTTGCACAGAGAAACCCTGTCTGGCAAAACTAAAAAAGCAAAACAAAACAAAAAGCTAGCTGAATTATAGCCGCTGAGACTACTCGCGAGCAAAGTCATTCGCCAAGCCTGACAACCTAAGTCTGGCCCACGCGAAGATGGAAGGAGAGAGCCAACTCTGTTTGCTTTTGGACCTCACATGGGCATTTCCCCCGCTCCCCACATACCATCAGACACCATAATGACAAACAGGGTTTTGGTTAAGCTCGTTGGTGTACGCCTTTTGGGCTACACTCAGGAGGCAGAGGCAGGTGACTCTCCAGTCTTCTGCAAAAACAGCAAACACTCTTAGTCACTATACCATTGTCCCAGTCCCTAAAGTAAATCCTAAAAAAAAATCCACCTTTGGGGCTGGAGAGGCGGCTCAGAGGTTAAGAGCACTGGCTGCTCTTCCAGAGACGTGAGTTCAAGTCCCAGCACCACATGGTGGCTCACAACCATCCGTAATGAGATCTGGTGCCCTCTGCTGGTGTGCAGGCAGGAACAATGTATACACAATATATAAATAAAATAAAAATAAATCCACCTTTAATTCCAACACTTAGGAGGCAGGACAGAGTGTGTCCCAGGACCATCAGGGCTACACAGAGAAACCCTGTCAAGAGTAAAACAAATATCTAAGATGATGACTCCTGAGGAATTTCTAAAATAACTTCTATGTACACACACACACACACACACACACACACCCTCACAGATACATGTAGCGCATGCTCACTACATATATGTTATATACATACACAAAAAGATTGAGTTGGGTATGTTGATACACACCTTTGCTCCAAGCACTGGGGAGGGGGAGGCGGGGTAAGGTGAATCTCTCTGAGCCTCAGGCCAGCCAGCATTATATAATGAAATCCTGTCTGGAACAACAAACAAATGTAGCACTGAGTGGTACACTCAGTGATAGCGCTCCTGCCTAGAATCCCCCAGTGAGGGGCTGGGGTGTGGCTCAGTGGTGGAGCCCCTGCCTAGAATCCCCCAGTGAGGGGCTGGGGGTGTGGCTCAGTGGTGGAGCCCCTGCCTAGAATCTCCCCAGGGAGGAGCTGGGGGCGTGGCTCAGTGACAGCTCTAGCATTGCATGCATAAGGCTTTTGGTCCCATCTTCTACACCACTCAGGATAAAATAACTATGTGAATTCTAATTGCTAAACCATCGCTATATGCCAGGTGGACCAGAATTCCTCGCGTCTACAATGAACTCTCAGGACTGAACTGTGCAAGAAGTGATGGCCGTTATAAAGGGGGGCAAGGCGGCTCTTTGGAACACTCGCCCACTCCCTGCACGCCGTGGGGATTTCACTTGTCGGCCACGGACACAGGACAGCATTGCTCCCCACACACAATGGCCTTCCTCCCACCAGGCAGGCTGATAACTAGGGAAAAGATTGAAAGGCGACATCTGAGCAGTGACATGCAGAGGTGGCCTGTGGGGACATCGAGCTCTAGAGGGCAGTAGGGACATTTTAAATATAGTTTCTGACTATTTGGCCTGGTACTCTCAGCCATCCTCCTGCCTCAGCCTCCCAAGGGCTGGGGGACTAAAGGCGCGCACCACCAGCCCAGAGTGACCCCTTTGTGCAGATTTGACGTTGTATTCTGTGATGTGACATGCCCACAAGAAAACGGCCCGGCCTAAGCGCTGCAGAGGAAACTGAGGCAAGGCTGCCGATCTGACTCCCTCCCGCATAAGGCCCCTTCGTCTGTGGCTCTGGTCAGTGGGTTACTTAATGAGGCGGCGTGACACGGGACAGTGAGGAGGTCAGAGGCCGGCTTGCAGGAGTCATCATTCTCTCTTTCCACGCTGTGGGTCCAGGGAATTGAGTTCAGAGTTGGCTACAGTTACCCCTCTCTGCCGAAACACCTCCCTGGCCCCTGAACAGACCCCATTGTCCTGAGTCCCTCCGGGTGACACACGGAGAAGGCGGTTAACCGAGGCTGGCAGGGAGGGGATGACAGGCTGGAGGTCCGAGGGCCAGGGGGTGACAGGCAGGAGGTCCCAGGGCCAGGGGATGGCAGGCAGGAGGTCCCAGGGCCAGGGGGTGGCAGGCAGGAGGTCCCAGGGCCAGGGGGTGACAGGCTGGAGGTCCCAGGGCCAGGGGGTGACAGGCTGGAGGTCCCAGGGCCAGGGGGTGACAGGCAGGAGGTCCCAGGGCCAGGGGATGGCAGGCAGGAGGTCCCAGGGCCAGGGGGTGACAGGCTGGAGGTCCCAGGCCAGGGGGTGGCAGGCAGGAGGTCCCAGGGCCAGGGGGTGACAGGCTGGAGGTCCGAGGGCCAGGGGGTGACAGGCTGGAGGTCCCAGGCCAGGGGGTGGCAGGCAGGAGGTCCCAGGGCCAGGGGGTGGCAGGCTGGAGGTCCGAGGGCCAGGGGGTGACGGGCAGGAGGTCCGAGGGCCAGGGGGTGGCAGGCAGGAGGTCCCAGGGCCAGGGGGTGACAGGCTGGAGGTCCCAGGCCAGGGGGTGACGGGCAGGAGGTCCCAGGGCCAGGGGATGGCAGGCAGGAGGTCCCAGGCCAGGGGGTAACGGGCAGGAGCAGGAGGTCCCAGGCCAAGCTTCGCTTCCCAGACGCATGCTTAAATTGGAAGCGTGGAGTTGGAGAGAGAGAGAGACAGAGACAGAGAGACAGAGAGAGACAGAGAGGGACAGAGAGAGAGTAAAGGGTTAACGGGATACCGTTCTGAAGGCCGGCGAGGTTTCCGGGGTTGAGTTCTTTATGGGGGGGCGCGGCTCGGTGGGGTGCAGGGCAACGGCAGAGGAGGGGTTAACGGGGGCGGGCCTGGCTGGGGCGGGGCCTGAGCTGCAGACTCCAGCCCGGGGCCAGGGGTTGTCGCTGTGTCCTGCCCCGCGGGGGCGCCCGCCGGGTCCCGCGCTGCGCAGAGAGACCGGACCGGGTCGCGGACACCGATCGCCCAGCCCGGCCGTCCCGCAGGTGGGTGCAGCCTCTCCGGTCCGCTTCTCCCCCTTCGCAGGTCCAAAGACGTCTGCGTGGCCGCTCCGGTGCCTCAGTCTCCCCTCCCCGCCGTCTCCCCGCCCCTCGGTCCGTAGAGCCTCTCTTCTTCATCTCCCCCCACTCCCTGGGATCTCTGTCTGTCTGTCTGTCTGTCTGTCTGTCTGTCTGTCTGTCTGTCTCTCTCTGTGTGTGTGTAATCTCACCAAACAACAAATTTAGCTTCGAGCTCGCCCTCTTGCCCAAATTGGCCTCAAGCACACAGCCATCCCCCTGCCTCAGCTTCCCAGAGTACGTACACACTGGGATTGCATGCGTGGGTCACCACGCCAGTTCCGCCCCGCTGGCTGGCACTTGTGAGACAGCCCCTGGCTGCACAGCTCAGGTTTTCTTTGAACTGGCCATCCTCCGGCCTCAGTCCTTTAAATGCTGAGGTTCTAGGTGCTCTTCAGCAACCGTGGGGGGGGCTCTGCTTCTTCAGGGCTCCTCCATCTGCCCCCCCTCCCTCTGGGCACCTGCTGCCGCCTCAGCCCTGGCTTCACACGCTGGGACCCCTCCTTCCCTTTGGATGCCCCCAGCTCTATCCATCTCAACGTTCCTGTGGAACACCCCCCGCCCCCACAGGGCTCTGGTTCTCTTCTCTCTGTGTCTCTCACTCTCAAGCTCTCGTGGCGCCTTCAGCCCCGAGACAGACCTTGTCTGTTCCTCTCTCCCTAAACCCTAAGACATCGCTGAACTTCTTCCTTCCAGCTTGTGGGGCTGTTTAGGGTTGGGGTAGGGGCCAGTGGGGTCGCAATCCAAGGCAGATGGACTCTGGGTGACACCGTGACGCCGGCGCCCACTTTGTAGTCACCCCATGGCTTCTGAGGTCACACCTACCCCCCTCCTGGTTTCAGGAATTCCTGACTGGGGGGGTGGACTTCCTCCCCCATTTCCTCCCTTCCAGGATTTGGCTAGGTCTCTGTTAACCCCTTCCAGAGTTGCCTCACTCCCCTTGCCCGGGACTGAACTCTGTACCCCATCCCCTCAACCAGGGTAAGGGAAGGCTCCAGTGCGTGTGTCAGAGAGAGAGAGAGACAGACAGACAGAGAGACAGACAGAGAGAAAGAAAGCTGGATTGCACCAGGGCACTGCTGTAAATGATGGAGAACACCCCAGCATTCCTTCTGAACCCCTAACCAGCAGCTGCACCCCACCTGGAAGCCTCCCTACCATCCCTGTCTCTGAAGTCGAACGTGTCTTCAGGGTTAGATACTGGGGATCACCCTGGGAATGCATGGGCAGGATGGACAGAGGAGGGTTCCTAGACTCAGACACCCAGGGACCCTGCAGCCCGGAGTCCAGCACCCAGGGACCCTGCAGCCCAGAGTCCAGCACCCAGGGACCCTGCAGCCCGGAGTCCGGCACCTGCCAGTTATCCTAGCACTTTGAAGCTAGAGACAGGAGGATTAAAGAGATTCAGGCTAGCCTGGGCTGCATGACACTGTCTTAAAAACAAACAAAAAACTCTTGTAGTGGCACATGCCTGTCACCCAGGCTAGGGTGGGGAAATCTTGGTCTGAGGCTGGATGAGACCCTGCCTTCAGGTCTTTGAATATTGGGGCCAGGGATGCTGAGACCCTCAGACAAGCACAGGGAACCAGAGCCTAGTGATGACCGAGTCCTTTAACCCTGCAGACGATGCTGACACCTCGCTGGCTTTCGGTATCCACCTGTGGGAACCATGTAGGCCCTCCCCCTTCCATTTTACACTTGGGGAAACTGAGGCCGTAGGGCAGAAGTGACCTTTTGCCAGCCTAGGGGACTGGGACTCTTGGCCAGCGGCAACCCATTTCCGGAGACCCGGGCTCCCTGGGCCATATCTGGAGAACTGGATTCTGGGACTACCACTAAAGTCGGATTAATTCAGGCAGTAAAGTCCTCAGCTAAGCGAGTAGGGAGCAAAGCCAGACTTGGGTATGAGCGGCTGGAAAAGCCGGAGAGAGGGCGTGCGGGGTGGCGCAGTAAAGGTTTTTCTAAGGGCTTGCTGGTGGAGAGGGAAAGGTACCAGAGGCGGCCTGCCTGCGCTGGGGGGTTGGGGGAGGAGTTTCAGAAGGAAAGAGAAAAACCGAGGGATTAACTCTACCCGTCTCCTGACCACCCCCCCACAAGCCCACTGTTCCCCCGGGACAGGGCCTATAATTTGGTTTGTGTCTAGACAAATAATAACTTAGCTGGTGCGAAAAGGAGGGAGGGAGGAGGCCAGACCGTGAGCAAGGGGTCAGAAGCAGCCTGGGCTTCTAGAGTCCCTTCCCCAGGTGGGGAGAATATCATTTTGGGGGGCCGGTTGGAAGTGACAGCCAACTATCCTATCCTGACACCCCCGGCGCACACACCCACACACGCGCGCGCACACACACAGATTCTGGGAGCCTTCAGCATCATAGAATGCTGCCCCATCCGAGAATTCATGGGGTTTTTTTTTCAAAGTCAGAGCAGAAACGGGGAGAAAAGAGGAAGTGGGGTTCACCTATTTACAACGCGTTCCCATTTCTGCAGAGAGCAAAAAGGGAAATGTGTATTCATTTGCTGGGAAAAGATAAAAATCACCCAGGGTTTAATAATAGATTATGAAAGTCATAGTGTGTTTTTTTAAATTCTTTATTTTTTTTTTTGAAATCATAGAGGGTTCTAACAATAGAACTTCAGAATCTTGGGCCGGGAGGCGCCTGGAGTATTGGAAACTGACAAGGGTGCAGCTGGCAGAGGCGAGGATAATAATAACAGAAAGCAGAGAATCAAGACTCCAGAGTGTTAGAACATTCGACCCCAAACCGGGCTGGACACAGCAGCCTCGGGACTTGAGAGCCAGTGGATTCTAGAATGTCAGCGGGGAAAGTTCTAACAATTCCACCTTCCTGCTGGGTGGCGTGGGCGTAGCCGACAGGGGAGGGGTGGGGGAGAGACGCGCCTTAGTGGAAATGGGGAAACTGAGGCCGAGTCAGGACCTGGCGCGTCCTGACTGCACCCCCCTTACCATTTCCGCTTGCTGCCAAGGCACCAGGTGGGCAGCGAGAAACCCTGATCACATTTCAGCTCTAATGAGCAGACCGGAGCTGGCTGGTCCCCTGGGGCCTCCAGAATGGGGGAGACTGGGAGCCCATGATGCAGGGAAGGGGGAGCCAGCCAAGTGGCCTCGGAAACAAAGGTGGTGAGTGGGCTAAGGGCGGATGATGGGGGCTCCTGTCAGTCCTTTCTCTCGGCTGCTCAGCCCTCCGTGCCTTTGAATCTTGCTGAACTGGGCAGGCGCCTTGTGAGACCGGGGATTTTTTCCTCTCTTTCGCAGCTGAGGCCCGCAGGGGCGAGCCTCTCCTGTCCCCCATATGTCACACGCTTTGTGCCACACTTGAACTTATATTTTCTGCAGGAACCTGGGTTGGGAGGAGGCTGTACAATTCGGGCACTCACCTTCCCAGCAAAGACTCAGTGAGGGTTTAAGATAATATATTGACTCCACCTGGGGCTGGCCAAGGGATGGAGGACACTCCAGTCATGGTGGGTCAGAGAGAGAGAGAGAGAGAGAGAGAGAGAGAGAGAGAGAGAGAGAGAGAGAGAGAGAGAGAGAGAGAGAGAGAGAGAGAGAGTGTGACCACATGCATGTGCAAAGTGATTTTGTTTTTCAAGATTACTCTGTGTGTAGTCTTAGCTGTCCTGGAACTCACTCTGTAGACCAGGCTGGCCTCGAACTCACAGAGATCCGCCTGCCTCTGCCTCCCGAGTGCTGGATTAAAGGCATGCACCACCACTGCCCGGCACAAGGTGAATTCTAATTTGGAGAGCAGAGGAGGGTATTGGTGTCTTCTCCCACACCCACACTCCGTTATGAGATCTGTCCCCGATGCTCACTGTTTCATGAGACTGTCCAGTCAGCTCACCTACCACTCTTCAACCTGGGGATGCAGGCACACAGCGCATTCCTGGCTTTTAGTGGGGGCTGTGGGTTCGAACTCAGCTTCTCTTGCTTTCACAGTAAATGGTCTTACCCACTAACCATCTCCCCTGCCTCCAGGGTCACGTGTGTGTGTGTGTGTGTGTGTGTGTGTGTTTAAAAGAAAAAGAAAGGTCCCCATTAATGGGGTGCAGTGGTGCACATTTTTTTTCACATTTTTAATCCCAGCACTGGAGAGGCAGAGGCTGGATCTCTGAGTTTGAGGCCAGCCCAGTCTACAGAGTGAATTCCAGGACAGTCAGGGCTACAGAGAAACCCTGTTTCAAAGTAAAATAAAATAAAATAAAATAAATAACAACAACAAAATCCCACGTCCCCATTTTTGACAGATTCCCCAAGGGTCTGAGGCCCCCAGAAAGACAGGAGGACAGGAAGGAGAGGGAAGGAGTATTCAGAGGAGGGGGCACTTTTTAGCCCAGAGAAAAAAACAGGCTTTCCACCCCGGCTCTCAGTTTCCCCAGACGCACCAGGAAGAGCGAGCTTCCTGTCCCCACTCACCCTGGAGCTTGTGCTGTGAAATTCTAAGAATCAGAGGGTTCTGTGATGCCGTGGGGGAGGGGGAGTGGTGGTGGCCAGATGCCAGGCGGGAAGAAGACAGGTCGGTCTGTCAGCCTGCCCTTGTGTTTGTCTGTCTGTCCGTCTGTCAGCGCCCCCCTGCCCCGTTCCTAGCATCCCTATGACTCAGGTAGGCTGAGGACAGGGTGGATACCAGACTCTGTTCCCTGGGAGGAAATTGGCAATGGGAAGTTCATTTCCGTTGGCTGCCAGGAATGTCTTTGCTGCCTGTGTACCCGGTCTCAGCAGGGACCCGGGGCCGTGGGGTGGGAGGGCGGCTCAGGGGACATCCAGCTCTCCCTCGAGGGCTGTCACGTGGGTGCTGAGAGTCTGAACGCAGGTGATCACCTCACACACCGATCACATCCCCAGGCCACCACTCTCTCTTTGCCCTTTGAGACAGGGTCTCATTCACCCCAGGCTGGTCCAAAGGACTGGAGAAATGCCTCAGGAGTTAAGAGCACTGGCAGCTCCTCTGAGAGGACCCAGGTTCAATTCCCAGCACCCATATGGCAGCTCACAACTGTCTGTAATTCCAGTTCCAGGGGATCTGACATCTTCTCAGTTGAATAATTAAAAAAAAAAAAAAGGACTGGTTTATCAAGTGCTGGGGATTTGATCCAGGGCTCCCTGAATGCTAGGTGAAAACTTCATCAGCCAAGCTATATGCCTAGCCCTCTTGTGTGTATGAGAGAGCGAGCGTGTGTGTGTGTGTGTGTGTGTGCGCGCACACGTGTGTGCATGTGTGTGCACGTGTGTGTGCATGTGTGTGCACGTGTGTGCACGTGTGTGCATGTGTGTCTGTGTGTTGTCATGGGGATTGAACTCATGCATGTAGAGAAATGTTAGAGAAGTACTCCACTGTTCAACCATGGCCTCTGACACCCACTGTCAGACTCTGGGTAAGCTTTCTGTCATTAAGCTGTATCCCCAGGCGTGAATATTGCTCAGTTGACTGACCATGCCTTATTTTTTCAAAGATGTCCGTGTATGATGTGATTAGGATAAAGATCATACCTGTCTTTTGCAGAAATTAGGGCTTCTAGAGGAAAAGAATCCCCTTGATGTCACGAGGATATGGAGAGAGAGAGAGAGAGAGAGAGAGAGAGAGAGAGAGAGAGAGAGAGAGAGAGAGAGAGAGAGAGAAGAAAGAGGGGAACAGAAGGCAAGAGAGATTTAGGGATAAGACTTGGACCAGGGCTGGGTGGTGCCAGGGCACCAGCACTCGGCAGGTGGATCTCTGTGAGTTTGAAGCCAGCCTGGTCTACAGAGTGAGTTCCTAGTCAGCCAAGGCTACACAGAGAAACCCTGTCTTGAAAACCAAACAGAACAAAAAGACTTGGTCTAGGTGGGAGGCTTTGATTGGTGGTAGCACGCCTACCCATTGGTTCCCATTGGTCTATCCAGAAACAAACCCATCCTGTTCCATCTCCAAGGGACCCAGAAGTTTCCAGCTCTGGGGTGAGGATGGCAGGTGTGTAAGCACCGCCACAGTGGGCTGGCCTTAGGGATCAGGACACAGCCTGACCTTCCTAAGTCAGTTAGGGAGCAGATGGGTCCTGCCTTTTAATCTCCTCCCTGCATGCAGCCTCTCCCTGGGTCTCCCCAGGGCTTGTTGATGCCTGGGGTACGGTGTGGGAGGAAGAGAGGGAGAGCCGTGACGGGAGAAGGGCTGGCCAGGGCGCCGTGCCTTCTCCCGGTCTCTAGAGACTTCTGGAGTGACTTCTGTACCCAGGCGTTGATTGGGCACTACAGTTTGCAAGACCAGATCTTCACACAGCCCACAAGTCACTCAAGTCCCAGTCCCCCGAGAAGGTCCAGGCAGACACAAGTGAGTCAGTTAAAAGTGCCAGGAAGAGATGGTCGTGAGGGTGGTAGGGAATTGTGACGGGGTGAAGGGGGGGTGTAGGCAGAGGTGCTGAAGAAGGGTTAGGCTACTCAGGGAGGGAGTGTGGAGGTATCGGAACCGGAGGAAGCTCATTGGTTTGAATGGCACTGAAGGGAGGAGTAGGTAAGGCAGCTAGGCTAGCTGGGAAGAGCCTCATTACCTGTCACCAAGCACCAGAGGTTCAATTTGTCCTTAAGTCCTTTTGTTTATATTACAGGTAGAGCCCAGGACCTTGCACATACTAATCAAGTGCTCTACCACTGAGCCACGCCCCCAGCCCCTCACTGGGGGATTCTAGGCAGGGACTCCACCACTGAGCCACATCCCAGCCCCTCACTGGGGGATTCTAGGCAGGGGCTCTACCATTGGGCCACACTCTCAGCCCCTCACTGGGGGATTCTAGGCAGGGGCTCTACCATTGGGCCACACTCTCAGCCCCTCACTGGGGGATTCTAGGCAGGGGCTCTACCACTGAGCCACACCACCAGTCTCTTAGAAGCCTTTGGAGGTTAGTGAAGAAAAGAACAAGAGCTGATCCTCTTAGCAAGGTCTTTTGGCCACCTTGGGAAGTGAATTGAGGGAGGCCCAGTGGTAGGACAGATGCTTCTAGGCTCCTGAGCCGTGAGGGCAGCACAGAATCAACAAGGGGTCAGAGACCCAGGCCTGCATTTACGGTCCATAGAAGGACTTTCCTTAGAAAAAAGAAAGACTCAGGCTCCTGGGAATTTGCTGTGTGACTCCAAGTTCGTTCCTTCCCCTCTCTGGACTACAATTTCCTCATCTGTCCAGTAGACTTGACCAGTTTCTCTCTCTGTCTCTCTGTCCTCCCCCTCCCTCCTATGTCTCCCTCTTCTGTGGATGGGAAGTTGGTGCTATGTGCCACGGAGCATGTGTGGAGGACACCTTCTGGGAGTCAGTTCGCTCCTTTCACAATATGGGTACTGGGGATAGAACTTGGGTTGAAGGCTTGGCTGCAAGCACCTTTACTGTAAGCCATCCCACTGGCCCCTCAAATGGTGTTTTCAAGTGCGTCTTGGGAATTTTTTTAGAGGTGGGTTTCCGGTCTCCACATCATTCCACCCAGACCACATGGCATTCGATCTTTTCAGTGTCTTTGACTGGATTTCTAAGTATGATCTTGATAGTATGGTTTTCTTTCTTTTTTCTTCAAGCGAGGCTCTGTGTGGCCCTGGCTGTCCTGGAACTCACTCTGTGACCAGACTGGTCTCAAGCTCAGGGATCCGCCTGCCTCTGCCTCCCGAGTTTAAAAATGCTTTTAAATCTGGTGATGCTCGCCTATAGTCCCAGCACTCAGGAGGCAGAAGTGAGGATGCTTGCAAGTTTCAGGCCAGCCTGGGCTACATACACTGTAAGACCCAATTTCAAACAATCTACCAAGCCAGCCAGCAAATGGGTAAAGGATGTGGTCAGTTGGTAAAGTGCCTAGAATTCATGAGGACCAGGGTGTCAATCCCAGCTCTGTATAAGCTGGGCACAGCAGCGTACTCCTGTGACCCCAATACGGGGGGGGGGGGCAGGAGGATCAATGAGTTCAAGGTCATCCCCAACTACGTAGCAAGTTCAAGGCCAGCCTGGACTACCAGAGACTCGGGGGGGGGGGGAGAGAAACAGGGGGAGGGAGGGAGAGACGGAGAAAGCTAAATATGTTCAGACCCTGTGATCATCAGGGGCTTGGTGCATGAATGTTCTCTGCTCTAAACTTGTATATCTTCCTAGAAAAAAGGAAGTGATGAATCCACGGACCTCGCCAGGACAATGGGAAAGGAGAGGGATAGGCTGTGAGGGCTGTGTCCCCGATGACACCAACCCCAGACTTCCCCTGGCTCCCTGACCCTGACCTTTCCAGAGTCTAACAACCCCTGCTCTGTTCCACTGTCAACCCCGGGGGCCCTTTTGTGTCCAAGGTGCCCTAGAAACTCAAGGGCAGGCTGGGAAAATGGCTAAGAGCAGAGATTTTCCACCTTGGGCATCAGGACCTTGGACAGGTCTGGGAAATGCATCTTGCTTCCGTTTTTCAAATCTCTCCTCTCTCTCTCCCTCACTCCCTGCCTATGCCTCCCTCCCTCTCCCCAAGTCCCAAGTGTCTGCATGCTTGTTATGCTACACACGCGGGCATCAGAGGGCAACACGCAGAATCGCTTCCTTTCTTCCGCAGTATGAGATCCTGGAATCAAACTCAAGCCCCAAGGCTTGGCTCCTTTACCCCATGAGCGGTCTCCACCACCTCACCCTCCACTGCTCATTTTGAGACAGATTTTCATGGCTTCAAACTCAATGCGTATCGGAGGATAACTTTGAACTCCTGATCCTCCTACCTCTACGCTCTGACTTCTGGGATCAAACGCACGTGCCAACGTGCTCAGCATGTTAGGTCTTTAATGTGTATTTGGGAAGCAGATCCCATGCTCTTGGGCATCCGTCTGCTCCTCAGGGTGGTACCCAGCAGTCCTTGCTGAGGTGTCCCGTTCCCTTCCACGCGGATAGTGGGAAGTGTGGGTGAGCCCAGTATGGGCGGCCATGCCTGCTTCACCATGCTGTCTCTCCCCAGGCCTGCCCAGCCCAGCTCTCAATGTGGTCAGGAGTGGGACAACTTCATCTCCGCCCTCGGCTCTCACCCGGATCAACTCTGAGTTAGTTTCCCGGTGCCCTTTCAGGGTTTTCCTTCTGCCCACAATCCTCCTGTGCCCAGCCCTTACTCACCTTCCTGTTTCCTAGCCTCCCTTCCCACAATTCCCGGCCCTAGCAAGCCCTTCCTCCTCCTGCTCTGTCTGTCCCCAGAGGACACTTTGGTGAGGTTACAGCGTTCGCTATTTCCTGCTGGTGTCCTTGCAGATGCCAGCATCCCAAGTTGCATCTTCCCAACTCTGTGTCTTTTTCTCAATGCTCTCCTGTCTTATTTCCCGAGTCTTCTAGAACATTCCAACCTAGTGGTACTTTATCATGCCCATGCTCACTCCTAAGACCCCAATAAGCGTGACACCTCTGGCGTCCTCATCTCCTCCGTAAACACTGCCTTCACCGGTTTCTCCCGGCCCCTGCCTTCATGCTCTGACTGCTGGCACAGACACTCCCTCTGACATTAGTCCCACCTGCTATCCTACCGCTATCCTTCCTTGACGCTCTTCCTCCCCAGTTCTCCTTTTGCTTAGCCTGCCGCAAAGCAAACCGGGACCCCTGTCCTCGTGAACCTCTTCCTATCATGTTCCCCTGAGCCTCCAAAGAGGGGGCTCAGGGGGCCCGATGGCCTCCCGCCCCCCGTGGCCCTGTAGCCCCAGCGGGCCAGGGGAAGAGCCCAGGAAGCCGCAGCGCCCAGGATGGGCAACCGCACCTGGGAGGGCTGCCACGTGGACTCTCGAGTGGACCACCTCTTCCCGCCATCCCTCTACATCTTCGTCATCGGGGTGGGGCTGCCCACCAACTGCCTGGCCTTGTGGGCAGCCTACCGCCAGGTGCGCCAGCGCAATGAGCTGGGCGTGTACCTGATGAACCTGAGCATCGCCGACCTGCTGTACATCTGCACGCTGCCGCTGTGGGTCGACTACTTCCTCCACCATGACAACTGGATCCACGGCCCCGGCTCCTGCAAGCTCTTCGGCTTCATCTTCTACAGCAACATCTACATCAGCATCGCCTTCCTGTGCTGCATCTCCGTGGACCGCTACCTGGCCGTGGCCCATCCACTGCGCTTCGCGCGCCTGCGCCGGGTAAAGACCGCGGTGGCCGTGAGCTCCGTGGTCTGGGCCACCGAGCTGGGCGCCAACTCGGCACCGCTCTTCCACGACGAGCTCTTTCGAGATCGCTACAACCACACCTTCTGCTTCGAGAAGTTCCCCATGGAGAGCTGGGTGGCCTGGATGAATCTGTACCGGGTCTTCGTGGGCTTCCTCTTCCCCTGGGCGCTCATGCTGCTGTGCTACCGCGGCATCCTGCGGGCCGTGCAGAGCAGCGTGTCCACAGAGCGCCAGGAGAAGGTCAAGATCAAGCGCCTGGCCCTGAGCCTCATCGCCATCGTGTTGGTATGTTTTGCTCCGTACCATGCTCTCCTGCTGTCTCGAAGTGCCGTCTACCTGGGCCGGCCCTGGGACTGTGGCTTCGAGGAGCGAGTCTTCTCCGCCTACCACAGCTCCCTGGCCTTCACCAGCCTCAATTGCGTGGCCGACCCCATCCTCTACTGCCTGGTCAACGAGGGAGCTCGCAGTGACGTGGCCAAGGCCCTGCACAACCTCATCCGCTTCCTGGCCAGCGACAAGCCCCAGGAGATGGCCAATGCTTCCCTCACCCTGGAGACACCCTTGACCTCCAAGAGGAGCACCACCGGCAAGGCCTCCGCGGCTGTCTGGGCGGTAGCTCCACCGGCCCAAGGGGACCCGGTGCCACTGAAGGTGCTGCTGCCGCCGGCACAGTGAGCCCCGCCCCCGAGTCTCATGCCCCGCCCCTCTCTGCTGTATGCAAATGTATGTAAATATGGCCTGTGAATATCGGTAAGAATACAAGGGGGAAAAATGAGTTTTTTGTGTCTCTCTTATCTATCTTCCACCCCGCAATGATTCACTTTAACTGGCAGGGCCTGACGGGGGATTGACAGAACCAGGAGTCATCAGTGGGCTCCCAGAAGGGAAGTCAGTCAGCATGAGGTGATAATTAAGTCAACTGTTTCTAATAGACAAAGACAGAAGAGCCTGGCCTTGTAATCCCAGCCACTAGGGAGGCTGAGGAAGGAGGATTTGGAAATTCAAAACCTACTTGGAGGCCAAGCGGTGGTGGCGCATGCCTTTAATCCCAGCACTCAGGAAGCAGAGGCTGACGGATCTCTGTGAGTTCGAGGCCAGCCTGGTCTACAGCAGCTAGTTCCAGGATAGCCTCCAAAGCCACAGAGAAACCCTGTCTCGAAAAACCAAAAAACAAAGCCTGGGAATGTAGTCTAACAGTAAGTGTCTAGCAAAAATCCCTGGGGAGGGGCTGGGCACGTGGCTCAGTGTAGAGCCCCTGCCTAGAATTCCTCAGTGAGGATCTGGGGGCATGGCTCAGTGGTAGAGCCCCTGCCTAGAATTCATGCTGACGATAATTCTTTCTTGCTTGTATTTTGGAAAAAGTGTGTGGTTATTCATCAGAGTCTGTCTTTGAGCTCATGGTCCTCCCTCCTCAGCTTCCCAAGTGTGGAGCAGAGAGTTTCTTTTTTTTGGGGGGGGGGGTTTCGAGACAGGATTTCTCTGTGGCTTTGGAGGCTGTCCTGGAACTCACTTTGTAGACCAGGCTGGCCTCGAACTCACAGAGATCCACCTGCCTCTGCCTCCCGAGTGCTGGGATTAAAGGTGTGCGCCACCAACACCTGGCTGTGGAGCAGAGAGTTTCTGAGATTCTACAGGAAAAACATTCTCTCAGTCTGGTGTGGTGCAGGAAGACGGGGATGCTCAGGAGAAGAAGAGCATCCACCCACCCACCCTCCATAACCGTCTATCCATCCATTCACTCCTGCCTCAGAAATGATGCCCGGCCAGTGATGACCAGATTCTGTTCTTGAGTGGTTTCGTATCACCAAGTAAGCAGTGAACACAGCAAGACAAAAACTTTAACTTATTGCTGGGTACGGGCTCTGCCACATCACTCCTGTGGCAGTCAGAGGACGACTTAGAAGAATCTGTTCCCTCCTTCCTCCATGTGGGACCCAGGAGCTCAAACTCAGGTCACCAGGCCTGGATACAGCCTTTACCTGCTCTTGCTGGCTCCTCCTTCCGCCTCAATTATTGAGGTACTAGGACCCCGCCCACTCCGGCACTCCTCTTGGCTGGTTCTGTACTCTTGAGGTCCACACAGCCTTGAGCATCTGATCTCCCTACCCTGCCCCGTTTCTTGAGTAGCTGGGCCACCAGGCCCAGGCTGTTTCGTTTTCATTGTTGCTTTTTAGTCCCATCTCACTGGGTAGCCCTGGCTGGCCTGGGACTTGCTATGCAGACTGACCTAGGACTCACAGACATCCCTCTGCTTCTGCCTCCTGGTTCTGGGGTTAAAGATGTGCGCCACCATACCACTGGGACCAGTCTTTAGGATGTACTTTGAAGGAGGCCTTTGTGGGAGAAAACGAGGGTCTAAAGGATTGTGTAACTTGAGCCCCTGACCCATTCTGGGAAGAGGGTGCCCAAGGGGCCCGGGTGGAAAGGGCCTCTGGGAAGCAGCCCAGGCCCTGGTCCAGGACAGTCACTCAAGAGGCCACAGGGCGAAGGGTGGAAGGTCCCACGGTGAGTCAGTGCTGGCGCCACCCTGGGCTCCCTGTCCCTCCCAGATCTGCGTCCATTCCCACGCCCCAGGGTGGCCAGGGCTGCCGGACTTAGCTTATGGTGTCCCTTCCTCTTTGTGGCTTAATGGGTCATCCAGATGGCTGTGGCCTTTCCTTCACCAAGCAGGAGGGGACAGGAAGTGCCCAGCTCTGACCAGCGCGTCCTGCCCCAAGAGATGCCTCTCCCTATGACTTAGAGACAGGCCCCTGAGATGGGAAGATCACACACACAGAGACAGACACACACACACAGACACACACACACAGACACACACACACAGACACACACACAATCACACACATATGCAGACACACACACACAGACATAAGACACACACACAGACACACACACAGTCACACAGAGACACACACACAGACACACACACAGACACACACACAGACACAGAGACATAGACAGACACAGAGACACACTCACACAGACACAAGACACACACACACAGAGACACACACAGACACAGGCACACACACAGACATAGTCACACACACAGACACACACACAGACACAGAGACACAGACACACACACAGACAGACACAGAGACACACTCACACAGACACAAGACACACACACACAGAGACACACACAGACACAGACACACACACAGACACACAGAGACACACACACAGACACAGTCACACAGAGACACACATAGAGACAATCACACAGACACACACACAGACACACTCACACAGACACAGACACAAGACACACACACAGTCACACACACAGACACAAAGACACACACAGACACAGTCACACAGAGACACAGAGACACACACACAGACACAGTCACACACACAGACACACACAGACACAGTCACACACACACAGACACAGTCACACAGAGACACAGAGACACACAGACACACACAAACACAGTCAAACACACAGACACAGACACACACAGACACAGTCACACAGAGGAGGAGGCTTGAAGAGAGGGATGGGGGTACAAGGGCACTCAGTAAAGAGGAGTGGAAAGTGATGGGTTTCAGCAGGCTGCAATCTGGGGAGGACACGGGGGTCTCTGCATGGTGGGGCGGGCCTGTATGCCCAGGACTCTGCAGGTCAGTGCAAGATGGTTGTAAGTTTAAGGTCAGACTAGGCTATGTCACAAAATTGTTTTGTTGTTGTTGGGTTTTTTGTTTGTTCTTTTGGTTTTTCAAGACAAGGTTTCTTTGTGTAGCAGCCCTGGCTGACCTAGAACTCTGTAGACCAGGCTGGCCTCGACCTCACAGAGATCCGCCTGCCTCTGCCTCCCGAGTGCTGGGACTGGAGGTGTTCATCACCACTGCCTGGCTGAGACTGTCTTCCCAACAAAAGAAGACAAAACAAAGTGTATTCAACACATACTCTGTGCTGGAAGCTGTTCTAAAAGCTAAGGACATGGCCAGAGAAGAATTACATATACATCTACAAGTTGGGGTCCTAGAGTCCCTAGTAGGCCCTTTGTCCACCAAGGATGAGAAGATAGCCCTGAGCCAAGAGGTGGTGACCACGGCTCTAGTCCCAGCACTCAGGAGGCAGACAGATCTCTGTGAGTTCAAGGTCAGCCTGGTCTACGGAGAGAGTTCCAGGACAGCCAGGGCTACACTGAGAAACCCTGTCTCAAAAACAAAAACAATACAATACAAAAAGTTGACCCTGGGCTGGAACTCAAGAAACCCCAGTGTCATCACCCTGATTACCCATGGAAGCTTGGGCCTCAGTTTGGAAGTCTGTAGAATGGGAAGAGGGGGCTCTGGAGAGATGGCCCGTGGTTAAAAGCACATACTGCTGTCCCAGAGGACCCCAATCCACTTCAGGTGGCTCACAAACACCTCTAATTCAGCTCCAGGGGCTCGCGATGCCCTCTTCTGGCCTCCACGGTTACTGCACTCATGTGCACATACCACTGCCCCCCCCCACGGGCACGCACAAATACACATAATTAAAGATGAAAATAATTGGGAAGCAGATAATGGAACTCATCCAACTGGAGGAGCTGCTTTTCAAGATTCTGGACATTCTTCATAATTTAGACGTTTGGGTCAAACACGTGGTCCCCTGTGATGACTATTCTTGGTTGTCAACTTAACTGGGATGAACTAGAACCTAGAAATGGAGGGCGTGCTGGTGACCTGCATCTTGAGGCCGCACCTTCTCCTGGGGGCCTATATAAGGACGATGGGGGAGGAAGGGTCCATTCCTCACCCGCTTTCCCTCGCCTCCTCAGCCCATCCACTCCTTCTTTGGGATCCCGCAGAAGGGCCGAGACACCCGGACTTGTAGAACTGAGCGGCCACTAGACTCTGGGGCTTCCCATTCATGGCGAGCCATTGGAGGGCAGCCTATAAGTCATTTCAAGAAGTTCCCATGCATACTCACTCCAGAAGTTCTGTGACACGACTGATACACCCCACTTCTCTCTGTCCAGAGTGGGCATCAAACCCAGGGTCTTGCAAAAGCTAGGTGAGCACTTTACCCAATACAGCTACACCCAGCCCCTTTGACAGACATCTGACAGTGTGTGACACCAGGCCCAGCTGCCATCAATACGGACAAAGGATTGGTCCCCTGGTGTGGAAGTTGACCAGAGACACTGAGGGAGAAAATCAGGGTTCCCTGGTCCCCTCCTGCTAGCCACCTCTGCTCCTGTGCCTTCTTGTCCCTTCTTGTCCCCAAATACCCATCCTCACGCCATCATCCAGGAATTTCTCTCAACTCAGTCCTGACTTTGTTTATATGATTTTGCTCCCTGCTGGTCAAGGGAGGACAGTTTGGGATGTGTCCTTAAAGTTCCTTCCTGAGCCTGCTCCCTGGGGACGCTCACCCTCCCCAGGAGGAAGTTGCCGTACTGCAGGCCCATGTCACCCGTTCTTCCGGGCCTCCGTCTTTTGGTGAGTTGCTTGGGGAAAGGATGGGCTAGCTACAGAGCGCCTTTAGGCTGGAGTTAGAGATTAACACGGATGCATGCACGGTAGTGAGGGCTTTTAGGGGGCTTGCACCATTCCAGCATATCCATGTGCGTCATTTCCTGTGCTTACACACTCTCAGAATTCACATACAAAGCCTGGGATTCAGCTACTGCAAGAGCCCTAGCCCAGAACCACGCGGCGACAGGGCCGAGTTGTGGCGCAGCCTTGACTCCCCCAGTGAGGGGCTGGAGCCAGTGGCCTAGCACGGGAAATGTCTTGGGGGTCCATCCTCAATCATGAAAAAAAAAGAGAGAAAAAAATCAGAGACGTAGTTCCAAGACAGGTCTCGGCTACGCTGGGGGCTCTATGCCAGGCTGGGTTTTTGGTTTATTTATTTATTTAAATTTTTTTTTGGTTTTTCGAGACAGGGTTTCTCTATATTGTTTTGGAGGCTGTCCTGGAACTCGCTCTTGTAGACCAGCCTGGCCTCGAACTCACAGAGATCCGCCTGCCTCTGCCTCCCGAGTGCTGGGATTAAAGGCGTGCACCACCAACGCCCGGCTTGGTTTGTTTTTAAATAACTTAATTTTGTTTTATGTTCCTTGCCGTTTGGCCCGCGTGTGTGTCTGTGTGAGAGCGTCAGAGCCCGGGAACTGGAGTTACCGACAGGGGTGAGCCGGGAATTGAACCCCAGGTCCTCCGGAGGAGCGAGCGTCAGTGCTCATGACCACTGAGCCATCTCTCCGGCCCGAGACCCGGCTTTTTGGGAAAAAATTAATAACGATAATGATAAAAACCCAGAACTGACTTCCTAAGGGGCTGAGTCCCTCCTCCAACTTCAGACGAGAGTGAGTAAGCGACCAGGTCTGCGCGAGGACGCGGCGAGCGCTCATTAGACTTTAAATGGGGCTCCAACGAGGCGCCGCCCGTGGGCCGGGAAGCCGACGCAAGGGCGCGGTGACGCCAGCGACGTCGGGGCTCGGGTTCCGGCCACGCCCCCCACGAGCGGCCGTTTAACGGCCCCGCCTTCGGACGCCTCACTTCCGCTTTGCGTTTGCAATCCCCCCCGCCCTCCTCCCCCGCGCAACGAACGGACGTCGAGGCGGCGACGCGGCGACGTCACGGGGCGTCTCCGCCCCCGGCGCGAGCGTGGGAGACGCGCGCTCGTACGTAGGGACGCCCCGCCTTTACGCAGGCACGCCGCGGCCCAGCGGCGGGCGGGAGAGGCACGGCGAGGTCAGCGGCGCCCCGCCCAGTCGGCGAGGCTGCGCGTGCCCAGGGCGAGCGCCGAGATGGTGGTGGGCGCGTTCCCCATGGCGAAGCTCTTCTACCTGGGCATCCGGCAGGTCAGCAAGCCGCTGGCCAACCGCATCAAGGAGGCCGCCCGCCGCAGCGAGTTCTTCAAGACCTACATCTGCCTGCCCCCGGCCCAGCGTGAGTCTCTCCCCGCGGTGCCCCAGCCCTGCCATTCCCGACCTCGCTCGGGGGAGGGCGGGCTCGCTGGACCTGACCAATCCCGGCGCGAACCGGCAAAACCCTGGAGCCAATGGGGATGGCCTCTGCCGGAGGGGCGTGGTGCTTGTCTAATAGCGAAGGAGGGCGTGCGGTCGGGGCGTCGCCGCGCGTGTTGGGGAATGCAAGCCAATGGGGAAGAGGGCTTGCGGCGGTTGACGTCTACGACGGCCAATAGGACGAGGGGGAAAAGCCGGCAGGGGGTGGGGCTTACGTGTCAGTAGTTAGGAGCGGCGCGGGTAAGCCCACTCGGATCCCTCGCCCTACTCCGGGAATTCCATCCCGTTCCTCAGTTTCCCTGCTGCCCTGTGGGTGCTTGCCTGTCTCTCTGGGTTTAGACCACGGTGCTTACGGCTTAGTTTTACTCTGGGCCTGAGTTAGGGGCGAGATGGTGGTGGGATCTGGGGCCCTGGGGAGCAGCCCTGCATCCTGGCAACAAGATGAGCCCAGTATCACGGGCATCTTCGTACCCATCCATTCATTCGGTAGCTGCACCGTGCAGGCCTCTTGCGCTGGGTACTGGCAGATAGGGTCCTAATATGGCAGCGTTATCTCAGAACGGTCAGGGACCGCAGGCAGTCTCCGGGTGAGCCCAGGCAGCCTGAGACCTCACTGGCGTCGCAGACGCACCCAATAGGAGCCCCTGGCAAAGGCTTATCTGTCTCCGTGGAGCAGAGACGAGGGGGAAGGTTTTGTAACTTGCTTGGTCGGGAACTACCGTTCACCCGTCGTCCCGGATACCTTATGTATGATGGGCGTCTGTTTCGTACGAGGCCTGAGCTGTCCCTGCTTAAGAAGCGACAGGGTCTATGCCAGCACCTGTTTGTCAACCAAAGACCTATGCTGTGACAATCTAGATGGGATGGCAGAGCCCACTAGACACGTGACCTGGTGTGGAGTGGTACTTCCTGACAGGTGGGTGGGACCTTAGGAGAATCTCACCAGGCCACGGAGGGACAGGGACAGAGATGGCCCCAAGGGAAGGAACATGTACCAAGGCCAGCTGGCTAAGGGGAGGCTTGTCCTTTTTTCCTCCCCCTGTGTGTTTGGCAGTTCTTGGTCCTGTTGGCATTTGGACAAGGGTTGGGTTTTGAAGTCATGGGGGTGCACACTCATGTCCCAGTATTTGGGAGGTTGAGGCAGTAGAAGCAGGAGGCCAGGGCCAGCTTCAGATACCTCAGTGAGTTCAGCCTGTCTCACACCCACCACCACCAAAAGGAACGGCTGGCATCATGCGCTTGCAGTCTCAGCGCCTGGGAGGCAGAGGCAGGAGAATCGCTGCAAGTTAGGAGCTGGCCTCACTTCCACTGTCACTTCCAAGGTTCCCAGGATGCAGGCTGAGGGGACAGCATGAAGTCCACAGAAGAAGAAAGTGAGGCCTCTGGGGCAGGAGTGGGGTGCTGGGGTCACCCTCCATCACCGCGAGGCTGTGCCGGAGCCTGGATGTGGACTCTGGACTCCCGGGCTTGTTCAGCACTGGGACTGCTCTTAGCTTTGTAGTTGGAGAACAGTGTGGCCCCACCCCCAAACTGATGACTTGGGCGGATCACTAATCCCGCATGAGGGATAGTATGGAACAGTAGCTCTCGGTGGCTGTCACTGTGTTCTTGCAGTGACACCGAGTCCTCCTCAGCCACTGTCTGCAGTGTCCTTTCCCACTGTTTGTGTGGCCTCTGCACTGAGCGCTGCAGTTCTGTGAGGAGCAGGGAGATACAAGGAAATCTAGGTCTCGGCCAGGCAGCGGTGCGCACGCCTTTAATCCCAGCACTCGGAGCAGAGGCAGGAGGACTTAAAGTTCAGGACCAACCTGGGGAATAGAGAGTTCACGGCCAGCACATGTTTTGAGGCCCGGTTTGAAAGGAACGAGTGAAAAGAGATCGCTGGAGAGGCATCACTGCAGCAGAACACTTGTTACAGCACGGGGGGTGGGCGTGGGGCCAGGCGTCAGGACGGATACTTAACCGTGCCAGCACTTGAGGGAGGGGATGAGAGGGTGAGGAGTTCAAGGTCACCTGCAGTTAAATCTAGTTGAGGTCACCTGGGCTCCTTGAGGGTCTGCTGACTGTTCTCCTCCATTATGGCTGCCCGCCTTGTTTTTCATGAGGTTGATGCTGGCCCCCAGGGGTCCAGTGTGGGTTCCCCAGTTGAATTTGAGCCCTGTGTCTCTGGCAGGGACCCCACTGACAGAAGGAAGGAACATGACTAGGAATGCAGGAGGAGGAGGTTTGTTGTAGACGCGTAGGAGAGCGTAGCCAGAGGCAGGGACACCTGGGAGAGTCCCTAGTGGCCATGACCTTGAGACATGAGGAGATGGGGCAGGGAACCAGGTGCATCACCAGGAGGCCCAAAAGAGGAGATGAAAGGGACGGTAAGCTCAGTGGCTGTGTTCTATCGGAAGGTTAGCTGGGGAAGGCAGCCAGCCCTGGGCTGGAGAAGTTTAGGGTTCCGCCAGCCAGAAAGGGCCTTGTAACAAACAGGTGGGGACTGAAGGATCCGGGGAGAACCTGGTAGCCAACATCCCTTTGACATTTCTTTTAATGTAAGGGTGTGTGAATACATATTTTATTATTTTTTATTTTTATGTGTATTGGAGTTTTGCCATGGATATCAAGTCCCCTAGAACTGGAATTACAGACATTTGTGAGACATTGAACCCAGGTCCTCTGGAAGAGCAGTCAGTGCTCTTAACTACTGAGCCATCGCTCCAGCCCCTCCCCCCCTATGTTCTATGGCACCTCAGCCGTTTGTCCCAGGTTTGAAACCTAACACCCACAAAGTATGGTGTGTCCGTGTCTGTCTGGGGAAGGTGTGTGCATGTGTGGACATGTTCTCGGTGTCTGTCTGTCCCCCACTTGGGATGATGTCCTATGGTTATCGTGTCAACTGTGAGAGGAGCCCGTGCTTTCCTGTCAGTGGAGACTGCCCTGACAGCTTGTTTGGAGGTAGAGCTGACCGGACTCAGGCAGGAGAGGGGAGATGGCAGACGGTTCTGAGGTTCGAAAGTCTCCCCCCCCTCCCCGTGCCGGGTTCATGTTTTCTTTCATTCCGTGCTTCCCGTCTTCTCACTGCTAAGTGCCTGTGACTCAGAATTCCCAGTCAGTTCACCACGACTGTGCCCACCTGAGGTTCTTGGCACTCGGCAGGGTAGGCTTGCCCCTTGTATTGTGTTTACGTTTTTCTTGTTTGAAGATAGGGTTGGAACCATAGATGTGAGTCACCGTAACTGAAGGAAGACATTGGTTTTGTGTGAACAAAAACACTGGGCAAGTGGGTAGCATGGATAAAATTTAAGACATCACCTCTAAAATACAGTTAATGAAGCGCACGCCTTTAATCCCAGCATTTGGGAGGCAGAGGCAGGCGGATCTCTGAGTTTGAGGCCAGCCTGGACTACAGAGCCAGTTTTAGGACAGCCAGGACTACATAAAGAAACCCTGTCTCCAAAAACAAACAAAAAGTAGGGTCTCACTGTGTAGCCCTGGCTGGCATGGAACTATGTGGACCAGGCTGGTCTCGAACTCATAGAGATCTCCCCGCCTCTGCCTCCTCAGTGCTGGGATTGTGTGTGTCAGTGTTCTCAGTTACTCAGGATAACCAAAGGAGAGGGTCACTTCAGGGTGAAATTAGACCTCTCGGGCAGCTGGGAGAGAGGTCCTGCCTTAATGGACTGAACCTCCAATAGCTGTACAGAAGCTTTTTTATTGATTGTTACACAAAAGTTGTTTTGTGGGTAAAACAAGTTCCTCATAGCAAAGCCCCTGATCTAATCTATGTTTCAAACGTCACACCACGCACCTGTAGTCCTTATTGTGGCACTGTTTGCAGTACTCAGGTGTGCCAGGGCCGTCTTGTGACGAAAGTCACGCCACGGCTGTAAAGCGCTTTCAGAAAAACAGCTCTAGAGATAAGAGAACAAACTGTTTTCCACCATGACTTCAGTCTAACAGCTTTTTCGTTCTAATGTTGCCCCAAGATACAATGCTCCATGATTTCCTGCTACGGGTGTGTCACCGCACCTGGCTGCCTGCCCCTTATCCACACAGCTGAGCGGACAAGAAGCCCTCCAGCCCCGAGGCCAGCCAGGTAGTTCCTGCCTGTCCCCAGGAGGCTACACTCCTGGGAGGAAGAGAGGCCTAGCATCTGGTCCAGTTCCTTGGTGCGCTGTGCGATGCAGGCAGAACTCTTTCTTTTGTTCTTTTTTGAAGGTTAGAAGACAGGGTCTTGTACAGTAGCCCAGGCTGGCCTGGGCCTGGAGCTTCAGAGGTCTTTCAAGTGTTAGGATTGTAGACACGCACCACAGTGCCTGACTGAAAAGTTCTCTCTTTCTCTAGCTCCCGTGCGTGTCAAAGAGTGTTATCGATGCGTCCAGGGAAGCTGTAGGTGACTGGGCAGGAAGGAACCCCCAGTTCATTTATGCTTATCCCTTTCCAGCATACAGCTCATTTTCCTAGCTTGCCACACACAGCAAGCAAGGCCACAGTCATTCAAAGATGTCCACATTGACATTAGTTGTATTTTCAACCCTGTAACCTAATAGTTGAGGCAGACGAGGTAGATAAAGAAAAGAGGTTATTTAGCTGAGAGTCGGCAGCACTTGTGTCTGCTTGACTCTTTTGATGGTCTTCGTGCTGGTAGAGTCCCAGGGTGTCACTCTATTTGTGGCTCCTCTTCAGCCCTTGGGCTCCATCATAGCGATCTTAGGATCTAACGTCTTCACTGTCTAAGTCTCCACTCTCTTAACCGCTAACTTAGAACTCCAGGCAGTCAGGCAGGAGGATCTCAAGTCCCTTGCCGTCCTGGGCTGCGTAGTGAAATAATATCTCAAAACCCAAAGGAAGGCTGGGTGGTGTCGCACGCCTTAGTCTCAGTACTCGGGAGGCAGAGGCAGGGGGATCTCCGTAAGTTCGAGGTCAGCCTGGTCTCCAGAGTGAGTTCCAGGACAGCCTCCAAAACATTACAGAGAAACAAACAAAAACAACCAAAGCAAGAGCCAGGTGCAGGGCTCACACCTGGTGGTCCCACCACGTAGGAGGTGGAGGCAGGAAGTTCAGGAATTTAAGGCCAGCCTGGGCTACTTGATACCTTAAGAAACAAATATTAAAAAGGGAAGAAAGGCTAGTGCCGGTGTAGCCCAGGGGTTGGGTGCTTGCTTAGCATGCACAGGGCCCCGAGCCCCGTCCCTAACAGCGCACACCGGCAAACAGAGAGGGTGTGCAGTGTGTGTTCTCTAACCCGGCACCGGGGAGGCGGGTGGGCCTCTGTCAGCTGGAAGCCACGCTAGGCTACATACCCAGACCATCCAGGGCTCTGTGACGAGACCCTGTCTCAAAGACAGACGGGGGGGGGCACGGCAGGCAGACAGACACCTGATTAAGTACAGCTGCCCAAGAGTTGGCTGAGCAACAAGTAGACGACCTGCAGGAGCAATGTGGCTCTGTGGGCACTGCCGGCCTGGGCGGCCTGGGGAGGCACTGGCATTCTTATTCTTAATGGTATCCAGAGAAAGTCACTTCCCCAAGTCTATTTATATCTTGACAGTGGTACATCAGCTCCAGCTTGTGGCCACCAGGCTGTGGCTGGTGACCTCCAAACATTCAAGATGCTCTCCTTAAAAGAAACGGTGAGAGCGGTTTTTCTCTGTGTGCGCGCACGCATTTATCATAATTACTGGTTATGCATTTTGCTACCATAATATACGGCTATATTGTAAGTATTTTAAAAAACCAATTAGAAAGGGTAGCATTAACCTTTTTGTTTTTTGTTTTTCCAGACAGGGTTTCTCTGTTGTGCCTTGTCTGTCCTAGAACTCAGTCTGTAGACCAGGCTGACCTTGAACTCTTGAGATCCACCTGCCTCTGCCTCCTAAGTGCTGGGATTACAGGTGTATGCTTTATTAATTATATTTTAGAAGTGATTTTTAAATTTTATCCATGCTACCCACCCACCAGTGTCCTTGTTCACATAAAAACAGTGCTTTTCCTTCAGTTATGGTGGCTCACATCTATAATTCCAACCCTCAGAAGTCTTGAGGCAGGAGGATTGCTGATAGTTCAAGGCCAACTTAGGCCAAAGAGCAAAACTCTGCCTCAAAAAAAAAAAAAACCTAAGTAGGTGATCATTGTGTGTCCCCGAGCAGGTCTGAGCTGGCATTTGGATGCCACCCCCAACTCTCGCCGCCGGCCTGGGTGGTACACTCACTCCTACAATCCTAGCTACTCGGGAGGTTGGAGCTGGAGGATTGTGAGTTCAAGACCAAGCTTGACTAGTGAGCCTGCCTGAGAATAAAGTTTTTAGCCAACGGGTCTAGGTGGCTTACCTGACGTTTGAGAAGCAGGAGAACCAAGAATTTAAGGTCCTCAGCGACTGAACAAGTCTGAGGTCTCCTGGGCTACGTGCAACAGGGCAGGGCATAGCCGTGTGCCTGACCCGCCTGAAGGCCTGGCTTCCACCTCCAGTGCTACAAATAAACAGGCAACCGCCTGGTGAGGGCTGATGGGTTTACAGCCCAGTGTGGAGAGTCTCCTTGCCCGGCTGCTGACAGTACTCGGAACAGACAGGAGAGGGCGCCCGAGTTGCTTCCTTGGCTCTGTCCCCCGGTCGGGTTCGCTCTGTCTGGATGGCAGGCTTGGGAGGCTGGCGGTACAGCTGACTCCCTGGTGTTTTACCCCTTCTCACGTTCTCTGGAAACCAGCCAGGAAATCTTCACCATGCCTGGACTCATACCTCCTGCTGGCTAGACAGCAGGCCCAAAGGAAAACACCTCTAGGTGGTTTTGTGGCTCTGTCTAACTCTTCCTGAGTTTTTTTTTTTAATTCAGACAGTTCTCCTCCTGACCTCACTAAGACTGCTGGAGCTCTGAGCACCATGCTTCTTATTTCTTTTCTTTTAATTGAGAAGTCTCTCTTTTAGATTTGTTTATTTTATGCATGTGCCTGTTTTACCTACATGTATGTTTGTGCCCTACATGCGTGCCTGCTGCCTGGCAGTTCAGAAGGGAATACTGGATCTCCTGAAACTGGCGTCATGCAGTTGGGAGCTGCCTAGCAGCGTGGGTGCTGGGAACTGAACCCGGGTCTTCCAGAGGAGCAGCCCACTTAACCACAGCCGTCTCTGAAGCCATGCTCTGCATGTGTCAGGAGAGACCCACGGGTGCAGCTTAGTGCCAAAGTGTGCTTTAGGCCCGAGGTTCAGTGCCCGGCACTGGGGGAAGGAAAGTGACAGCCATTGGCCAGGTATGGCGGCACATGCAAGTCCAGCGCTTGGGAGGTGGAGGCCGCAGGATCAGGTGTTCAGGGTCCTCAGCTCCCAGCAAGTTCCAGGCCAGCCTCTGCTGTGTGAGAACTTGGCTTAAAAGGGAGGGGGCTTGTCGTGAGGGACGGAGAAGACACTTCTGAAGGTGGAGAGTGTTCTTTCGGGCCCTTCAGAGGCTACTGTGTCCTGGTCATGTGCCACCCCGCTGTGGGGAAGAGAGGCCTGGCCCTTGGTTTTGAGGCGGGGGTCTTACTGGCTCAAGCTGGTCTGAGGCCGTCTTCTTCCTCGGCCTCCTCAGCGCGGGAATTACCGGCACGAGCCAGCACGCCCTCCACTGTGGCAACTTTTTTTTGTTTTGTTTTGTTTTGTTTTTTGAGACAGGGTTTCTCTGTGGCTTTGGAGGCTGTCCTGGAACTCGCTCTGTAGACCAGGCTGGCCTCGAACTCACAGAGATCCGCCTGCCTCTGCATCCAAATGCCAGGATTAAAGGTGTGCACCACCAACACCCAGCCACTGTGGCCACTTTTAAGCCCACAGATGAAGAAACTGGGGCTTCGGGACAAGAGGTGACTCCGCGCGGGCTCCAAGCCAGACATTCTGAGTCTCGGTGGCCACAGTGCTCGAGGGCCCAGCTCCTGCTCCGTTCTTGCAGGTAGCATCTCTGCTGTCTCCAGTCAGAGTGCTTGCCCACCCTGGGATGAGCCAACACCCTGTGAGCCAGGCCTGGAGCAACTCCGCCCCTGGCTGCTGCTCCGTTCTTGCAGTGGGGAGCAGACAGGTCTGTGTGGAGTCCTGACCAGTCACATAGCAAGCGAGCATCAAGCGCAGGACTGGAACCCAGGACCACCCAGCCCCAGGCACACTGAGCCCCTGGCCTCTCTGCGCTCCAGAACTCCCAGGCCTTGGCTCTGCTACACCCAGCTGGCCTGCGCAGTCTGGTGGGGAGCACAGGCAGAGGCCATTAGTAGTCACTCACTCCTGCCTTTAGTGCCTGTGTGCTGGGAGCTCTTCCGGAGGAAGGACCGCAGGCCGGTGACACAGGCGATGTCTGTGCCGTGCACACCCGTGCTCGCAGCCTCCAGAGGTGGAAGCAGGAAGCTCAGGAGGCCTTCAGGGCCAGCCTTGGCTACGCAGGGCGTGTGTCCATGTGCCTGTCTGTGTGTCTGTGTGCCTGATGGCGCTGGAGGCCGGAAGGCGGCTTGGAAGCTCTGGGGCTGGAGTTACAAACTGGGCACTGGGAATCGAGCCCGGGTTCGGAAAAGCAGCCAGCGCTCTTAACCACTGAGCCATCTCTGTAACCTGTCTTTTGTTTTCCTGAGGCAAGTTCTCACTATGTACCCAAATCTGAACTCATACCGTGATCCTCCTGCCTCAGGCTCCCATGCTGTGCCACCATGCCAGGCTTTAGAGTGAGCCTTGAACTGACTGGGACGCGTCTAGGAAGGGACAGCCAAGGCAGGGGCTACTCAGAGCCATATGATAATTTACCAACCAGTGACAACGGTGATTACTTAAAATATGCTGTCCATTATCTTGACAAATGATACTCGGTGTTTATTGTGATCCTGACTTTGTGAATGAGGAATATTCCATAGAGAATGAGTCCCCAAAGCAGCCTAGGCTGAAAAATAAGTCCTTCTGGGTCCCAGGCTGCTTCACTGGAGCTTAGTTAGTAATATTTGATTTTTTGTATGTATATTCTATTTTTTTATAATTTATTTTTAGGCCTGGAGAGATGGCTCAGAGATTAAGAACACTGGCTGCTCCAGAGGTCCTGAGTTCAATCCCCAGCAACCGCATGGTGGCTCACAACCATCTATAGTGGGATCTGGTGCCCTCTCCTGACATGTAGGCAGAACAGTACATGTAAATAAAAATTTTTAAAAATAATAAAAGAAAAGATTTATTTTTATATCCTCACCTGGCAAGGGAGATACCATGATCATGAAGGTAAGGTTTTCCAGAGAGAGGGTTACCCATCACACCCCGGGTGTGCTGGCCCTGCAATTTCCCCAAATGTGGGGAACTCGACTGCATAATTGGTGAGTGGCGGGCTGTGTTCACGCTCTCCCCGCAAAAAAGATATATGTTCATTTCTTTGTGTGTATGACGTTTTGTCTGAATGGATGTCTGTGCACATGCTTGCAGTGGACGCTGTGGGTCGGGAATTACAGACAGTTGTGTGTGCCTTGTGGGGCAGGGAGTCGAGCCTGGGTCTTCTGGGAGAGAAGTAAGTGCTCTTAGCCGCTGAGCCGTCTTCCCAGCCCCGTCTATATAGTCTTTAAAGTGTGTTTGGTTTTGGTTTGGCTTTTCCAGACAGGGTTTCCCTGTGTAACAGCACTGGCTGGCCTGGAGCTCACCGTGCGTGCGTGCGTGCGTGCGTGCGTGCGTGCGTGCGTGCATGCGTGCGTTCGTGTTCGAGTGCGCGAATGCCATAGGTGTGCTTAGGGAGGTTAGAGAGTGTGTTCTCCACCATGCGGCTCGGGGGTTGGGTATTCAGGCTAGCTGGTGGTCATCTTTACATATGTACCGTCTTGCCGCCCGACCCCTGACTGTATTATTATTGAGATATAAAATGCACGTTAACACTAAGGGCAGGTCCAAAGTGTACAGAGAACCGGTCTTGAGGGCACGGTCCTGCAATTGCAGCTCTCAGGAGGATTCTGCCCCAGCCTGGATTATATAGTGAGCCTCTGCCTCAACGTGCAATAAACAGGAACAGGAGCCACGGCTCGGTGCTTAAGAGCACTGGCTGCTCGGAGGACCCAGGGTGGTTGCTGTTTTGTTTGTTGTTTGTTTTTCAAACCGTTAGGCTTGTTTTTCTGTATTTTTTGTTTTACATGCCAATCCCAGTTCTCCCTCCCTTCCCCCCCATCCACTCCTCAGAGAAGGTGTGGCCTCCCTTGGGGAGGCAACAAAGTCTGTCACATTTCATTGAGGCAAGACCAAGGCCCTCCCCCCTGTATCTAGGCTGAGCGGGGTATCCCTCCATAGGGAACGGGCTCCAGAAAGCCAGTTCATGCACTAGGGATGAAGCCTGGTCCCACTGCCAGTGGCCCATAAACTACCCAAGCCACACGCCTGTCACCCGCTTTCAGAGTGCCTAGTTGGGTCCCATGCACGTTCCCCAGCTGTCAGTCCTGAGTCAGTGAGCTCCACTTGCTCAGGTCAGCTGTTTCTGCGGGTTTCCCCATCAAGGTCTTGACCCCTTTGCTCATATTATCTCTCCAGAGGACCCAGGGTTAATTCCCAGCATCCACATGGCCGCTCATAGCTGTCTGTTACTCCAGTTCTAGGAGACCTGACACCCTCACACATACGTTCATGAAGGCAAAACATCAATGAACATAAAATAAAGATAAATAAATTCAGAGAGAAAAGCAGAAAACAAGTAAAAAAGAAAAGACCAAAACTACAGAGAAACTCTGTCTCGAAAAACCAAAAAAAGAAAAGAAAAAAAAAAAAAAAAAGAAAAGGCCAGCCTGGTCTGCATAGTGAGTTCCAGGCCAGCCAGGGCTACACAGTGAGAGCATGTCTCAAAAAACAAAACAAAAAACCAACGTAATAAACAATAATAAAAACTAAAATGAAGGCAGGCATAGTGGTGCATGCCTATGATCCCCTCAGCTTGAGAGGCTGAGGCAGGAGGATTGCTACAAGTTCAAGACCAGCGTAGCTCTACATGGTGGATTCCAGATGAGCCAGGCATAGTGAGGCCATCTCAAAAAGAAAAGGCTGTGTTGGAAGTGATTCAGAAAGGAGCTAGCCTGGGCTCCTGCTCTCCCATGCTCCTCAAGGCTGTCTCCAGGGCTGAGGGGAAGCAGGGCCAGTGAGGGGAGAGCTCTGCCCCAGGAGCACTGAGAACCTGCGATTGGAGCCTCCCGACCCTCAAGAGGTACCCAGTGTCTCAGCTGGGCTTTCTGTGGCGTCTCCTCCTCCTCCCGGGGTACGTGGGCGACGGTGCCAGGGAGGAAGACAGCCAGCCGCTCTGTGGTGACCCAGGGAGCTGCAGAGGGAGCTGGGTGTAGCTGCTGGGGCTTTACACCTGTGTGTTCTTGACTCGGAGCGGCTGCTTGTGGCCGTCAAGGACATGGCCTCCACCTAGGACCTCTTCTGCCTGTGCTGCTCTCTGGAATCTTCCTGTGCTTTGAAAGACGCCCTGGACTGAGGCCTGATCCTAGTGGAGCAGGACTATACCCCAGCTACTCGGGAGGCAGAGGCAAGCATGTCAGGAATTCAGGGCCAGCCTGGGCTAGATCTGGAAAAAAAAGTGATTGGACATAAGGTCCATGCCTGTCATCCAGCCTTGGGAAGTGGAGGCACAAAGATCAGAAGTTGAAGGTCATCCTTGGCTACATAGGGAGTTGAAGGCCAGAATGAGCTACGTAAGATCACGTCTCACATTCACGTAGACAGAAGGAAGATGGGCGTGGTCTCGGGTGTGTCAGGCATGCATGAGACCCTGGGTTCTGATCTGGGGAGAGAAAGCCACAGGTGGAGAGGCATGTGTTGTCCCCTGGGTGAAGCAAGGGACAGATCTTGCTTAAGTCAGCCCCTACGCCCTCCTTGGTCTCTGACTCCAACCAGGACAAGAAACTGGGGGGCCGGGGGTGTCTTCGGAGCACACCTGACCTCTGTCTCCCCTACAGTGTACCACTGGGTAGAGATGCGGACCAAGATGCGCATCATGGGCTTCCGGGGCACAGCCATCAAGCCGCTGAACGAGGACGCAGCGGCCGAGCTGGGCGCTGAGCTGCTGGGCGAGGCCACCATCTTCATTGTGGGCGGAGGCTGCCTGGTCCTGGAGTACTGGCGCCAGCAGACTCAGCAGCGCCACAAGGAGGAGGAGCGTCAGGCAGCCTGGAACGCGCTGCAGGACGAGGTGGGCCGCCTGGCGCTGGCCCTGGAGACGCTGCAGGCCCAGGCCCAGGCAGCGCCCTCTCTGAGCGCCCTGGAGGAACTGCGGGCCGAGCTGCAGGAGGTGCGGGCCCAGGTCTGCAACACACACGCGGCTCCCAAGTGCCACGCAGCGTCTTGCAAGAAATAGCCAGCCGCTGGGGCCTGGACTTGCATGTGGCCGTGAGCCCCCAGCAGGGCCTTCTCCCCACACTGCCTGGCCTGGCCCAGCAGAAGCCACCGGGACCTTGAAGCAGCTGTGACACATGGTCACATACCACATGACAGAATCCGAGCATTTCCCCCAGGGAGCATCGCAGCAAAAGCTGACTCGGAGTACTCACCCCAATCAGGAGTTTCGTTGGACTTGAGGCTCTGCCACCCCGTCTCCCCGCTGTCCTGGCAACAATGGAAGCAGCCCTCAAGCCTAACGGGGCCTGGTAGACAGGTCACCCGCCCATCCCTGGAGCGCCTTCTGCCTTTGGTGGGTATGGGCGTCAGGCCAGGGAAGCCTCTGCTCCCGTGGAGGTCCCCTCAGCCCTCAGCCTGTGGTGTCAGCCCTCCCTTGGTGCGGCTGTCCTGGCTGCTGTCACCACTTCCCTGTCCTCGGCGTCCTTGGGCCTGGTGTCCAGTGACAAGGTGTGTCCTCCTGTCATTCTCCAGTGGCATTTCTCAGGCCTGTGGGTTAGGTGTCACCCCACATCGGTCTGCACCCTCCCCACTCCTGGAGCCCCGGGTCTCCCACCTCCCTACCCCCAGATGTGACACGTTCCTAGGAATGTGGTGCAGGACACAGAGTCCTCCCACAGTTCTGGAAGCCAGCAAGGGAGGGAGGTCAGGGTGTGGGCCCCTCCCCCTTCTGACCTCAGGGGCTCCAAGCCTTCTGGGCTGGTTCCTCTTGCCTTCATGTGGCCTTCCCCCCCCCTTCTGTCTCTTGGACACTGCCCTCAATACCAGGCCCCTACATCCGGGTGACCAGGTGGAAAGATCCGTAATTGCGTGTCTAAGGCCCTGTTTAAATGGGGATACTCTGACAGGCCCCAAGGTTAGCTTGGGAGGCCCTCTGTTCCGAGTGTTAACTACCCTCCTCCGCCGTCCTCAGAGTGCGCAAGGCCACGCTGGGCTCCAGAAGGATCGTGGCCGCAGTGGTCACCGTTGTGGCTGTCAGTCCCTGATGTTAGGAGCCCCCAAATAAGGAGGCGTCCCAAGGACACATAAGTGGCATAATTAATATGAACCTGCACACTGGGCCAGTATTCATTAATAACAGAGAAGAGTGGCTGTGGCAGCTCACGTCTGGGATCCCAGAGGCTGCGGCAGGAGTGAGCCCGAGTCCCATTGTGAGTTCCGAGACAGCCTGTCTCAAAAAAGAGAAAGAAGAAAAGACAAAACCTTGGAGGAAAGCCAGAAAAGGTGTTGGCTCTGATGGGAAAGGGGCCAAGACTCATCCTGTGAGCTCTTTCCCATAGTGGTAAACTGAGGCCCACGTGGAGGGAAGCTGAGGGACTTGGCCAAGACGCCACAGCTCAGGAGAGACAGCCACATAGGGAGGAGGGGACCGCATGGTTGAAGCTGTAGGACAAGGTGAGGAGGGGGCCTGGCCTCTTTCCAAGGGCCAGAGGCACTGAGTTTCCGTTCTTATCAGAAGAGCCCGAGGCCACACCTGAGAGCTCTGAATGTAGGGAACAGATCCATCCACCTGGCCTTTGTCCCCAGAGGGTGAACATGACCCATTCTCAGAATTCACCAGGCTTGCTTCATTCAGAGACATCAATTCCTAGACGAGGGAGAAGTTGGTGTCTTTAAATGTGGGAGTGGCTGAGTTTGGTGCCGTCTGAGAGAAAAATGCAAAGGACAGACAGACTGCTGGATGAGGGAGGACAGAGGGTGGAGCCAGGGGAGCCGCTCAGAGCCTGACTGCCATGGTTACCCCTGAGGTCCAGTCTAGCACTCACAGCTCCAAGACCCTGCCCTGGGTCAGGCCACAGCAGTTATGGCAAAGCCAAGGCAGGTCAGTCTTACTGCAATAGGACAACTTCCCTGTTCTTAGTTCCCTGAAGAACCCCACAAGAACGTTTTCCCTGACGTGAATGTCACCTTCAGACCACCCAAGTATGCAAGTAGGCCTGTGGGCCTCTCCTGACCTGGTGGAGCCTCAGGATCCTGATGCATGTGGACATGTTGGGGCCAGTGAGTGCCCTCACCCATGGTGGCAGTGTGGGTGTGTGGTTCCAGAAGCTTCCACAAGACAGGAGGTCAGAGCTGCTTTCATGGCTCTGCCGTCCTACTCGCTGCTGTGTTACATATTTCCCGAGTGGGGAGGAGGGTGAGAATAAATTTATTAATGAGGCTGCTTGTCTTCAGGCTTACTTGTGTGTGTCCAGTTTATTTGTGTCCATTTTTCATTGAACAAATGTCCAATAGACTTAACAAATGGAAGTCATTTCCTCCAAGCCTGATGACCTGAGTTGAATCCCCAGGATTCGATGTTAGAGAGAACTGACTCCGTCAGGCTGTCCTCTGACCTCCGTGTTCACATTGTAACGTACACACAACTATAAACACACAATAAATAAATACATAAGTAAGATGCAATGAACATTTTTTAAAGTCCAGGTTGGGGGTGTCATATGCCTGTAACCCCAGCACTTGACGGTCCTGCTAAACAAGAAAGGCTTCGTGTTCAAAGGGGCTACATAGGAAGATGCTGTCTAAACTTCCCAGGACTGCAGCTGGCATGGTGGCACGTGCCTGAGTCTCCGCACTCGGCAGAGTCGAGAATTCAAGGCCATTGTCCTCCACAAGTGAGCCTGGGGCCGCCTGGGCTCTGCGAGACTTTGTCTCAAAAACAAACCAAAAATTAATTTTAAAGTCCAATCCTTATGAATCGGGCAGTGGTTACCCTAGCCCGCCTAGTCTACAGGGTAAGTGTCCGGATAGCCAGGGCTACCCAGAGAAACCCTGTCGAAAAAAGAAAAATCCAACCAACCGGAAAAGCTGCCCTTTGTTTCTGCTGCCGTTTGAGGAGGATTCACGGGTTGCCCACTGTGTGCCCAGCCCTGTTCTTTGTCATGCTGGGTGCCCAGCGGAGCCCTGGTCAACTGCAGCCCCAGCCTCGTGGATTTACAGCCCGGTGGGAAACAACTACGCATGCTCTGTTCTCGGTGTTGTCTGCCCTACCCTGGTTATGTGGCTAGATGGGGCTGGACTGGACCCAGACCTCTCCCCTCCTGAGTGACTCTGGGCTTCAGGGTACAGCAGACAGAGCCCCGTTCACACCCCTCCCACAGCCTGGACAAATGTCAAGGGCACTGCCTGTCCCATCCCTGGCAGGCCCTGCTGTCCCTATGTTGGTTTCATTGTCGGACAAGCTCTTGCTTGCAGGAACCAAGATGTTGGAGAGTCACCCCAGAGGAGAAGGAATCTCACACCAGCTCCGGCCAGTTCCCCTGGCCCCAGGGCCACCCCTTGGCTGGCCTCAGGGCACTGTGTGCAGACGAACAGGAAGAGCCTGCCTAGCAGCCGGGGTGCCACCCTACCAGCTGGGTACATGCTCGCTGAGCGGCTGTGTCCCCATGAGCCAGCAAGAGACAAAGACAGCGTTACTGCCATGGAGCTGGCTCTCCAGTGCGGGGGCAAAGGGCTGATGCTTCGGAGTAGGCATCGTGTACAGTTCTTGTCTGGCATGCCTGAAGCCCTGGATCCAGTCCCCAGCACTGCTTAAACTGTGCCTGGCAGCCTGACACTCTGGAGGGACATCAGGTTCAAGGTTGAGAACTCGGGGGAGACTCCGGTGAGAAGAAACTGCAGTCTTGACTGCAAGGCTTAGCAGACTTGGCCCCTGAGCCAAATCAGTCAATAAAGGTTTATTAAAACGGCTGTGTTCACTTCACTTTTCACGTTATTGCTGGCCACTTGAGCAGAAAGCAGTTACCCACTGTCCCGTCACAGAAGAGGTTGGCTGACTCCACTCAGCAAGGGCCCCCTCTGCGCAGGAGAGCTGAATGTGGTAGCACACTCAGCACTCGGGAGGCAGAGGCAGGAGGATATCTGTGAGTTCCAGGTCAGCCTGAGCTATGCAGAGAAACCCTGTCTCAAGACGAGAGAGAGAGAGCGCGCGAGCGAGCCAGCCTCTAGAACAGAAGGTCATACGTAGGGTCTCTAAAGACTACCCCCCAGTCACACGTTAGCCCCTCCCTCTTCTTTCTGTGTCCCCCTCAGTCCCCACAGAAGCGAGGAAGGAACTGAGCTTCCATCGAAACCCTTGAGGAGGAAGAGTTTCTGTAGTCCATCAAGAATACATTGTATAATAATTCGGTTCTCCCTGTATGCAGATCACAGTGTTGGGTAATTTGGGGCACGTGCATACATGTAATAACATTGTGTGTGGTGTTGTGTGTATGTCTCTGGAATGACAGTTTGGTGAGGTCATCACCTAGCAGTAAGTACGTCCTACTATGCCGTTTATTGATAATCCAGTTCATGAGGAACCGTATTGGGTTGGAGAGATGGCTCAGCAGTTAAGAGCTCTTGTTAGTCTTGCTGAGACACCAAGTTCAGTTCCCAGCACCAGACAGTGGTTCACAGCCATCCCTAACTCCAGTTCCAGACATACACATGGTACACAGACAGACATGCAGTCATCCGTACACATAAAATGATATGTAAATGTAGTGAGTCTTCCTCTGCCCCGCCAGCCAGCTCCCAAACAACCACATGGAGACTCACTACTAATAATGAAAGCTCGGCTGATAGTTTAGTCTTGTTTTTGTTAGCTCTTTTTTTTTTGGTTTTTTGAGACAGGGTTTCTCTGTGGCTTTGGAGGCTATCCTGGAACTCACTCTGTAGACCAGGCTGGCCTCGAACTCACAGGGATCCGCCTGCCTCTGCCTCCCGAGTGCTGGGATTAAAGGCGTGCGCCACCACCGCCCGGCTTTGTTAGCTCTTATAACTTAACCCATTTCTATAATCTATGTACTTTTACATGGCTTTGTTACTTTTACTGTGTCCCGGAGTCTCTGCCCTTCTTCCCATCATGCTCTGTGCCTGGAAATACTGGCCGTTAAGCATTTTATTAAACCAGTCAGAGTAACACATCAACAACAAATCAATATTTAAAAAAAATATAAAGTCAGGTGTGATGGCATGCGCCTTTAATCCCAGTACTCAAGAGGCAGAAGCAGATGGATCTTTGGAAGTTCAAGTCCAGCATGGACTACAGAGCAAGTTCCAGGACACCCAGGGCTGTTACACAGAGAAACCTTTTCTCAAAAAAAAAAAAGCCAAAACCAAACAAGACACTATATTAATTTGTGTGTGTGTGTGTGTGTGTCTATACGTGCATGTGTGTGTTCTGTGCACCTAATATGTATTCTAAACATTAAACTGCCCTGATGTGACAGCACATACCTCAATCAGCTCTGACTGAGACAGGACAATTGTCACAAGTTTAAGTTTGAGCAGCCTGTGTGTGGGGTTCACACTTGTAATTCTACACTGGGCAAGTGGAGACAGGAGGGTCTGGAGTTTTTAAGATTTTATTTATTATGTATACAGTGTTCCACTGCATGTCTGCTTGCAGGCCAGAAGAGGGCACCAGATCTCATCACAGGTGGTTGCTGGGAATTGCACACAGGACCTCTGGAAGAGCAGCCAGTGCTCTTAACCTCTGAGCCATCTCTCCGGCCCTGAGGATCTGGAATTTTAAGATCATTGTCAGTTACATAGCAAGTTTGAGGCCAGCCTGTGCTACATGAGAGCCTGTGCCCACCCCCCCACCCCCCACACACACACACGCGTGCGCGCACACACACACCAAAAATGTTCTTAGTGGTGCACACCTGGTATCCCAGCACTTGGAAAGTAGAAATAGGAGGATCAGGGAATCAAGGATAGCCTGGGCTAAGTAGCCCTTGAACTCACTAAGTGGTGAGTTAAGTGCCAATTTGGGTTACATGAGACCCTGCCTCAAAATACAGAAACAAGCAGGCGTTGGTGGCGCACCTTTTAATCCCAGCACTCGGGAGGCAGAGGCAGAGGCAGGCGGATCTCTGTGAGTTCGAGGCCAGTCTGGTCTCCAGAGTGAGTTCCAGGACAGCCTCCAAAACAATACAGAGAAACCCTGTCTCGAAAAACCAAAAGAAAAAAAAAAAAAAAACCACACAGAAACGACGCAACAATACAACCATAAAAACCCCGCAAGCGCGGTGGGTATGTCTGCACACGTGGTTATGCAGGAAGGGACAGAGTCACGGAGTCTGGGGGCTCCAGCGCCTGGGGCCACAGCAAGGGCACAGCATGACTGCAAACGAGGGGAACGTGGAGACCCATGTGTCCACATCCGAGCTCTGCGCCCGTGTGGGCAGCCAGCGGGAAGAGCGGACTCCAGGTTAACACCGTGAAGGCGTGTCGTCACTAACGAGCAGTGCCCGGTGCCCAGTTGCCTTTGCCGGCTGAGGTGCACACGGCCGTCTGCCTGACACATTCCATCCCAGGAAGCCCAGCAGCCAGGTGTAACTGCAGATCTGTCACCCCAGCCGGAGGCCGAGAGGCAGCAGGTCAAGACCAGCCAGGGCTGCCTGGTGAGAGCCTGTCTCAAAAAGAAAACAGACAATAGCCTTTGTAGCTGTTTTGGTGACCTCAGGTTACAGACTCGAACTCCACGTCCCTGTTGCACCTGCTCAGGTGGCCCCTGTCACCGATGAGCCAGATGGGTTTGCTGAGGGCCACTGAACCCAGAAAAACACTTCTGCTTACAGGCTGCTGCGGAGACCTCTGGCTAGGCCGTGGGTGAGGGGACAGCCTCCTGTGGGAGATAATGCTCTGGTCACATCTGCTCATCCGGAGTTTGCAGGCCAGCTGAGGAGAGCCGGTAGCGCCTGTTTCCCTCAGATTCCTCTGGATCTCTGCAATGTCCATCCCCCCAGGGCAGGGAGCAGGGCCCCTCAGGAGTAGATTCCTGTGACCTGCTGTTACACAAGGAAGGAACCATCGAAAGATTTCTTAAGTGCCCAGCCAGAGTCACCAGAACATTGGAGTTTCTGTGGTCAGTATGAGGAGATCAGTTACAATCAGGAACTATGGTTGAAAACTCTAGCTGGGCTGGGCGTTGGTGGCGCACGCCTTTAATCCCAGCACTCGGGAGGCAGAGGCAGGCGGATCTCTGTGAGTTCCAGGCCAGCCTGGTCTGCAAAGTGAAAAACCCTGCCTCGAAAAACTAAAAAAGAAAAGAAAAGAAAGGCTGGGTGGTGGTGGCGCACGCCTTTAATCCCAAAGAAAAGAAAAGAAAGAAAGAAAAAGAATAAAAACTCTAGCTGGCTGCAATAGTACATTTCTGGAATTCCAGTACTTTTGAAGCTGAGGCAGGAGG